GCTGCGTGAACTTCTCATGTTACTCGGAAGATACACACTCTCTGCATCAGTATGAAAGTCTTATTCTATTTGTCTCACCCTTTTCTGTTGCTCTTCCTGCCAAGCATCCGAGCCCTTCCTATCCCCGCTTCGAATAGACTCCCATCCCCTCAGCCGTACCAAGGGGTGCAGCATGCCTTGGCACTTGCGCATTTACTGGTTGGGACGAAAGAAACCAGAGCAAGGCGATAGAGCAACCCCTCATCGTCCTCGATCCGCGACTCGACTCAGGTAAAACCCGCAGGTTCTACTGGTTGAATCAAGTCTCTCCGAATTACGGAGTATCGTTCTCCTCAACGTCCTTGACCCGAGTGTCGAGTTACGCATCCGGCGCAGGCTCTCCTGGCTGAATCAAGTCTCTCCGAAAAACGGAGTACTCTCCTCATCATCCTTGACCTGAACGTGGAGCAAGTCGTCAGACGCAGGCTCTCCTGGTTGCGTCAAGGCTCTCCGAAGTACGGAGTACTGCCAATCCTCCTCACACTAGGGCTCCTTCTCTTTACAATATCGGCTCTCAAAGAGATTGCTCCTGCTTCCTAGTAGCTCTGATCGCTGAGTCCTAACTGTGCGAGTCAACCACAAGGCATTGCCGTACAGGCTCCAGCCTAGTTGCTTCAGCTGAAGTTATATGAGCGGTTTGCTAAATTGCTATATTCTACTCTATACATCCGCACAATGACTCTTTGCTCTTGTGGATAGCTTCGAATCCCGCATGCATCAAAGGAGTATTGAAAAGTCGTGATGTCATGGCATGTCCTGGTGGGACAGTCCGTGCGAGCAATACATGAGGCTATCGCTCGCTCGTCACGCAAAATAATCCTCTCGTAATGTTTCAGGTGTTATCAAGCTGGGAAAGAGACGTCGCACAACGCCTTCGCACTGCAGCCTCGATGTCGTAGCAAAACAGCGTGGTGGGCAGCCCCGGAAATACGGACTAATCACGTGACGTAAATCCGAAATTTTCTCCCGCAAGCGACTCAAAGGACAAAGCAATGAGAACAACTTAGCGCTTAGGGACCGGTTATTTCTGTTTCTGTTTTTCGGATGGCGGAAACCATTCAATCAGGAGAGCCATCTGGTTGGCGAATACCCAAGGCTTGTCAAGAATGCAGAAAGCGAAAAATCAAGTGTAATGGAGTTAACCCCTGCAAGACCTGTCGGGCGCGGAACACTCCATGTGTCTACCGGGATGTGATCCGACAGCGCAAGAAGAAGAAGCATGGCGCCGTAGGTGAGGGTCTGGCTTCTCGTGAATCTACGCGCTCTGAGCTTGATACACAGCAGCCATCCTCACCGCTGCCCCAGCCGTTAGGCCGCCGAAACAAATCTGCCAGCTATACTTTCCACAACAGCGTTTCGGCAACGCACATGGCATCTCCGTCATGCAAGGTACAACTATATTATGGACCGACGTCCCATTTCACTCTCATGCATGAGATTTATCGGGGCTTGGCTTCGAACCAAACCACTCATCCCCAGGAGCCGCAGGGTGAAGTCGAAGAGGCTGGGGCTGGGCTTGATATGTTCAGTGTTCGCGGCATCTTCTTCGGTACTCCAGGCGAGACGCATGATCCCAATAAGGGGATTGGTAACACAGATGCGCCGGTAATGTTCTTGCCCTATGAGCTCGCCAGAATTTTTTTGCACCGATTTTTATCGACGCTGTATCTTCTGGTACCATTCTGGTCCAAAGAGCTTTATGAGCGCCAGCTAGAACACTTGTATCTTCCTTCCTCTCGTACCGACTCTGATACCTGTGCCAACTCCATCTTATTGATGGCTTTGGCCATGGGCTCCCTGGGCACACAGCATTATCGCTGGGGAGATATCCTGTTCGAGCGGGTCAAGGCGTCTTATCACTCCTTGGACGACGTGGTAAATCTCGAGACTGTGCAGCTGTCCTTGACGATGATAAGTATATTCTGTCCTTGGCGGCGTAAGTTTATGCCTGACGCTTGGCTAGTACGCCCATTTTCAGACGGAGCAAGGTCGCCCAAATTCTTCCTTTCTCTACCTGGGCACAGCTGCGAGGAAGGCCATCTCAGCTGGCTTGCACAAGGAATCTCCGACTGAAGGAGGAGATGGTAGGGAAGTAGTGGAGCAAAGACGATTGACATTTTGGTCCTTGTTTTTCTACGAGACGTTCGTCCTTGTTCACTGATTCTGCCTTTGTAAAATTGACCTGCTGACGGCTCGCCAGCTGGATTTGCTTTCATCTCGGTCGCCCAAGCTCGCTCTCGTCGAGGGACGTCGGCATTGCACCTCCCAAGGATCCATTCATTCTCATTCTCATTCACCTTACAAACGTCATGACTCGTTCGGCAAACGAAATTTACGGCCGACCACACGACTCATTGCTGCAAATGTGGAAGCTGGCCAGATCCATCTCAGAAGACCTTCGTTGTTACGACGAGAAAATGAAGCTTGCACTCGGGTTTGGGCTTGACAAATGCCCCCAGCCGGGCGATGTCGGAGTTCGGCAGGCCATTCTCACGACCTGTACGTCATTGATATGCAGAGTGATGGACGGACAAGCTAAGAAACATAGTATACTATCACACCATTCTGTTGACATTTCGACCGTTCTTGATCTTTCGCGGACGATGGCAGCGCGATAGTAAAAAGACTTCTTCCGAGACTGGACCCAACACATCCAAACGTCCGACGGAAATGCCGGCGTGGCTAAATGAGGCGTGCGACCACGCGGTCCACGCTGCGTGCAGAACTCTCCATCATCTATGTGAGGCTGCTATCGTCAATGAGTTTGTTCGGGTATGCTTTCCCCTATGCAAACACCGGATTTCTACACATATTGGGGCTAAAAAGCCGTTAGGAACTTCGCTATCATGGCTTCTTCCTGACCAGCGCCTGCTTTGCACTTATTTACGACTTCATGTATAATGAAAAAGTTGCTCCTACACACCTTCCCTGGGTTCACGTGGGCATCCAATGTCTTGGAGCCATGCGGCCAGGCGATCCCATAACGAGCTCTATCTCAGCTATACAAACTGTCCTGAAGAAACTGCACCCGTCATACGAATGGGTGCCACCTGGCCCTGTTCAGGGTCAGGCATATGCACCAAACCCTATGGGCTCGGCACCAGCTCACCCTTATTCTAGTGGTGTAGCATCGAGCCAGACAAATCCGCGAGAGGCTTTCCCTGGTGACACATTTCTGGGAGGGTACCTTCCCACAATGCCAAACATTCAAGTCAACCCGCTTCAGAGCGATATTCCGGAGGCCTCTGCTAGTGTTGGGAGCAGCGAGGATCTTCCAGATTTCAATCTGTCGGATATGGGATGGGATTTTGACTTTTCCACGATGGATCTTGAAGCATTTTTCTCTATCCAACCAACTATGAACCCTTCGCAAACACTGTAATTCAGACAGATGAAGCCGATTCACAGCATAGCTGCTGATCGTTGGCTTTGCCTTTACTACACCATCGTATTGCTGCGGCTTTCCAGTCCATCTCAGACTGCCGATACCCTCGAACATATACAGTGCAATCGTTGCTGGCCGCCGTCCGGTTTATCCGCGAGGGATCCTCTCTTTTCTAAGGCTACGGACTTCTCTGCGACCTATTGCTATCTGAATTCCATCCTGAGAATGGAAATATTGTCCTACGGCGGAGGCGGGGAGCAGTCTACTGCTTTCAACCACCCAGGTATCATCAGAAGCCACGGTCGAGCATTGAGAGGGAAATGAACCAGGTTTTGCCTAACAGACCTTGCTGTTGTCGGGACTCCCCCGGTATCTATTGAGAGTGATTAGGTGATTACCCTTCATAAGAGCTCGGTTCCAATCAAGAGAGCTGGACCCGTTGATCAGTGTCTCTATCTCTCAGCCGAAGTCCAGATCCCGAGATGAAGTCATGCACTTTTCAGTCATGTATGAGACTTTGATTACGAATCTACTTTGTATTCTAAGCGCGTTGCTCAGACTGGACAATGATGAAACACGTCCTGCCTTACTTGAAGGTTCAATTTCGCTCCACAGGCACGTTCAGACTTTACAGGTATACCGATATGGTTTTAAGACTAAGACCAATCGCCATACAACGTTCATCGTCTGATTCGTCTGTCATGGGACAATATAGATCTATGACCCTCATGCAAATTGGAAATAATTCTGTGCCCTAAGATCTCGTAAAATTTGATATCTAGAGTAATACCTTCAACATTACTATTCTCTTCCTCTCATAACATACGAGCCATGCTCTGTGGAATAAATCTCCGGTTGATGCTGTGACTGGTTGCGCACCACCTTCCGCATGCGGCAACCCCCTCGCAAAAACCTATCTCCGGACCGATCCACGGCCCATTGCAACGAGGGATGCTGGAACCAAACATCCTACCTTGCGGAGTTGGAGCTTGCGTTGATGATGATGGATCGCTTTTCTCTGGTCGAACCAAACTGTCGAATGTATCGATCTCCGACCATCTTTCCCTGTCTCCTCCACGCTTCTTCTCCAGCTAGGGATGAAACAACACGGTAGATGGCTAACACTATTCATGCCTGATCCTTCTATTATTCAAGGATCATAAGGCCGACGAACCGCAGACAAATTGCGGTCTTGGCTGTAGTTTCGGCGGGATTACTGAGCAGCAGGGTGACATTAGGCGAGCTGGAACCACGGACGAATCGTGAAGTCACGATCGACCCGAGCCACCCGTGAGCACAGCAGCTGGGTGAACGGCCAATGACACCGTAGACTGGATTGTCTKGTTACCTAGCTATCTGCTGACTATATTTCCTTGACCATGGTCTAGACAAACGGAGATATTCTTCCCCACAGCTTGACCGGAATTTGAAATCTTCATCGTCCTCGCCGAATTTCACTACATGTACTCTCTATCTATACTTGATCACGGCTCCCTGTGCTTTGCCCTGCTGCATCGATCTCTGATCACTGGGCAAGTTTGTATGACCAAGTCTAGGATGCGTCGCTAACTCGATCATGCCACTGTCGGGCTCTGCGGTGTTGCGTCCCCTGAGCACTGCCCAAGGAACAGACTTAGAGCAGGAGGAGTACGTTTCATGTTTCATTCTGCGTTGAACGAGTCTCTACTGACTGAAAAGGTTTCGTTCGGCTCATTCTCAGGATGACATCAACGAGCGCTCCGAGTCGATTAGGGGGCGACTTGCAACCCATAGGCGAGACAAGTCAAGTTCGGCGGCTTCCTTGACCGCTTACGCACAATTGGCGACGTATCGGTTCGGCTGCAGCCGCTCGTTTGTGGTTCGTTTCGAGCATGGACGGGCGAATATCGTTGCGGAAGCATCACCTTCTCTCCTGTTAGATGGAGAGGAGGGGTTTGGCGTCGACGGGGAGGTTCAGCGGCAAGTAAAGGTGTTGAGCCTGCGCCTGGTTGAGGCTCGTGTCGTCGATACTTCGAACGTTGTTGCCAACAGCACCCGATGCGTCATACGTGATCTCACGCAGGACAGTCATTCTGACAACCAAGTGATCCACTTCTTCGCAGCGGTCCCGATCCATGATATGAACAAAGATACTATTGGGGCTGTTTGTGTTGTAGACAAGGCCACACATCCGAAGTTTGGAGATAGTGAGGTCGCCAGCATGCAGGAGATTGCGGACCTGGTCGCTTGTACTATCAAGGATAGCTCGGCTGAAGAGCATCATCTTCGAGCAGAGCGGCTCATCAATGGTCTGACCACTTTCGTCAGCGGTCAGGCCGTCCCTGACCTTGAGCAAAACTATCACTCCCAAAGACGGCCATCATACCTTCCTGGTATTGATGACGTTTCGCTCTCTGAGAGGGGTAGCGTGGGCTCGCCACATTACGCACATTCCCAAACTCCTGGGGCCTCGCCAAACCAGTTCTTCTCAAGAATCCGCGGAAGAAGAAATTCGGTGACTGTTATCGAGGGAAGCACTGTATCCCATTCAATGTCGCTTTTGTTTTCCCGTGCTAGTGCTTTACTTCAGAAATGTATGGAGCTAGACGGCGTGCTTTTCCTGGACGCCACTCGAAGTAACGCTCGAAGGTTCGTCTCGCCTGACACTGCTCGTTATCAATCTAACGTCTCTAGCTCCTGCTCTCCTAGCATGAGTGACCTGGAAGTACTCTCCAAGGACGGTGGGTCTTGCGTCAACTCTCCGGGCCTATCCTCAGCCGGGCCTTGGCGCGAGAGGGTATGCGAGCCTTTGGGCTTTGCGTCATCGGAATCTGCACATCGCTATACGTCGCAGTATTCAGTCTCAGAAGGCTTGCTGCATGACTTGTTTGCCGCGTACCCAAAAGGCACCATCTTCGATAACCGCACCCTCGTTGACTGTACTAGTCAGAAATGTGGTCATGTCACGGATGCAAAGGGAGCGCGTCATCACGCAATCATTCTCCGTCTGGTACAAGACCTTCCAGAGGCCAGGTCGCTCCTTTTTCTCCCAATATGGAACTGGAATTCATCGCGCTGGTTGGCCGGTGCCCTCTTGTGGACATCTGACAGCCAACGACATTTTGAACGAACCGATTTGTTGTATGTCAAGGCATACGGTGACTCCATTGTGTCAGAAGCGGCTCAAATGGACTGGAGGGCGACGGAAAAGTCCAAATCAGATTTATTGTCGTCAGTCAGCCATGAGCTAAGATCACCTCTACATGGCATGCTTGCCAGTTTAGAGCTGTTGCACACGACAGATCTTCAACCGGCTCAGCAGGACATGCTCACGATGATTGAAACGTGTGGTTTGACACTGTTGGATACGCTGAATTATCTGTAGGTTAGCAGCTCCGTCGGAGGGATCTCACTAACATACATGCAGGTTGGATTTTACGAAAATCAACAATCTGACCAGTGCAGACGCAAGGAATGACGGGGATACTGAGACCTCTCTCGCCGATCTAACGTGCGAATTCGATTTGGACACTCTGGTAGAGGATGTGGCGGACACCCTGTATGCAGGTCACCGGTCCCTGATTAGCGCTTCCCAGGTCGCCGGCCGGTACCTGCCCAGCGGGCCAACGGTGGGAATTAGATCTGCCAAGGGCACCGAGAATGCTGAAGAGTCGAATGGCTTATCAGTGATTGTCCGGGTTGAGCCGGGAGACTGGAAAGTGCGAGCCATCCCTGGCGGATGGCGAAGAATCGTCATGAACCTGCTCGGCAATGCATTTAAATTCACCAAGTCTGGGTTCATTGAGGTCATCCTCGCCAGGAAGATAGAGAGAACCTGCGGCACGAAGAGGGAGTATGCTCTATTGACAATCACAGATACCGGATGTGGCATCTCTCCGGAGTACCTGGAGCACAAACTATTCCAGCCATTTACCCAAGAGAACATCCTGACGGAAGGGGTTGGCCTAGGACTCAGTATCGTCGACCGACTAGTGACAAACGTGGGTGGCCAGATTGATGTGAAGAGTACCGTCGGTAGCGGAACCCAATTCGAAGTGTACATTCCGGTTGAATTTGTGGATACGCTGGTGGGTGGTGCTTCTGGGCAAGAGCAACCAGAGCGTGGTCCGGTCTCTCGAGTGAGTCTGGTCGGGCTGAACGTATTTTCCAGTATGAAGAGCTCAGGCCGAAGACTGAGCGTTGACGCGAAGAGGACGCTGTCAGTTCGCAGTGCACTGAGCAATGCAATCCTCAGCCAGCCAGGCTGGACAGTCTCCTTTGCCGACACTTTGTCTCAAGCAAAGGGCGATATTGGTATTATCGAGGAGAGCAGTCTGGCTGAGATGGAAGGGCAGGAGCCAATAACCACCGAACTGAGAGGACTGGCCATACTAGGACAGTGTGGTACTAACCTACCCATCGATCCTGTTACGAAAGAGCTGGATGTGGTCTACGTTCCTCAACCGTAAGTAGCATCAAATTCCGAGCAAGTGCGAAACTAACAGGATAGACTCACGCCTCGAAAAATTATCGGCGCGCTGCATACAATTTCCAGCTTGCCCGAAGGTTCGGCTCATATCGAACATGCCGATAGGATCCCATTTCGTGGGCGCAGCTTATCGGAAGCTTTTGCCCTGGCAAAACAGACCGAGTCGCCTCCGGTGGTGGAGGAAACCGTGAACGAGTTCCGTGCCTCGACACCCAAGGCCTCGAAGACGACCGATCTTCATGTCCTGATTGTGGACGATAATGATATCAATCTCAAGATACTGGCTACTTTTATGCGTCGCATCGGGTGCAGCTACGAGACTGCGACTAATGGACTCGTGGCGCTGGAGAAGTACCGGCAGTCCGAGCGCCCGTTCGACTATATCCTGATGGGTAGGTTGCGTCCTTTGAGCTTTATGGCCCATCTAACAGGCAACAGATATTTCCATGCCAGTTATGGACGGGATCATCTCCACAAGCAAGATTCGAGAGTACGAGGAGGAGAACTCCCTTCCCCGGGCTGCCATCATGGCCGTGACAGGAGTCGCGTCGGCGACGATGCAGCAACAGGCATTTGCTGCGGGGGTCGATGATTATCTTGTGAAACCTCTTTCACTGCGTGATTTGAAACGAGTGATGAATATCGCATGACATGACTTGCCAGCAAATTGTACAAGTTGCATACCACAGCTTCAATGTAACAACCTTCCACGTTGACCAATACACCAAGATACCAACATAGGAACTTCTTAACATATACTCCACCAGCATATCAGTAATACTCAAGGCAGCTAACAACCATGACTCCCTTCCGTAGGTGGATCTGTACACCCGTTAGGACACAGCTTTGCATGTCCCACATCTCCAGGATTCGTGCAGTGGAAAAGCACATTCTTCAGGTCCGCAGTCTCCAGATCCGTCCCCTTGAGAACAGCTTCAAGGTCCGTTTCCGTAAAGCCTGCATCCATTAGTCCCTGCCATCATGGAAGCGTGACAGACAGAAAAATACCCTTGTCAGCAATGAGCTTATTAGCGCAGTAATCGAAACTCGGCGTGCATGTTTTTGCGCCTAGTGCAGCGCCGGCCAGCGCGAGGAGGAATAGAGTTGTTCGCATTTCGGGGTTGTGTTTGGTTTTTGCCGTGAGGGAAGACGATGGGGTATTTATGTCAGACCTTGCATTCTGTATCGAGGCGAGGTATTTATCTGGACGGAATGTGGTCGGGGGTGGTTGGCATGCACGGCGGCGCGTGGCATGTGGATTGTACGTCATCCTAGGCATTCATTGGAATTGATTTGGATCTTCGCGAGCTGCAGAAGAGATGCCTGGAATGCGGGTTCATTTGAGTGATGTAGAGGTGGAGATATGGTTTCTGGGATGTTTGTGTTGCGATATTTTTCATTGGTATGACCGTTTGGCGCTGGGAGCGGACCTATCCTTATTAACAGGGTCATCCCATCTCTGGAGATAATGAGAGGTCTCTTTGATTTTCTAAACAGCTTGACAAACCAATGCAACAAAATAAATAGGAGCAAGCTCGAAGTCCAAAGTATCAAATAGGTACCTTGGACGCTGGCATAGCACTGCCGCAATCACTGTAACAGCACGAGCGGACGCACTGATCATATCTAATGCACTGGGACCTGCTCCAGAGTCAAGAAAATTGCGATACTCTGGTATAATTCGTTGTGAAATGCCGCAGAAACTGATGACAGAGGATATACCACGCCATCAATGTCTCGACTACTTCTCCTGTGCGATCCTGTATTCTGTCGACAACGAGGTGAACAGTACCTGGAAAGGGGTATTATCAACCGCTGAAAGATCTCGACAGACTCGTTCATGACGACTCTGAGTGCTTCGCTGTGTATAAAATGGTCGACTGACCAGGTCAAAGGACCGCTGAAGAGAAGACGGTACTGGCGCTGGCCCAGACAATAGGAGTCGAACCGCACAGCAAACAGGTTCTTTGGTCTTGGATTTAAATGTAAACTGTAACTCTTCGATGATGCACATACTTTTTTATTTTATTCTATCAATATACTATCAGCTGCGGTCTACTATCGATATAGGCTCAGTGCAGTCGCAACGTAGCCAACCCGCCATCAACAACAACCTGCTCCCCCGTGGTGAACGTCGCCTCAAAACCTAAAAACACCACGGCCCTAGCCACTTCCGCCGGGTCCGCAATCCTCCCCATGGGCGTCCCCTTCGCCCCCTGCCCCTCAAACTCCACCAACTCCTCCTTCGATGCCCCCACAACCCCCATCGTCGGCGTCTTCACGAAACCTGGCGACACAGCATTCACACGCACCTGCACACCCACCAACTCCGCCGCCAGCGTCTGGACAAACGAGTGCACCGCCGCCTTGGAGGCAGCGTACACGCTCATCCCGGGGATCCCCATCTGATTCGCGACGGAGGTGGTAAACACGATTGCGCCGCCGGGCCTAACCATCGGCGCGAGCTTCTGCGCGACGAAGAACGCGCCGAAGACGTTTGTGTCGAAGGTGCGCCGGAAGGAGGCCTCCGACACGTCCGCGAAGGGCTCGAGGGCGGCGTACCCAGCGTTGACGAAGAGCAGGTCAATGGTGCGGCCTTCGCCGAAGAAGGACGAGGCTGTATCAAATAGGGCGCTGATAGCGCTTACAGAGGTGATGTCGCAGGCGACGACTTTGGCGTCGGGGCCGAGCTGGGCTTGCGCGGAGCGGATGGGGTCTGGGCTGCGGCCGGTGACGAGGACTTTGGCTCCTTGGGACACGAGGAGCTGGGCCGTTGAGAGGCCGATGCCGTGGCTGCCGCCGATGATGAGGGCTGTTTTGTTGGTGTAGGACATTGTAGTGTGTGGTTTTTTTGGGCTGAGGTTGAGGTTCTTGGAGAATGAGTTGGACTCTTCGAGCATGCTTTGGAACTATATATGCTTCCTCTGTTTCCATCCGACTGTGAACAGTACAGCTTGATGACCAATTCCATATTTCTAAGCATCAACCCTAGATAGTAACAGTGTGTCAAGATATGAGATAGAGCTCGTATTTCTCCTTGGCTCCTTGGCATACTGCAGTTCTGTGAGTCAATCTCTCCTAAAGGTATGGATTATTATAAATCAGCATAACATGTGGTCTGACAAATCCAGTCTAGCAATCACAGTCAGTGAAGGGATTCCATGTCACTACTGAATCGGCGCTCGCACGAGGACAGGACAGCAGGGTGAAGTCAGGGCGCAGTAGGATCCTGAACAGCCATGTCAATACTTGTCGCGGGCGTGAATCCGGTATGCCGTTACATAAATAGGCTACTATCCATCTTGATGGAGATCGACCCAGATCTCCTCTCCTGTAACGAGGCATTCGCTAATTGCAGCTGTGCTTCTTTGGCAGGCCACTACTCCTAAGAAGCATTCCCGAGGCTGAAATACTGAGCTTGTGACCATCGGCATTATGGAACGACCTGAATATTATCTTATAGATTACGTACTTGATATGAAACAAGCCACACTAGTCCCACTCCACCTACGTCCCTCGCTGGACAGCTAAACCTACGCCAAACACCCGGAAGCGTTGCCGATAAAAGCAGGCCGTTTTCCGGCATTAGCCATGGCATTCGGGGGCAACAAGATCAGCAAGGTGGGCCAGCTTGTCAAACTTGTAGCTTCGAGATCTCGAGCTCTAATAGCGTCGAGAAATTCTTCGCTGGGGTGGAGATGTCTTACGGTTTTACATTAGTCTTAGGGCTATGATGAGAAATATATCCGATGCTCGGCATGCCGTGGAAAACTGAATGATGTGATTGGCGGAGAGCTGTCATGTTGGACCCGGATTTGCGGATGTACGCCTCGGATCTATGGATTTACGGGTCAATCTGATACGCATGAAACTGACTTTGTATAAATAGTTGGGTTGGAATAAGTTAGCTTTGAAGAGCTGTATCCATGGCCGAATTGTTTTGCTTGAAAGGTTGAGCAGATCGTGCAGAATGGACACGCCCTCATCCGGCACGATCGACCTCGAACACGGCGATAGAGGCCTACGAAAGCGACTAACACTCACATTTCGAAATGTCAGTGTCCACGTCACGGCGCCCGATGCCGCCTTGGGAGATACGCTTCTCTCCGTGGCTGATCCGCGGCAGTACCTTGGTTTCTTGAAAGGGAGTCGGCCAAAAAGGGTATGTTGGCACTCTTGTCCTAAGGCAAATGCTAACGGAATAGACTATCCTGAAAGACGTCAGTGGGCAGGTTAAACCAGGCGAAATGGTAAGTAAGCCTCAACCTCGTGCGAATGCAACTGACTCCCGTCGCCAGTTGCTGGTGCTCGGTCGTCCGGGGTCAGGATGTACCTCGCTTCTCCGCGTTCTTTCCAACGACCGCGAATCCTTTGACGAAGTCGTCGGCGAAACCCGATACGGGAGTATGGACCACGTCGCTGCGAGACGCTTCCGCCAGCAGATCATGTTCAACAACGAGGACGACGTGCATTTCCCCACGCTGACGGTCAACCGCACGATGAAGTTTGCGTTGCGGAATAAGGTGCCCCGGGAACGGCCAGAGGGACAAGGGTCCAAGGAGTTTGTGCAGGAGCAGCGGGATGCGATCCTGGATTCGCTAGGGATTCCGCACACGACGAAGACGCTGGTAGGAAACGAGTTTATCCGCGGTGTCTCTGGTGGTGAACGGAAGCGTGTGTCGCTCGCCGAGGTGATTGCCGGACAGAGCCCGATACAGTTCTGGGATAATCCGACCCGTGGGCTCGACTCTAAGACGGCCGTCGAATTCGCCCGGCTGCTGCGCCGCGAGGCAGACATTAACCATAAGACCATGGTGGCCACCATGTACCAGGCCGGCAATGGCATATACAACGAGTTCGACCAGGTTCTGGTTCTAGCTGATGGACGGGTGACCTATTACGGACCACGCCAGCTGGCAAGGGGATACTTTGAGGATATGGGCTTCGTCTGTCCGAAGGGAGCCAATGTCGCGGATTTCCTCACCTCCGTGACTGTGCTCACCGAGCGCATTGTACGGCCCGGCATGGAGGACAAAGTTCCAAGCACCGCGGAGGAATTCGAGAGCCGCTACCGCCAGAGCGATATCTATCAAAAAGCAATGGAAGGAGTTGACCCGCCGGAGAAACTCATACACGAGGTGGACGAGCTGACGGCCGCCGTGGCCAGCGAGAAACGCAAGCGGCATTTACCCCGGCCCCCAAGTGTCTACACCACGAGTCTATGGGAGCAGATACGGGCGTGCACCATCCGCCAGTTCCAGATTATGGCAGGAGACAGACTGTCTCTCATCATCAAGGTGGTATCGGCTATCCTGCAGGCCCTGGTGTGCGGAAGTCTGTTCTACAACCTCAAAAACGACAGCTCGTCCATCTTCCTGCGACCGGGCGCGCTGTTCTTCCCTGTCCTCTACTTCCTTCTCGAGTCCATGTCTGAAACGACCGCCTCGTTCATGGGCCGGCCCATCCTCTCACGGCAGAAAMGGTTCGGGTTCTACCGGCCAACGGCATTCTGCATCGCCAACGCCATCACCGACATCCCCGTGGTCCTCGTGCAGGTCTCCTGCTTCTGTATCATCCTGTACTTTATGGCAGCGCTGCAGATGGATGCCGGTCGGTTTTTCACCTACTGGATAATCGTCATCGCAAACACGCTGTGCTTCATGCAGATGTTCCGCGCGGTCGGCGCCCTCTGCAAGCGATTCGGCAATGCATCCAAGATCACCGGGCTGTTGTCAACCGTTTTCTTCGTCTACGGAGGTAAGCACACTGCTCTTACTTCAAAACGTCACTAACGATGTAGGCTACCTCATCCCATACGAGAAGATGCACGTCTGGTTCCGCTGGATCTTCTACCTCAACCCTGGGGCGTACGCCTTCGAGGCCCTCATGGCCAACGAGTTCGTCGGAAAATCGCTCCAGTGCGTGCAGCCGGACTACATCCCCTACGGGACTGGGTATCCCGGCTCGGAATCCCCGTACCGGGGCTGTTCGATCCCTGGCAGCGAGGGCGACATGATTATGGGGGCGGAGTATATCTCCGCGCAGTACAATTACTCGTGGCATCACATCTGGCGGAGCTTCGGGGTGATTATCGGCTTCTGGGTTTTCTTTATCGTTTTGACGGCGATGGGCCTCGAGCTACTCAATAGCCAGGGCGGATCGTCTGTGTTGCTATACAAGCGGGGGAGCCAGAAGACAAAATCGGAAGAAACCCCAACCCCGGTGCAGGAGGCCGCGCTGGCGTCGCATGTCAAGCAGTCGACCTTCACCTGGCATGACCTCGACTACCATGTCCCCTACCAGGGCGAGAAGAAGCAGCTCTTGGATAAGGTGTTTGGGTTCGTGAAGCCAGGGAACCTGGTTGCGCTAATGGGGTGTTCTGGTGCCGGAAAGACAACGTAAGTCCGGCTCTCGCTCCATAAGTTCAATATAGCTAATGTGACAGACTTCTCGATGTACTGGCCCAACGCAAGGACAGTGGCGAGATCTACGGCTCGATTCTGATTGACGGCCGGCCACAGGGAATCAGTTTCCAGCGCACGACGGGATACTGTGAGCAGATGGACGTGCACGAGGCGACGGCCACGGTCCGGGAGGCTTTGGTTTTCTCGGCGCTGCTACGCCAACCGGCTCATGTTCCGCGGGAGGAGAAGCTGGCCTACGTAGATCACATCATTGATCTGTTGGAACTGCGCGATATCAGTGACGCATTGATTGGAGGTAGGTACGCTGGCCATTCTGCCGATGCATGCTGACGGTGAGACAGTCCCCGGCGCCGGGTTGAGCATCGAACAGCGGAAGAGAGTAACTCTCGGCGTGGAACTAGTCGCCAAACCGACACTTCTGTAAGTTGTGACCTCAGGCAAATTACCGTGGCCTCAGGCAAATTACTGACTAAGTGTATTGCGTCTGTCCCCATTGTGGGCTAGGCGCGTTTCGTGCACATCAGTTTTCTGGATGAACCCACCAGCGGTTTAGACGGGCAGTCGGCTTACAATATCATCCGGTTCCTAAGGAAACTGGTCGACGGCGGCCAGGCAGTTCTGTGCACGATTCACCAACCATCCGCCGTGCTCTTCGAGGCCTTTGACTCGCTCCTGCTGCTCGCTCGCGGCGGAAAGATGGCGTACTTTGGCGAAACGGGCAAAGACTCGCAGATCGTCCTGGACTACTTCGCCCAGCATGGAGCCCCGTGTCCACCGGACGAGAATCCTGCCGAGCACATCGTCGAGGTAATCCAAGGCAACACGGACAAGCCGATCGACTGGGTGCAGGTGTGGAACGAGTCCGAGGAGAAACAGCGCGCGCTTACCCAGCTGCAAGACCTCAACGCCCGCGGCAAAGCCGACGTCAACTATGTCGAGGACACGGCCGACTACGCCACGTCGAAATGGTTCCAATTCACGATGGTGACGAAGCGGCTGATGGTGCAGCTGTGGCGGTCGCCGGATTACGTGTGGAACAAGATTATTCTGCACGTGTTCGCGGCGCTGTTCAGCGGCTTCACCTTCTGGAAGATCGGCGACGGCACGTTTGACCTGCAGCTGCGGCTGTTTGCCATTTTCAACTTCATCTTCGTCGCGCCGGGGTGCATCAACCAGATGCAGCCGTTCTTCTTGCACAACCGGGATATTTTCGAAGCCAGGGAAAAGAAGGTAGGCTACCCCATGCCCCCCTTACGGTCACGTAGTGCTAATGCTATGCTGTGCTAGTCCAAAATCTACCACTGGCTTGCCTTCATCGGCGCTCAGACCGTCTCCGAAATCCCCTACCTCATCCTCTGCGCCACCCTCTACTTCGCCTGCTGGTACTTCACCGCAGGTTTCCCCACCACAGCCAGCATCTCGGGACACATGTACCTGCAGATGATCTTCTACGAGTTCCTGTATACATCGATCGGGCAGGGGATTGCGGCGTACGCCCCCAACGAGTACTTCGCGGCAGTGATGAACCCTGTGCTGATCGGCGCGGGGCTGGTCAGCTTCTGCGGCGTCGTGGTGCCCTATTCACAGATGCAGCCGTTTTGGCGGGACTGGCTGTACTACCTCGATCCTTTCACGTACCTAGTCGGTGGCCTGCTGGGTGAGGTCCTCTGGGATGTGCAGGTGCGCTGCCAGCCGTCGGAGTTGGTGCGGTTCAGTGCGCCGGTAGGACAGACGTGCGGCGAGTACATGGCTGCGTTTCTGGCTGAGAAGCCGGGGTATTTGGTTGATGGGAATGCGACGGCTTGCGAGTTCTGCCAGTATTCGACTGGGGCGGACTATGCGCGGACGTTTAATCTGAAGGAGCGGTATTACTCCTGGAGAGATGTAAGTCCCTCCCTGTTCAGGTTGACAAGATTGAATACTGACGATGCAGACCGGGATTACGGCGCTGTTTTGCATTTCGAGCTATGCGATGGTGTTTCTGATGATGAAGCTGAGGAGCAAGAAGACCAAGAGTGCGCGGACGGAATAGACAAAATTATATAGACAGTGTATATAGACAAGTTAATATAGACAAGAAGCAAATCTATAGATATGGACAAGAGTGATCCAAACTATAACCTCATCCGCGCAACACCGGGCGTCCGCACGTGCGCAACATCTACCAACCGACCCAGGATAACATACTCCAGCTTCAGCTTGATGCTATACACCAACGCCTTAAAGGTAACCTGAAAGGTAAAGAAGCCGAGATACTGCACGACCACGACCGACACATCCATCGCCATAATGACCACATTGATGAAGATCAGCTGCACCAGGATCCCGTGCGAGCGGCGATCCGCATCTATCTTGAGCAGCGGCACCGCCTTGTAGATATACAGTCCCGAGAGCAGCAGTTCCTGCAGACAGAAGCCAACGAGCTGCACGCGCTCCATGACGTCGAATGCGACTGCGACCCCGTCCGACGCGGGCAGCGCATTCGTCGCGAACTCGAGCGCCGTGCAGGAGGTGTGCAGCACGACGCCGTCCACGATGATCAGGTATAGCAGGGCTCTCAGCGCGCGGCGGTTATCAAAGACGAGGTTCAGCCGCGACCAGAGGACGAGCGACTGCCCCGTGACCATTCCCGACCAGCCGACATCGAGGATGGCGATCTCGAGGTAGTAGTTTGTGAAGGTGATGCTGTAGATCTTGAGGACGTAGCCGAGGCCGAAGGGGATGATGGAGAAGGAGGCCACGAGGAGGGACCAGAAGTAGGTGCCGGAGTAGCGCTTGAAGGTGTTGAAGCAGAGCACGATCAGGTCCAGGGCATTGCACCAGGCGATGGCGATGAAGGTTGGGTAGACATATTGCTCGACGATGAGGGAGCTGATGTGGCGGTCGAGCCCTAGATCGGTCGAGGTGGTGTTGAAGGTAGGCATGAAGCCATGCCAGAGAGAGAGAGAGGGAAAAGTGGAGATGAGAATGGGGATAAAAATGGGGATCCGGAGTTGGTTATCAATAATTTTCTGGGGCATCTTTCCCCTCGGTACCGGCCAGCCAATTGCGTCATGGCAGCTGGTCCTGTGGGGCTGATAAGGTGTTGTGAGTGGCTGGAGATTATGGTCTGGCCAATCAGGGGGTGCTGATACCCTGTCTGGGCCAATGACAAGTCAGGATCTGGTAGTGTCTTAGGCTGATAGTAAGAGGTAGAGAGATAAGGTACAGCTGTTAGAGAGGTATTTCTGGAGTTGTGAGTTGTTGACTACCTTAGAGATGGTTACTACTATGGGGTATTGTAGGCTGCGCCATCTAGTTTCTTACACCAGGTCATCTACCCATCATGAATCACATCTGCACTGACAGTCTTCTGAACAAAAATACAACGAGGAGGAAGATTGCCTTCTTGCTGTATGTGGTCAACAAATCCCGAAAGCTCTGGGAGAAGAAATCACTCAACTGTGTCGTGCACAGAATCCATTATCACCTGGGTTTGGCCACAGAACTTCGTGGATTATTGCCCAAATTCACTCGTGTTTTGAACGCCAGGGACATTATGAGTGATAAGATACCTGATATGAGCGAGCCTGATGAATTTCCTTACTGCATCTGGTACCCCGAGACCGCGAAGGAGGAAACTTACCGGGTTCTTGCTATCCGCTATCCGCAGAAGTAATCTGGTCGGTCGAGCATGTGCTATAGCTGGTTATGTGAAAATTCTTATAGAATTGGGCCTCCTACCAGAAGCGACATTGCAGAAGAGGCACGGAGAACCAACAGTGGGAGATCTATAAAGCTATTATAGCAGCAGATTTGCGCTACAATGCTATAGATGACTACATGTGGACTGTATTCCTTAAGCCAGTTCTAGGATACCTGAATGCGGACACTGCAGTACAGTTGTACCTGGATGTCAAGGCTAAATTCCGGAAGCCGCCCCGGTCCCTCTATGACAGCGACACAGATTTCATTTTATTTCATTTTGTGCCTTGAATTTTGCTAGTCCGCCCAATAGCTCTAAGACTTCATTTATTACGCTGGCCAGGAAGGGAAGGTGGACGATCTGGTTCCTACTATTAGCATGCAACAAGTTAACTATCACATAGCCGCACTAGCGCAAGGCGGATGTGATAAGCAGAAGCCCAGAGCAGCGATAACCAAACGATCCCTAGTGCCTGAATCCTTATGCCGTACTTGCACGAATAACTCAGTGGATGTAGGCTTTGGAAGATGAGAAACCAAACAGACCTGTCTGACAGCCTCTGCTTTCGGATCCTGGTTCTTATCCGTAGCCGACCATCTTATTGGGGAATAATTGTGGGGAGAATGTTCGGACACGAGGCCAAGACCGCGCGGTTGGTCTTGGGCTCGTATTCTGCTGTTAACCCAATGTATGAGACGCTGCGTATTTAAGGGAGACCTGAACCTGAACTCGCTCCCGGGAAATTTGCATTTAATAACTCTTAACCATTCGTCCTTCTAATATCTTTAACGATGCTCTTATTAGCCCTGCGCTGAGCGCACAGAGAGTCGAAAATCGCCGAATCTTCTGCTCAGACTCTTCTTTTGGTCTTCTGAGACACTCTCTGAAAGGCCAACCTCTTCCACAGTTCTATCTCTGCAACGCCAACATGACCCGACTTCTGGGCTTCTTCACAGCGCTATACATACTCTGCTCTCTCCCAGGAATATCTGCCTGGACCTTCATTTGGAGAAACGTCAGCGACACCCCGACTGTCGAAGAAGGCACTGGCGCACAGCCCTGCAAGGCAATCGACCATGCAAAAGGCAAGTATTTCAAATTCGACGCCGGGGACAGTCTAGTGCGGATCTACCTGTACGGCTCATCCAGTTGCACGGATGGACCTAGCTGGACAGCTGAAGATTCTCTCGCAAAGAACTCGAGTAGTCCGATACGGGCGTTCGCGGTCATTGACCTAAGAGGCGCGAATACGAGCACTAGTAGCGAGCTCGAGCCTTTCCCTGGGAACGACTGGTTCAAGTCATCTCCTAACAGCCCGATTGTGACTGCCATGGGAAAGCGACTGGTGGCGGAAGGCTGTGGGAAGTACAAAGACGGTCCGGGACCCCAGTGGACTGAGGCGGACCAGCTATCTTATCAGTGTTGGCAAAAGAAGCTTGGCTACACTGCTGCGGACGCCGATGGGTGGCCCGGGAAGACGAGTTGGGATCAGCTCAAGGTGCCTCTAACGCAGAGAACGGCGTCTTCTACAACTGCGGAGACACCGTCGAATACGAGAACGGAGACGCCGTCGAATACGAGAACGGAGGCGCCGTCGAATACGAGTACGGGTACACCTACAGGTATGTTTGCTTCGGATACGACTGCCTCCACGAGGTCATCACTTGGCCCGGGGGAAATAGCTGGGGTAGTGGTGGGCTCTGTGGTCGGGCTAGGACTCATCTCGGCGATAATCTATCTCGCGCGGCTGATAGGGCGTCGATCTGCGCTGGGGTCCAAAGAGGAGGAGACAGAGCGAAAGCAAGAGCGTGGTGGCGATGATAGTGAAGATCATGATGTCGATGATGCTGCAGTAGCAGAAGAAGCAAAGTCAGTGGAGAAATTACCTCCAGAGGCTGAGGCCATTCCAGCAAAAGACCCGCCGAAGTACTTTGCCGAGCTTCCAGGAGATACGGCGACAGCAGAGTTGAGTGACAGTCGAAGGATCTTTGAGCTGGGAGACGGTCGAACATACGATCAAATTATGTGGTCGCCTGTTAGTAGCAAGTAGCCGACAATATCGGCGTATTAGAAGATAGAATCAGCCTTGCAGTCAAAGTGTATAGAAATGGCCAGTTTGAAAGCATAGGGGCAGCAGCGGCAGCATACGACATTCCAAGGTCTACCCTTACCTATCGAATCAGCTGTTGAAAAGCACGGGTTAATTTACACGCAAACTGCCAGAAGCTTACCAATCTAGAAGAAGCATCCCTAAAAAAGTGGATTTAGATATGGATGAGCGACGTTTCCCACCTACTCATGCTATGGTACGCAAGATGGAGGATATACTACTACATGAGAGAAATGGGGAATATGTTAGTGAAAGATGAATCACTAGATTGATTAAACGACATGATGAGCTCACATCCAAGTATACTCGCAAGTATGATTATCAACGCGCAAAATGTGAGGATCCTGAGATCATCATCAAGCAGTGGTTTGATCTTGTTCAATCCTATGCAAGTTACCTTTTATAATTATAATTCTTACTAATTATTGACATCCAGGAGATTGTCGTGACTACTGACGGAGACACTTGGTACTTGAGGATACTCGGTGCTTTGCAGCGACACGTGACTTTCAACAACATTTGACATTGCTTCTCATAGCTATACTCTGTAGGATGTCGAGTGCTAAGAGCGTGATTACGTTGTCTGATACCGATATCATGACGGGATCTGATGCCTGTGGAGCGTAGCGGATGGGGTGGAGCTTAAGTGATCTCAATTGATTTAGTATATAGTGGAGAATATCCTGGTAGGGAGTATACTTTACCAATGCTCCATCTGCTCGATTGTACATATTCAAGTTTCAAAATGTGGCTCCGTAATTCTCATCTACCTTGTAGAGTGATTGTGTGGTATGAGGCTCAGCGCCTCGGAAGCAGCCGCTTCCATATCATACATCATGCCTATATAGATACCACCTTGGGTCTGGAACTCTGATGATCGGTTATGCTGTCCGCGGTCCTAGTTCACAATCTGCTTATAAACAGCCACGTCTTCTCAGTACTCTATTTACCGGCTGGAAATACCTATGAAGGATATCACTAAGAGGCCTTCTAACGTCCTAGTAGACAAGAGTTATGAATTAATTCTTACATGCACAACCGGGATTGTCAGCTAAGAAGATAAGTAAAATTGTAGCCTAGCCTTGAGAATCTATCCTGTAGAACAAGCCTTTCTGACTATGGTTCTTTACAGATGACGGGCTAGAAAGGGTGAATCCTTCATCAATCTGATGGAGCACGCGTCGTACCTACATGACTCTCATACTCCGTAGTAGGATGACGCATTAATTAATGAATATTAGACTTGTTGACGAGATACATTAATTGGGGAATGAGCACACCGTTTTCTGCCCAAAGGCTAGTGAGGACCGAGAAGATAGAGCTATGCAAGTTTTTGGATGATGTCTCCTTAGCCTCCACGCTGTGAAATGATTGGGAACAATTGAAGGAAAGATATTGCATGATATGAAATATCCATCACACTCGGAGGTATTCTCGCTTCTGCATAACTCAATCTACTCGAATTGGCAGACACATCCGGGACTAATGATCTAGTGGCCGTGGTGCCGTCCGTTAATCTGTCTTAATCTATTTGATTTTCTTTCCGGCCATCCGATGCTGCACGTGCGCCAAAACATCCCCGAGATCAACACCGCTTATTCCGCTGTGGTACTTCTCCTCATTACCTGGCTTTCACAGTGTTACATTGTAAAGTGACCGCGACAAGATGGCCTGCTTAAATACAGCTTCGCCCCCCAGCATTGAGACTGCATAAACGTCGATCATCACCATGCATCTTCTACCTCTGATTCTCCTGCCCCTGACAGCCCAGGCCATCAACATCGTCTCATCCAACGACGATGGATGGGCCGAGATTAATATCCGCCAGTTCTACCAGGCCCTGACCGCAGCTGGACACTCCGTCGTGGTGTCTGCGCCAGCCGAAAACCAGAGTGGAACAGGTAGTCCCGCTCCCCCTCGTCAACGGCTTAATCCGTGCTGACCAACTCAGGCTCTTCTGACAAAACACCCACCACTCTGACGGAACCATGCGAGTTCAACAGCTGTCCCTCTGGCAGCCCTGCGACAGGTTACAATGCCTCTGACCCGCGACTCAACTATGTCAACTCGTACCCCGTCACCTCAATGAAATACGGCATCAGCACCGCGGCGCCCCCGTTCTTCAACGACGCCCCTCCAGCCCTAGCCGTCTCCGGCCCCAACGTGGGCTCGAACCTCGGACTGGCCGTGTACTTCTCCGGCACAGTCGGCGCAGCACACTACGCCTCCGAGGCCGGGATCCCCGCGATCGCGTTCTCGGGCAGTACCGGCTCTCAGACGGCGTGGAACGTGGCCGTGCCGGCATACAGCCAGGTGTATGCGCAGCTGGCCACCAAAGTCACCAATAAGATCGTTGCCTCGGGGACACCATACCTGCCCAATCACGTCTGGCTGAACGTCAACTTCCCCGAGGTGAGCACTGAGTGTGCCAGCGCGGACGACTTCAAGTTTGTGTTGTCCCGGATCTTCTCAGGGCTGCTTTCGGCGGATGATGTCGAGACGTGTGGGAGCTCGCGGCTGCCGACTGAGTCGACGGTCGTGGGTACGGACGGATGCTATGTCAGTATCTCTGTGGGCTGGAGCGACAAGACCGATGCAGCTGCCGATGTGCAGGCGATTGTGCTGGATAAGCTGGGTGATTTGTTGGTTTGTCTGCCTTGATGTCTCGGACGAGTGCATAAAGCAGCGATATTGCAGAGAGAAACAAAGCTGCTATCTGCGCTGCAATAGCTCCAGGATACCGGCAGCCGGTCCCTCGAATGAAATCCAAGTATATGCATATTAAAACAGTGAATGTGATCCCATCATTCACTGCTGAGATAATATGCTGATTGACGGTGAATACTACCCAGTGATACTGCCTACGTAGCGAATGTGTATTGTCGTACCTCCTCACCTAATTCTCTTGTCGACTGCCCCTCTCCTCCTTCCCGTTCTTCCCATTACTGAGTATCTTTAAATAAAGTCATTGAGGCTACTTCTGAAGATTAACCGTCTTTCCAAGGCTTCAACCTTGTTCTTTTGATACACTCGTCCAAGCTTTATCTAGCCGATAACAGCCCACTGCTAGCGTCGCAGGTTGTCTGGCATGCCAACTTGCATATATTTGCCGTGATTAATACTTGAAAAGGATACTGGGGCTTCAACATTGACCAAGCGCACTGTTCTCATCACGGGATTATCAGGAATAAGAAGACAGAGAAAGTACATTGACATGTCCTGCTAAGCACATATCGAGTCTTCTTGATCGTTTATTAGACTGCGCAGTCTGTTCGTCGAGGGTAACACCTCAACTTTTGCCGCCAGTGCCGCGGCCGCCATGCTCTATGCGAGTCAAGTTCTATTGGTGCCAATTCCATGCCTGTCGCAATGGCTTCACTATAGGAAAGGTTCCACGCTTTCCTGCCAAAGGCCTCCCCGGGCAGACAAGCGAACGCGGACAGTACACCAGTGCCATTGCGCCATACCGCCCCTTGACCAACTCGCCGAATGAAACGGTCGCAGCTTATATTTACTTGATGACCGGCAGGAAGAAGAGGCCGCTACATTGCTCTGGAGGGGGGAGGCGACTTGGGTTAAATTGCGATGGGTGAGCGTGCCCGAGTCCAAGGGAGGTGTGCTTGCAGAGCGAGAGTTTTTGTTTCGTGAGGTTGGATTGGAGAGATGGTTAAACGGGCTGGATCTGGAAGGCAAGGACGTCGCTACCCGGATTGAGCAAAGACGGCAGAATATGGAGGGACGCCGGCTGAAGCTCGAGTCCACCGAGGGAACGGGTGAAAGGAAGATGGATTCCAAGTCGGCAAAGGGGGACAAGGAGATCATGCGGTATGGCAATGATGAGAAGTCACCTCTGGAGAATGTCTCCAACGATGATATTCCGTATTCTGATTCCGACGACGGTCCGATCCCCGAGTCTGCTGGACAGATCAGAGTTGCGTTGCTCCGGGGAGAGCAAACAAGGAGAGTACTCGCCGCAATTTGATGGCATTTGTGAGCCTACCTATTCGGCCGGGGCCATCTGTCCGGCGCGACGCCTACCGGGCGCTACCGCCCATAATGAGAATGCTGCCTGCATCGTGTGTTGTGACATGGAGGCCTCAATGGACGACAAGGGCGCGCTTGTCGGGGACGGGATCCCCCCGTGCGCCTGACGTCCCGAGCTTAAATGGCATCACTGAGGGCTGGAGGATTATAGATGATAAAGTGAAGAATGTGCTCTCAGCTGAGACTGCACACCCCATGGAGAGGCTATTTATTGCCGTTTTTGCTGTGACTCTCCCCACCTCAGGGCTATAATCAAGGCCATAGAATATAAGGATAGTTCCTTATTATGCTTAGATATATGAAAGCCTCTAATTGAAACTAACTTATTATACTACTGGCAAGCCACATTGTATTAATACTGCATCTCTACTTATACTGAAATCTGCACTCTTAAAAACATGCACAGGAGAAGGGCTCATCTTATAAAAATACCTATTAAAATAAATAATTATTATGGGTAAAAATAGTTATTAATGCTAAGAATCACTTCGCATTTTGCTCCTAGTCATGGGGTGCTCATGCTATTATTGCATGCTGTAGGCTTGATTCTCTCTAGCAGTATGATACCCTTACTTTTATCAAACTCTAATCTGAATTGGCGACAAGGATTTTATGTGCCTCCTGAGATAGTCTTTATATGTCTGATTTCCGTCCTTTTCAGACTAGGTATAGATTATTTCAGTAATTAAGAGTTGTGTGCTTGGCTAGGATTGTTTATAGTTAAAAAGCATATAATAATAGAACAACTTACAACCTCTGGAGAGATTAGTATAGCTGAACAGGACACATCCCAGCAATGTATTCCAGTCTGCCTTCTGCCTATGGATGAGGACTATGTTACGTAAGTGGTAATGCAGCCTGTATTTAATGAAGGTCCCTACGCAGGCTGAAAGCTACTATAGTAAGGAGTTGACAGCTGGAGATGTTGCTTAAGTTGCCTTCCTCAGTATTGCAGGAGATAAATTTGAGGGTTCTAAGAATGGTAAGTCGCCTAGTGAGAAAGGTACGAGCAAGCTCTTTAAATGAAGCCGTTCAACGGAAGATGAATTTCATATAATACACACATCTCCACACACGTTCTCAAGGCGGAGTATTCAGGAGTATGCTCGGCTGTATTCCCAATAGATTAACTAAAACAGTATGGTCTGGAAATGTTCATCGAAATGCGTGTACCTCTATGGAAGGATAAACATGGCACGATGAAAATGTCACAACGTAACCTGATACCAGAGTACCCTGTTTACCATGGCATTGTCACAGTGGAATAAGCGATTCAACAGATATCGACCGTCGGTGTCCCGGACAAGCATGAACCTGCATATATTGACGGTATTGATTGTGTAGACAACCACACACAACCACTCCCACTAGCCGCCTGCTAACGATCAAATCGCAAATGCCGCCAGCACACCAATAGCCATAACCATTCCGGCCGGTTGATTCACAGCAGCATCCCCAGTCTTTGTAGACGAGGAGGCAGTCGCAGTAGTAGAAGTAGTCGTCTGAGTCGTAGTCCCAGTGGCCGTAGCACTAGTGGTCATGGAGCCAGTAGACGAACCGGTAGTGGTAGCAGAGGATGAGCTCTTCGTTTGTGTTTGACTGGCCGTGCTACTGCCACTGCCAGACGCGACGCTGACGTTAGGAAACAGTTTGCTGCGACATTCAGCTGGAATGCCAGAGGCGAATGCGGCGACATCAGCTGCAGGACATGTTTTAATGCAGGCAAGCATGGGATCGGACGGGCCCTGGAACGATGCGCAGGTGCAGTCGTCAAGTGCCTGGCCCGTTTCATCACCATTGCATGCTGAGACTCCGCGGTGAGATGTCTCGCAGGTGGTAACGCATTTGCTTTGACTTTGGGCCAGGGCCGAGGATGCGAGAAGGAGGGCTGTGACAATGGTGTTGGTGAGATGCATCTTGTCAAAGGAGAGGATACTGGTATTTTCTGTTGAACAGGAAGATTAGGCCGCAGTGGGAGACTAGAATTTGAATGGGGAACTTCAGGTCTTTAAGCTTGTGGGGATTCAGGGGGCCGATCATGGATTCAAGGCTTGGTCTGCAGGGTAGCAGCCACCTCGTATTCGTGGTCCAGTTAGAATCCGCGGCTGCTAAGGAACCCGTATTCTGAAAGTCTATGACTGGAGATCGCATGGTTTCTCCTAACATAATTCGTTAACTCCATACTTGGTTGAGATCCTGGGTATGGGGCCATCCCAATTTGGTCATTTTCTGGCAAGGGTGCCTTGGCTACCTCTTCGTACTAAGCCATGACCATTTTATTGGTTAAAGAAATCAAGTGGGGAGATTTAGCCCATAGGGGCTCCCCAGAAATGATCATGCCTTGGGGCTGAGTAGTGCTTCCCGTATTTTAGCACTGGAAATTAGAAATGGTGTAGTGGTCTGCCGAGCAACAGAGGAGCAGAGAAAATACAGGCTCAGCTGTAATGATCTCTCTGAATTGATTAGAATTGTGACAAGTGCTACGTTCCCATGGCAGACTGGAGTGCTTTATGCAGATAATTTGAAGCTTAGAACCTAGCAACATATAAAGGAAGAGATTTTTCTCTTTCCTCTAACTCGAGATTTATTAGGTGCGACAGCAATGCCGGTTTAAAATACTCAACCTAAGGTACGTCTTTAATCTGACCTTAATGGACACAAGCTATATTCGTCCTTCAGAATACTCAATGGACCCACAGACCATCGCCGCCAGTTCCTTTACTCCACCATTCATTGTACGTGATGTTTCTCATAGGACACGGCAAACCTATTTCGCCCACAGAGACTGATTGCCTGTAAATAATATCACTATCATTGGTCTAGATCGAGTATTGCGTATGCACCATGTCAATGGTCTGATATATGTTGATATCAATACAATGTATCTTCACAACTAAATGCTCACTATCTACTACTGTACATCGTCTAGTTCGGCACACACTGGGAGTAATAAGGATTCCAGTTCTTGCAGGTCGAGCCGGAAGCACAAGCAGTCGGACCAGTCCAGTTCAGTCCACCGCACTGGCCGTAGACCTTCTGAGTGCCGCCAGAAGCAGAAGTGGGCTGGGGAGTAATAGGGACAGAGCTGCTGGGGACGGGAATGCTGGGCGCAGGCGACGTCAGGAAGGTTGTAGGCGAGCTGGAGGGGACAGGGGTGTACTGGGCCTGGGTGGTGGGAACCTGCACGGCAATGGTCGAGTACTTGGAGGCCGCAGCAGACGAGGCCACTGGGGTGCTGCCGGCGCCTGAGCCGACGGTCGCGGTGCCGGTCGAGGTAATGGCCGAGGTGGTCTGTGTGATGGAGACGGCGCCGGAGTACATGGCAGGACCGGGGACGGTGTACGAGGAGATGGAGGAGTAGATGTTCACCATGATGCCGGGGTCGCTCTCAGTGTACAGCTCCGTGCCCAGAGTACCAGCCGGTGAGTCAGTGCCGGATCCGGTAACCTTGAGGTTGAAGCACTGGGGGTAGTTCTGCGCGCCATCTTTCTCCTCGGCGCTGTGCAGGGCGATCAGCTCGTGGCGAAGAACGTAGTTGCCGGGGGCAATGGATTTTGGGATCTCGACCATCCAGCTGTTGTTGTTGGCGATCATCTGGTCGTCGCCCCAGGTGCCCGGCACCGGCGAGTCATTCACTAGCCCTACTCCGTCGATCTTGAAGAATTTGAGCGAAGTTTTGTCGACAGTTGTACACGACTCTCCGCATGATGCGAGCATATCAATAACGGGTCCATGATGAGACTCTGGCCAGGCAGTCCATTGAAGTTGAATGCGATCGCCAGCTGCAATCTCGATATAGGCCTGCGCGTTGGTGGCGTTTTGGTGGCAGATGATGTCGGCGGAGTTGTACTGGCTGGGGGCGATGAAGCCGTTGCCGGTGTTGGGGGTGGTCCAAGCGGCGACCTTGGGAGGGTCCGACATGTAGGGGTAGCTGTTAATATCAAAGCCAGCATAGTAGACTCCATTGACAACAACGTTCGTGACATGGCCGTGGGCAGCGACACGGGTGGCGGACAGCAGAGCCGCCAGGAGAGAGAGAGACTTGGCTTGAGGCATTGTAAAAGAATGGAAGGAATATGAGAAGTGAATGAATGATTAGATGGATAGAAAGAATGTAAGCGACCAGCGCAGACTCAGTCAATGAGAATGAATGAATTGGTTGAAGAATGAAGAACTGTCGAACTATGGAGGTAACTGGTCTCTTTTAAGCTTGACAGACTCGGTATATCAGCCTGAACGCGTCAATGTCTCGGAATAATGCGTCCGGTGTTGAGACAACGGTTCATAATCCATTGGGCTCGGACCACTGCATGAATCAAGCAAGCCATTATTGAATCCTGAAGATATTGCTGCAAGCGCCATTTAATCTATCCGGAGAGTGTGTAAATAAGCATAAAACACTAGCTGTCTGGACCAGGGGCTCCTGTCGCAGGTTGATGCTCCTAGTGGAGACGGCGCCAACCTCGCCGCGTTTCGGGTCCACCAGTTGAGATAATCCGTCTATTCCGTGTACAAAGAGGAAAGATTGAAAACAGCCTGTGTTTCAAGTAAGTGAACTTTTGTCAATGACATGTCCCGTTGGCGGAAAATTCTGTCAGGTTCATGCAGAAGAGGAGCCGTGCCTGGTACCTGCATATGCAACAGTCAGTTCAATGGTAGATCCCTATCTTATTTGATTAAACTCATTCATTCGTGTCCGTAGCTCTCGATTAGCAAGAGGTTGAACTCGTCAGTGCATAAGATGTTCATGAGTGCAATACAAACAATACGCCTTGGCTCAAGTCAACAGATGCATGTCGAGGAGGAAGCCATACATTCAAGATGTCACCGCAAAAGGTCCAGGGGTTTCTTTCACACAGCCGTTAGTACGCATATGGAATTCACTATTTCTATCTACTCAGATGAGAGCTTCTACCTACAGCAACCGTCACTCATCAAGCAAAGAAAGATGTCGAACTATCATCGGTTCGTCTTCTATCCGCTCTTCTCAGCTTCCTTCTGAGCCGGCTTGACTGCCAGAATCACGTCACCCGCTGCACTGGCAATCTGCTCTCTGTGCTTGCAGGCTGTATTCATGGTATCAGAGAGATCCTGAGTCGCTTCTTCAAGCTTTTGATAGTTTTGCTCAGCAGCAAAGCATTTATAAAAGCGTTGACGATGAGACCAGCAGCGCCTAGGAGGTCATTCAGGGCGAGAGCCTGTTGGATGCATCCAGTAGTGGATCAGTTAATAGACGACATTTACCCAACTTGCCCACGGCTGATCAGGCTGCATGTCCTCATCACCTCAGACCACGCTTCACTACATCATGGGCAACTTTGAATCCATCAGGCCCGATAACCCCAGGTGTGAGCAGCAGGTCGGAGAATCCATGTCCTCGATGCCAACTCAGACTGCTGTTCATATGCAACAGATCCAACGATATCGTTACCACCATGAACCGGCTGCTCCGCTCGAACTTCGCCTATGTCATCTACGATACACACAAGCCTAAGCAGCTCCTCCAAGGCATCCATGAACGGTTCACCCAGATCGAGGGCTTGGCATGTCAGAAATATTAGGGCTTGGGTGCGGGGGTAGACAAGCCGCCCATCGACGAGTTGACCAAGAAGTGGAGGGGAGGAGTCCCGGGGACATTGAAGACATGGTCGATCATTTTAAGAATTACAGATACAGTGCCGAGGCAGCGGGGATTGCTGCCAGTCTTGCCATCTTTGTTGTCCTCCTCCCTCCCTTGATCGCCATGTTTGGGTTCGTGGGCTCGATGGCGGCTGGCATGATTTCCGTGATTGGAGGGGTCATAGTTTAGATTGTCGTCGGTATCATCGCAGCGGAGAAGTATCACAAGCTAAAGGAAGCCAATCGGGTGTTGACGAAGACGAAACAGCTGCTTGTCGAGTGTAAGGACAGGGTCGCTAACGCTGCTGTTAACTTGAAGTTGGCGGTCCGTTTGGCCCAGGCATAAAGACGCTCGGCAGGAGTATCTTAAGGAACCAGAACCTGGGTGATTTGTATCGAGATCCACCGGTGGAATGGAGCAGAGACTAAGAATGTTAGCCAGTACATGGTATTATCTTTATGGATTTTATTAAGTCAAGTAATGGGCTCAATGCCATGTGTATACATCCTTTTGCTCATAGATGGACGCCTCACTGATTTGTAGACACGTCTCTATCTAGATGGGTTGGGCCCATATTTGACCCATCACGTCATATATGGCATTAGGTGTAGCAACTAGCCACCTTAGCAACTTAGCCGTCCTTTCTACATATGTTGCAGAGTCACTAAGTCACTGTGAGAATAGTATGTTTGCCTCCGCTGCCACATCTGGTTAGCGTGGCTCGCACCTCCCACCTCCCTCTCTCTTTTCACACCTCACGTAGATATTTCCACTCTCTTCGATGCAATATCATGCGCTTATCTCATTCTATTCTCTCCCAGAAGTTGCATACAGTTAGCATCGACCGTCTCCTGAGTGGGGTGCAGCTAGGCATCGCACAGTTGGCTTCTAAGATACGGAATCCAACCATTTCTGACGAGCCAGCGGCTGCATTACGTCAACAGATATCGTAGCACTACAATCGAGTGTCGAGGCCAGTGGGCATTTCCCACGAAAGCGATGTCTTCAAAGAGGATCCGAACGTCGAAGGAGGAGGGTAGTAAGTAAGTATTGTGCCTGTAGTGTTTTGTTCCATGCTAATCTGCTCCAAAAACTTCGGGGAAAAACAATCGATAAAGTGGTAGGAGATGAGCAAGAAGTCTTCACCGTCCACGAAGGGTTGATCCGTGCCTCCTCACCATTCTTTAACAATGCCATGGCACATGATTGGAAGGAGTCTCAGCAACGCACTATCCATCTACCAGATGATGAACCCGAAATATTTGCGGTATATATGCACTGGCTCTACCGTCGCACACTTCCTGTGTTTTGTAATGAGCCAGGTCTTCCAGGAACTTCCGAATACCTTGACTTAGTGAAGGCATATGTCCTGGGCTTTAAAATACTAGACCTCAGGTTTCGAGACTCAACCATTGACGCTATTGTGGAGAAAAGCGAATCCGAAGCACGAGATGGGAGATGTCCGTGTCCCTCTGGTGAAGTGGTAAAGTATGCATTGGACAACACAAATGAGTCGGCTCCGATTCGCGAGCTACTCCTGGATATGTGTGCAAATTGGGGACGCAGAACATGGCTCCGCCTTTGGGCAGACTGTCTTCCGCAGTCGTTTCTGTTCGAGCTTGCTTCTACTCTTTTGGATTTGCGAGCGGATTCTGATTGGTACCCAGAAGCCTACGAGTATCATTATCGTCGCTCAGATGAAGGAAACAGCCCTAGGTAACTGCTGAGTTTGACAAACGAGTGGTCGGGTTTACAGAGCTTCTGGAATGATATTTTAATTACTATACAGAGTACAAGCTGGCTGGCACTTGCTTTGCTCATGGCTACGTTTATGTATTAAATTACACTTACACTTTGGTCTGCTCACTCTTAGTACAGGATTCAGGCCTATAGCCCTCACTCTCCTACCAAGTATCTTATAGCTTAACTAGTTGTTGGGAACCTTTCTTTTTTAGGGTGTACTATTTATATTACTTCTATAGACTATACTGATATCTTATTACTAATTCTGTTGTTTTCCTTTACACTATTTGAGATAGTGATGTCCGTTACATCTCTACGGCATCATATTGAATTTACTGTGTCTTTCTATTAGTGCCGCTCCCTGCGAGTATAAATACTTTTGAGCCCTAACATCCTTTCTATGCCCTGAATTGACACCGAAAATATTCCTAGCAGCCAAGGAGTAGAATGAAAATAGAGGAAAAGAGACGGTGCAGTGTCCCTAGCCAGCCACTTCAGATTGCTGGAGCCTGGACCTCACTAGATATGCTTTGCAAGATCGGCAGAAGTCGTAACGGGACAACTCGGCAACTGCAAAATGCAGTAAAATGCTTGCCTTTCTTGTTCATTGGCTCACTCCCCGTATCACGCTATACCGAGATGCGGCTGGGGGAAGCGGAGGGAAAGTTTATTTGCCGCCCCCAAGTAGGCTACATTGCGACTTAGTTGGGATTCTATTCATGAATGTCATTTGTGCCTCAGGATCGAATCTCATAAATAGTCTCATATTTCAAATTTACCTTACGAAAATACCGTACGCATCAGTTTTTGTGTGTTCCTATTACTTGCTGAATATTTTGCATTAATGAGCCTCGTCAATTTAAAGTCTCAAAGCCACATTAACATCACCAGGTAGTATCCAAGAAGATGGCGTTGACTAGTTCAATCTCTGGCTAGGTACAAACGACTTTCAGTCCATTGGCCCCACGCTAGCACCTAGTTTACTGCCAGTGCAGAGCAGAAGTACGATGAAATGGTCTGATACATTGTATTGCACAACGAGGAATCAAGGGATTAAAAAGTTCTGTTTCTTACTGGATGCTGGAAGTTCATATGTTACGCCACATTTTCTTATTCGTACATCAATCGACGTAGGTGGCTCTTATGTAGTTAAAACCACTGGTGTTGAGATTATTTGCCCTGTATCTTCTTGAATCTTTTCTCACGCCTCTTTGTTGTTGTATACTCATAGTTATGGCAACTCCTTTTCCTTTCCAACAATTTCCCCAACACACGGCATATCTAATGACCTATTTATAGCGTGGAAGAGAAGGTAGGGTACTGGTATATGCCTGCCAACATCCATATCAATGATCGAGAGTTACACTCATTCTGTAATTGAATCAAAGCCAACCACTAGCTAGGTACATTTAGATTTTGGCCCGCAGGGATATTGTGGGTGCCAATAAAACAAACTGTTCTCTTGATCCTCTAATAGATGACCAAAGTACACAGGAGAATCCCCTCGACTCCACTCGCGCTTGTTCATGTTCACACGTGAATCAGTGGGTCTCGGCCTCAGAGTTCCAGATGCGTGGTCCTTGTCCATCAATATGATGCTTATCAGGAAATAGACGTTTGTTCTCGCCTTTAGTTTCAAACCTTGTCTTTACAGTAGATCTAGAATTTCCTGTCTCACAACATTGGGGTCACCAAAACGTGCTTCGCTACATGGTCTGATGGCAACAGTACTGACTACTAAAGCTAATGACCTGAAACACCATTATACTCTGACATGATAAAATTTACAAGTTTGTTTTCAGTTATTTGAGAAACATTAGGTTCCCCAGCTCAGCAGATGATGTCACTGTATATTATCGCCTAATCAACATCATGCAATGCGTGCACATATAAGAAACTTTTATGTATTGCTTACTTTTTACTATAAGAATGACTTTTATTACTATTTCGCGTTCATTCCTTTTCAACTGTATAGTTGTCTTCCATTTCTTTACCTCAGCTGAGCAGCTTCCATCTTGTCATCATTCCATCAGCTTTACAGGCCAATTCACTAATTATCGCCCGATATCGCCTGCTCCTCACTGGTCTCACCAGATGCCATACACTGCACCATTAAAGAGTCCACATTATGCACAGTCCACTGAGTACTCTAACCCAGCTACCATGGCTGAAGTCAACACGAGCCGCATATACCTCCCTTGCTCATTTTTTTCCACCTACATCCGACCATACGGACAATCACCATCCAGCTTCACGCCATTTGCACTTCAGGCATTAAATAATAAAGAAGAAAGCGGCTGTAACAGAAACAATAAGGCCTCCTGGGACCGTGGTCGCCCTTTTACAGTCAGGGCAAAATTCTAGCAGCGAAGATTCCGTGCGTCAGTCAAGGGATATCCTCCAGCTGGAAACATCAGATGCAGTCCGGCCGACCAAAGAGACAGGGATGACATCCTCGCCGAGACAATTGTTCAATGACAATCATTCAAGCAGCCATAACAGTGCGGGCAAACAATCTCCTTCATCAAACAAGGATCACCACAATTTCCGTCCACCTTGGTCGTCTGCCGACGCTTTAATTCGTCGAAAGCAGCTGCAAGTATTAACAAGTTCTTCGGGGCAAACCAACTGTGATGATGAGTTTAAAGTGAAGCATCCACCGGTGCGTAAAAGGACTGGGGAGCTTGTCAGACCGGTCCTGCGCCCACTCTCAGCACGGCGCCACCCTTCTAGCATGCCGACAAACCCGACGCAGGCGAAGGCAGTCCGTTTTGACTCTCACTTGGAGCATATTCGCTACTTCTCAAAAACTGATAAACCGCAATTTGTCAGTTCCGGCTCCTCGCCTGTAGAGGATCGCGGTTCTAATGGAGACTTTCCCTCTGCGAACAGATCTCCCTTATTGCCGTTCTTTGAGTGGAAGCTGCTACTGTCGAACTTTCCCCAGAAGACACTCTATCCAGGGCACCATTGTTCCTCTTACCCGACAACAAGTTTCTGATTGGTATAGTGATGGTTGCTAATCTGGCTTACAAGAAAGATGTCGTACCCGCTTTACTTTCGATAACTGGAAGACTACATCTGAGGTGACTGCTGATTACAGTCCGGACGTTTCACAAGAGCAGGTCAAACAATAACCTCGATCGGTTTGTATTCAGCATCAATCTCAGTGAGCAGGAAAATTTGGAAATGAAAACTATGTTCGTCTGTATTCGGTATCATGTCAGTGAGCAGGACTTCTGGGATAACAACACCATGAGGAATTACCAAGTCAACTTTACCAAGGTCCATAAGCCCGAGCCTGGCAGTTACAAAGAGCATCCAAGCAATCCTTGGGTCAATCGTGATGATGGTATGACCGAAGAGGCTGATAACCCTATGCCTTTGCGCCGTCGTAAACTGGCCCGCCGATTGTTTGGTACCCGTTATGATTTCGATTTATCTTTGAATGCCGAGGTACCCGCAAAACTGGACCAGGATCCTACCATGCCAGCTGCTCAAGCACAACATGGACCGTCTCGGTCTACATTTCATACAAGGAAGGCGGATTTTCTTGATTCGCGCCATCCTGAACGCAAGCATCCTCTTCCCCTTGTATCAACAATCCCGACTTTCGAGTCCCCCAAGTATAGAGAGCTTGTTAATCGCTACTGTTACTCCGGTCATCCGTGTTCCCAGTTGGTCATGAATGAGCCACTGGATGTTTCATGAGCCTGTTTTGGAAGGTTCGGGTCTTCGACCTCACACTCACCGTCTTCACTTCTTCACAAGAGCGACGAATGTAGCCGATCTAGGGTATTTCTACACCCATACCTGGAATCCATCCAGGCAGACTGTAATTGATCCTATGCCGGTCAACTTATGCGGATTATCTGTCGTGATTCCATGCCTTCCACCTAAATTCGTTTGTTGAGTACCTCTCCATTGTCCTCTTATCTGCTGTATCGATTGCTCATAACCCGCAAAACTCCAGTAACTCTCCATCCTCCATTATAAAAGCCCAGATAGGGAAGTCTAGATGCTCCATTTGGGACCTTCTACTACACCAGGATTAGGCTTAGCTCTAGAACCCACAGCATTAGGTAGGAATCGTAACTCGGCTGTTAACATGGAACCACTAGCTGAGGCCAAAGCCCTAAGATGTAAGTATGTGTCTCTCGCCGCCTTCACAATACCCGTACCATGAGGTCACCGCACGTCCATTTTATGAATCTGGACCGATTGGGATTGCTATATGGAAAAGGGGCCGGAAACCGTTGAAAACCCTGGTCAGAAGCGGGAACTAGCCACGAAATCTTGGCTTTTGCCCCGAGGGGTGTGACGCGAGGGAGCAGCGATCATGCCATCAAACTCTTCCAAGTTCTCTGATCCTGACTTTTTGGGAACGAATGTAGGTATATAAATACTGACGCCCGTCCTGGTGATTCTCTTCAGACCAACGTGGAAAGAGCCCTATACTGAAGTATTTTATATTCATACACGCAGAGATGCTGCCCCAGTCGCCGTGCACTCGACCTTTTGAACTTCTCCAGAGATGCCAAGAGAAACTCAGCGATCTAGTTTCGAGTCCTGATCCGAATCTTCGCATAATAGTTGGTCATTTAAATATGCTTGATATTCTTGTTGGCACTCCAGATGCAAATTACTCAGGTTACTCAACGCATATGTGCTGTTCCGAAGACGATGGCGAGGACGTCAAAGTAGTGGAATACAACGATTCTGCTGCTTCATCATCCGAGTCAGACCTGGACTCAGATACCGACTCCGATGACGACTACGAGCTTTACAATCGTCGTGGTATTCTTTCAGTGCGAAATCCCGACCCTCCATGGGGCAGTATTTGCATTTCGGATGTTGACTTGAAGCCGCCAAATGCCCAATCCAACGAGGAAAACACAACGGATTCCGAACGAACAAGACCAGAAGCCGGAAGAAAATCACTTCCCCTAAATACAGCAGTGTCGACAGCTTCCAAAGCAGACGGTCAAGAATTGAGACAAGTTCCACCTGAGGTGGCTTGGTGGCGCGAGAACGGCTCTTTCCAAACAGGGTGCCTAGGACTAGCGGGGAAGAGTGCTTCCAACCCCTTATCAATTTCTTTTCCATCAGCGCATGGATGAGAAAAAGACACATCATCTCTCGGCCATGCCATTGATGGGAGAAGCAGTAGGGCTGCTTTGAGCGCACAACAAGCACAATACTGGCAGTTTAAATGACGCTTTCTCTGCAAGTCCTTCATCGGTGAATAAATGGCCTATACACGCACCATCTTTTATCGGCCCATATTCTAATTCCAGATCGTGGTGTCTATTTCGCGGACTTACATGTTATAGAGCATCTTAGTAGTTCAAATTCAAGGTCGGCTTCAGACCTCTCCGATAATCTTATAGGACCTTCTATATGGTGATACATTGCCATGTTTGTTAATACATGGCTGTCAACCGATGACATACTGCTTCACTCCGGGGCAGCCACCACTTTGCGTATACTGTCTAAGTACTGGTTTACTGGTAGACAGAGAGCGAGGGGAAATATTGACTAGTGAACTACGATTAGCTGGAAGCCTGGGACAGTAGAGTTTGATCTTGTTTCCTACTGTATATTGTGATATTTGGAGTCTTGATGCAAGGAACTTTGCGATTGTTGCCCAGATAACACCCAACTACGCAAAATCAACAATGAAATGTAACACGAAAATACAGGCGTCAATGGCTAACCCAAGAGAAGATGAAGACGCTAGACTGAAAAGAAGGACTCTAGTCTTGTGAATATGTCACAGCACTGTCTTTATACTCTCTAGCTCTCCCTGCAGCGAGATGTTTTTAGCCTGCAGGTCTTGTATATATATAACTGCCTTTGCCAAGATGCTCGATTTCTTTAGTGGAGCCGCGGTCTCCTGTGAAGAACGAGGAGATTTCTTATCACCTAATGCCTTCTCCAAAGCTGCAAACTTTTTGTTGATGTTGTCCCGATATCGTTTCTCAATAAGATTATGTGTAGCTCGTCTCATCGCCGCTTCATTGCCGATCTGGATCCTATTTGGTTTTTTTGCTGGACTCTTGACGCGCTTGTTGGTCGAAGGGATAAGGGAGTAACTGGAATGGCAATCTGATATTGCTAAGTGCCGTGTGCATGCATAATGCCCAAGTATACATATCGTTTCAGAAAGGGGTAGACCAGGTTCATCTTCTGAGGACTGGTGAGCAGAACAGTCCTTTTCAGCGGAGTCATTGATGGAGACATTAGACCATTCTAACAAGTCCTCAATGTCCTGGTCCTGAAACAAGCAATTAGATTGTTACTCTAGTGGGAGGGATTGCATAATAACTTACCGAGGATATTACAAGCGGCCAGTTAGGGATGGAGAACTGACTGAGAGTCGTGGCAGGTTTAGAGTGTCCCACAGGGAATACTCCCTGGTCTGCGCTGGCTTGACTGTTTGTGGCATCTGTAGATAGAGCAGTGGGAGGTATCAGGATGTCGAAATCGTTGCTTGGCTGGAAATAATCCCCCTGCTCAAAGAGATCATTTTCGCTGAATAAATTGAGAATGGTATTATCCATGGGGATACTCAGAGAGAAGAGAAAACAAAGATTTGGGCTGGGATAAAGAATTGTAATCTTTGGAGGCCTCACTCCCCAGCTATGTCAGGACACTGATATAAATAAGTACAATATTATAAAGAAGCATATGATGTCATTTATCAACACAAAGGGTCTTGATTGCTCTTAATGTCACTGTTCCTATTCTCTAGAAAAGCCACATCCGTCACAGGAGACTTGCTATGGCGTTAAGGTACGACGGGAAATAATACCATTGGGGCATCGCGGCCGGCTGTTTGGGTTCAGATCGCCTGATATCTGCAAATGGCTGCTGAAATATGAGAAGGGGCAAAATGTTTTCCCACAATCTAATCTACGTTTGAATCGGCAGGAAACACACTGGCTAGCCTTGTAACTTTCCACCTTGACACTCTCATTAAACGGTCCCTTAGCCAGCTATTGCGAAAACCTTTTCAGCAGACTGGCCCGAAACGGACGAGAGACTGGTGACTCTCATTATTTACTATGAATAGTCGTAGAAGTGACAAGTCTTAACTCTTGGGAAGGTGTATGCGGGGAGGACTTAGAATCCGCCAATGAAAGCAGTAGGGTGTGCTCAGCTGCAATGTCTGTTTAACTTTCGTTTGGATTCGGCCGAAACTAGTTACTCCTCGGATTTCAGAGACTCAAGTACAATAGCGGGGATTAGGAATAGCGTACATGGGATCAAAGTTCCAGACTCCCACTAGTCCACTTGTAAAACCTTGTGTTGATGTCCTTGATGTCGCGTTTGCTGTGTTGCCTGATATGTAAGGCAGTAAGCTTGTCCTAAAGAGGTTAGCGTGTACAAACAGTACTATGAAATAGCTTCTGTTGTATTCCCTGCTGTGTTGCCCTACCTTACTGCTATCTCCCTACTGGGTAGAGATGGTTGCCTGGACACCTTTTTGGCTGAGTGGTTGGATGTATGACAACTTCCAAATTACTTAGGTTGTCCTGCCCAAGACGCAGGCACGTCATAACCAGCACTCGCGGTCTTATTTCTATCAGCCCATCCAAATCCACATTACACGTCACAAATCTCTCAGATGTGAGAGACCCTCACATTGAGTTGCTTTCCTGCCGTGGTTGATAATCGATGGCCGATAACAGATAATTCTCAGTTGTTAGGTGTGGCGGAATGTTACTCAGAACAATCCAGCTTCGTTGACGCTAAGAGATGGGTGTTGGTCTCAGCAAAATTAGCCGGATAGGGCAAAAAAAAAAAAAAAAAAAAGCCATACCAGGTGTGTTTTAGAATCTCATCTTGCTGGGGTGTTTCAGACAGGTTGCTGTGATTAGAGGCCGAAATATTTCAATTACATTCCAACCCACACAACCGAACTAGAGGAATACATTCTGTTGCTGGACGGCGCCAGCAAATCATATGAGTGAGTTTGTGGGGGTACAACGCGGACGCCCCTTTATAAAGTCCTGTTGGGGCACCGTATAAAAGTACACTAATATTGGATGATTACTTAATTTGGAAAACCTCTGCAACAAAAGGCCTGTCTACTTGTCACATGCGTCGGTAAGTTCGAGGATACGCCAAATTTGAAGGGGGTTCCGGAGGCTGCCATTAATTTGTCTTAGTTGTATTGTAGTTGCTTGATGTTACCGTTCGGTCTCCAAGAATTAGCCACTTTATGTTCGCTTAGGATATTGGCCGCTCGAAGCGATTGGGTAAGATCTCTTAACGGAGACACCAGCCTCAATAACAGGTCCGTTCCCTGGTCTCTGGCATATTTTCGTTCCTGGCCTGCTGGAGTAGCTTGCACCATGTGGCGCATCATGGATCTTACTGTGCCAGTCATGCCTGGAGGGCGAATCTCCTAGACTAACTCCAGTTTCCAGGTAGATGAACTACTCACTATCTAGCAATAATCCTGAATCTTGCCTCTTCCAGTGAACATCCAGCAATATAAATATCATTTGCAGACCAGGGAACTATGAGAAAAGATTGGTAAACTAGCTGGGCTGAAGGTCTAGCCTGTAAAAGACGAAGCTCTTTGTCTGTATTCACATTTAATCGTATGATGATACTCCACACAGCACATCACATCATGCAACAGAAAAAGAGTACGTCATAGGAGTTTTGTAGTTATAAGTAACGGTTATTCCAGAATTCATGGCAGCTTGGTAGCATTCATTTCTCTTTATCTGCTTCAAATTGCCTACGTCTACAACAAGCAATCTATCCCTCCGCGTCCCAACCTAAAATTTCTTATATAAGAGAGGAAGGGACGTCAGCAACCAGTATGTACTACAGTGCTGGAAACTATGAGGCCTTTGCCCGGCCACGCAAGCCTGCAGGTGTAGAAAGCAAGCGAGCATGGTTCGTCGGTTCAGGACTCGCATCATTGGCCGGTGCTGCATTCCTGGTGCGCGATGCTCAAATGTCTGGTGATAAAATCACGATCTTAGAGGAGAGCGATCTCCCAGGAGGTGCCCTTGACGGCATCAGGGAGCCTGAGAAGGGTTTCATTATACGCGGCGGACGGGAGATGGAAGACCATTGGGAATGCCTCTGGGACTTATACCGATCCATCCCGTCACTTGAGGTTGAGGGTGCCAGCGTTCTGGATGAGTTTTACTGGCTGAACAAGGACGACCCGAACTATTCATTGCAGCGTGCTACAATCAATCAAGGTCAAGATGCAAGGACTAATGGTCGTTTTGGTCTTAGTCACAAAGCACAGAGAGAGATCATAAATCTCTTTCTCAGTCGCCGTTCTGAAATGGAAGGCAAGCGCATCCTCGATGTGTTCAGCCGAGATTTCTTCCAAAGCAATTTCTGGCTGTACTGGCGGACTATGTTCGCGTTCCAAGAGTGGCACTCAGCTCTGGAGATGAAGCTTTACCTCCACCGATTCATCCACCATATTGGCGGCCTAGCGGATTTTAAAGCATTGAAATTTACCAAATATAACCAATATGAGTCCCTGGTGCTGCCACTATACAAGTGGCTCCAGGACCATGGAGTCCAGTTCCAGTACAGCACGAAAGTCACCGATATTGACTTTTTAGTCACCGACAGTCGAAAACAAGCCACCTGCATTCACTGGAGCAAAATGGGAGAAGACGGCAGTGTAGAATTGCATACTGATGATCTTGTTTTCATCACTATTGGCTCCCTGACGGAGAATTCAGATTCTGGGGACCATCACAACCCAGCACAATTGAATGAAGGACCAGCTCCAGCATGGGACCTTTGGAGGCGGATCTCACTCAAGCACCCGGCTTTCGGCAAACCGGACGTGTTTGGCTCGTCAATTCAGGAGACCAAAGGGGAGTCTGCCACTATCACTACGTTGGACGACCGAATTCCGAGCTATATCCAGAAGATATGCAAGCGCGACCCGTTCAGCGGTAAAGTAGTGACCGGCGGCATCGTCACAGTTGCAGATTCAAGTTGGTTGTTGAGCTGGACTGTTAACCGACAGCCTCATTTCAAGAACCAGCCTCGGGACCAGATTGTGGTGTGGGTGTACTCATTGCTGGTGGACGTTCCTGGAGACTATGTCAAGAAGCCTATGCAATGTTGTACCGGTGAAGAGATTACCCAAGAATGGCTGTACCATCTAGGGGTGCCCGCTGATGATATTCCAGCGCTTGCAGCTGCTGGTGCGCGATGTGTGCCGGTCATGATGCCGTATGTCACGGCATTTTTCATGCCTCGACATGGAGGAGACCGGCCTGCAGTGGTTCCTGAGGGAGCCGTGAACTTCGCATTCATCGGGCAGTTTGCAGAGTCCACTCGGGACACGATTTTCACTACAGAATACTCTGTGCGGACTGCAATGGAAGCAGTATACCAGTTACTCGACGTTGAGCGTGGTGTACCAGAAGTCTTCAGCTCGACTTATGACCTGCGAAAGCTTCTAGTTGCCGCGAACAAACTGCGTGATGGAAAAGAAATAGATCTACATCTTCCTCATGCTATCAAACAACTTCTCCTAGAGAAATTGGAGAGGAATGAGATTGGAGCGCTTTTGCAGGAATATCATCTTATCTGAGATGAATGGTGTATTCTACCTTTTTACATCGTGATCTATGGAAGAGATTAATGCATGTGAAACTACAAATCAAGGACTTTCTATGAAAGGTATGAGCATAGTCAAGTGCCACATCCAACGACTGAGCTCTCGAGTTGCACATCATTGCTGAGATCATGCAAAATGCACAGTACTGTTTATAATGTTTATAGTAGTTCCTGTGAAACACATTGCAATCTGCACCTATCCCAAAAGCCTCATCGTCTAGAACTAACTAGGCCATTTGCCTTGTTATGTAATTCACAATAATTTGCGGCTAGATTATGGTTTGCAAAACAATTGCTTGTATTTCTCTCACCATAATGCATTGCTTCAATATATTGTTAGCGCTGACGTGTATCTCTCGATCAATCTGATGCTGCAAATTCTGGTGCGGCTTGACCGAAGACGGGGTTCTTGCCGATTGGCGAAAGCCATCAGTGACGCAAAAGAGATTTAGTGAGACCACCTGACTTTGCCCTGTTTCACAGCATCAAATCACATTATCAAGTTGGATCAGCGACGGATTTGTTCTCTCATTATTGAAACGGGCATTCATCGGCGACTTGTCAGCCAATTCAAGGGTATAACAGAGTACATTGCCATTTTCTTACTCTAAAAAATGGGCTGCAGTCCAGAAGCTGCAGGAAGAAACTCTCGGTCGCGCTATCAGAACCAAGTCGACTCAAGGAAAGCGAGCCTCCTCACCGATGTGACGACGCACATTGAGGAAAAGGATGCAGAGGTGGTCTTGCACGGGCAAAGTTATTCAGGTTACAGGACGCTTTTTGTCGAAAGGCTACTGGAAGCATTTACGGGCGCGTTTTGCGGCAGATGGGTGATTGAGACACAGATTCATAGTATGGTTTCCTGGTTACGAGAACAGCCCGGTACCATGGTACATTGCTGATCCCCAGAACCACATAATGGGAAAACTGCAGCTCTGTCATTTGGCGACGTCTGACGTTGCCGTTTATAGCCAGTTTTTATATTTCACAGTCTACGCTATCGTAATATGGTACACAGTCTCGCTGACGACCTGGATACCTCCAACATTGACTCCATACTTGGTAAAAATCAGCAAAATAGAACACTGTTCCTGGTCACAGCTACATGGGCCGTCTGGAGCAACTATTCTTGGTTCAGGAGTGGTGTCTTGTTTAGTCGTCCGTGCGACCGGAGCTGGACCGTGGAAACGGCGGACAGTCCCTGATATGATCTAGTGGATGGGGCATTACATTCAGGTGCACCCTATCATTTTGGCTTAATCTTCGTACGCTTGTGTCTCCAGTATTTGGATATTCTGGAAACTAAAACACAGGAAAGTAGGCGGCTGGCATCTCGACCCGAAGCATCCCGGCATCTTCTAGGGATTGAGTTTGTGGGATAATATCAAGGCTACCTGATCTTCTGCCAAGGAGACGTTATATTTATGTCGTATCTCGGATCCGAAGTATCATAGTAAAGAGAGCCGACAGAAATTCACAAGCACCAAGCTCTGTCCAATCAATACTGCGGCTAAGGTCGCTGTCTAAAGTACCTAGGTAGTCCGTTCGAGGCAGACACCCAATCACATTTGCCGTCTGTCTGCATTCAGGTGACCTAAGCTTTGGAAGGGGGGATCTTCACAAAGTCTATCCTTCCGCGAAGATTACAACATCGAGAAGCTGACTTTCGGCCGAAGCCACTCTGCATTCAAATACCACCTTGCTAATCTATGAGCACATCAGGCGACCCAATCATTTGGTTTAGAATGGCTTCTGCAGAATCATTTATCCTTCTGCGGAGGTTCAGCACCGAGAACCTGAGTTTCCCGGAGTCAGTCTGTATCCAAATCACCGTATTAAAACCATGAGCGTCCTTCCCTTCTCCTCTCCATCAACCACACATGCCTCGCTGCATCTTGATCGTCGGTGGAGGGATCGCCGGGCTCACGGCGAGCATTGCTCTAGCCAAGGATCTGGCGGAGTCTGAGCCAGACCTGCGGATTTCAGTCTACGAGAGTCGACTGGAACAGTCAATAGGCGAAGGTGGGGCCATCAGCCTCACCCCTGTCGCTCAGCACTACCTCAATCAACTGGGTATTCTGCAGGAACTCGACCGGCAGGGCGAAGATTCAGGCATTGAAGTGGACGAGATCAACATCTTCTCCCTGCTCTCTGGGCGATCTATGGGACCGCTGAAATTTGCCGACGAAAATGGTTGCAGTTATGGGGGATACAAAAGCCGCCGCGTGTTGCGCAATGCTCTCTTCCGCGCATTTTTGGCTGTGACGCGAAAGTATACGCAGATATCTGTGGTGTTTAAGAAGAAACTGGCCAGCGCTAGCACAACAGGAGAAAAAGTCACCCTGCAGTTCAACGATGGCACCACAGCCATAGGGGACTTGCTGCTGGGATGTGATGGTGTCCACTCTGCCGTCCGCACGCAGCTCATTGACCCAGACAATCACTCTGAATACTCTGGGGTTTCCTTCATCCAGAGCCTGGCCACTACTGATCGGGCAACACTCCCCACACACTTTGACCAGACAGCGATCCATCTTACCAGGCACGGATCGCTGCTAACCAGCTACTGCAATGCCAGCCACCAGACCATGTTCGTGGCGGCCATCATGCCAGTAAATGACTTCATCGTTGAGCGATACCGAACGCTCGCAGGCTCTGTCCAGGATGATGCAACGCTGAATTCAGCGCAGATGGCACTTCGCTACCAGGTGCGTAGCAAGTTCGGTGTGTCTGCCTTTCCGTGGATCCGGGAGTGGATCGATAAGACATTTGATTGGGTTCTATATCCCATCTACCAGGTGGAGCAACGGGGAAAATGGTTTGTCGATCGGGCTTTGCTGCTGGGGGACGCTGCACATGCAGTAAGTTTTTTCACTTCCGTCATATACCATAGAATACCTGAATTAATATTGTAGATGCCGCCGCGCGAGGAATCCGCCGCATACGCCATCGAGGACGCGGTGACCTTTGCTCAAATTCTGGCTCGTGGAGGAGATCGCTCCCTCTCTGATCTGTTTCTGGAGTATGAAAATGCGCGACGAGAGCTGGTTAACAAGGCCTTTGACGCTACTCGGAGACTATGGCAGAGCGACCTGGATAAAGGCCTCTTCCCTGCTCATTTCCGGGAACGCATGTCGCCGATTCAGCTGCTACCGAATAACTTGCAGGAAGAAAAGACCGGCGATCCAGAACGAAAGCCGGTTTGTCCCGCGCCGATGCATGAGAGCATGTCGGACCTGTCAGTGTACATGCTGACCACTGGGCTCGAAGGAGCGATAGAAGCTGACGAGGCCGGAAGAACGAAAGCACGCGTGTAGATGACAAATTTCTTTCAGGTCACGAATATGGTAGGAGCACGGCGTTTGGACTCAGGATTTATGATAGCGAATGGCAACTATCATAATAGGCAGCTGCGATCATGTTAATCAAGTCCTCGTAAGGGAAACATAATGTAGTCAGGTACCAAGCCTTTGCCATTCGGCGATAAACTATATTCGTAATGAGGAGAGGGCTAAAGACCTTCGCTGCCGCTCGCGATGGAGAGGTTCCGGGGGTGGGGGGTTTCCGGCGTAATATATCGCCTTGACAACATTTGACAACCACAACTAATTATGTATTCGCTCTTAACTGGGCACGCATAGGGCTCGCATTGAGGGTTCTGGAGGACCTCCGAATAGTTAAGTGAATGCTGTCTTATGATAGGCAAGTGACTTGCTGTTTGGGAGTCGCATTATGTGAGTTGCAGATGATTCTCCACGTTTCTTGACAAGCTCTAAGCGACAACTTATAGCGGATGACATAACTCCTTCTCAGAGCCTTCGCTGAGTCTCCTTTGAACTCCTCCGTCAGATCTGAAGTCTCCTCTCAACGTATCTTCTGTCGTCGATGTTCTGCCTTCAGGTCATAGCAGGATGGTCATGCATGCCTATTACGCAGGATGGACTCTGATTTCTGCCTTGGATCTTACGTCGAGACTAAAATCCAACGGGAATTTCTTCTTTACTGCTCCATTTCTGGGTGCCAGTTTTATGATACCCCGGTTTCGCGCCTAGCGATTCGTCTCCCTTCACTTCATCACGTTCTCTGGGATTCGCAACCAAGTGTCACAGTGTCACATTTTAGAACCAACATACTCACATGGCAGGACACAATACAATAATGGTCAGAACTGCCTTAGATGACGAGGACGGGCACTACACCGCCCCTGCGTTTAGCCCTGAAATGCTGGAAAGCTCACTGAGGTTGCCAAGCAATGTTATCCAGAGTTATTCAAATTATTCCAAGTAGTCAACTCCCAGCTGAGACACTTTCGACCAAATCCGGCTCCACTTGCAGGAAACGTAGGAAAGCGTCGGGGAGAATGGACAATTGCTTGCTGGAAGAAATGATCAGCGTCCTGGCTGGCTGACCGGCGGAGGTATATAAACGCCACCAGGTAATCGACAACACAAACGAGTCGGCTCCAATTCGCCAACGACTCGTGGACATGTACGCGGTGAGTGGATACAGAACATGGCTTCATGATTGGACAACACCGGCAAACGTTCCGCAGCCGTTTCTGTTGGTGCTTGCTTCCAGGCTCTTAGATTGGCGACAGGGGGATAAGCTGTCCTTCGAAGCCTACCGGTACCATGCTTATCGCTCAGATGAAGGAAACAACCCTAAGAAACTGCTGTGTGTGACAAAGGAGTAGTCAAGTTTACAGAGCTTCTGAAAGATCTCTGGTAAATACTTTCTGTAGCAGCCAAGGAGTAGAATGAAAAGGAAGGAAGGGAGGGATTTGAAAACCATGACTGGCTCTGCAATACAAGAATCACGCTTCTTCTCATAGCTTGTTTTGCCAAGTATCCCGACTACTCTATGCCGATGGCGCAGAGTCCCTCAGACTGCCCAGCCTCTAGATATGCATTGTCAAGATACAGTAGAGACAATCACAGTCGGACGGCAACTGAAAAAATGTATAAAATATCAACATTGCTAAACAATTCTAAACATGCAGAAACACCCGCTTCGATATATACAACTCCTGCAAATACAAACCCCAAAGCATACTACTCAATCAACCTGACTCTAGTCGGCAATCCCAGCGAAGGCTTAGCCGTGACATCCAGAACCTGATACATGAACGTCCCCTCCTCATAGACAATCTCAAAATCAAACGTCCGCACAGTCATCACCAAGGCAATCTTCAACTGCATCAGCGCCAGAGTCTGGCCAAGACACATCCGCGGTCCCTTCTCGAACGGTCTCCACGCGTTGGCGGGGACAAAGTATGGATCCGCGGGATCGGTAACGAGGTGTCGCTCTGGGTAGAACCTCTCTGCGTCCTTGAAGAGATCTTCCCGGCGCATGGTCGCGCAGTTGTTGACGAGGACGGCGAAGGGATATGTGGGCCATTCCTTGCTGTCCGCGAGGAGGGTTTGATCTGGTTGGCCGCGGCGAAGGCTGACTCCCGTCGGAGGCCAGAGGCGGAGGGCTTCTTTGATGACGGCGAGGGTGTAGGGGAGGTTATTGACGAGGTTGGGGTCGTTGCGGAGGAGGTTTGCCGCGGCGGAGGGGTCGCTGCCAAAGAGGGTGCAGTGTTCTTCTCGGAGGGTGTGGAGGACTTGGGGGTGTTTGCTGAGGGCGGCGTATGTATACTGGCTCTTGTTAGTGGTGGTGGAGTACAGAGTGCAAAGGACTTACACAGAGAGTGCTAGCTGATGTGTCGTGACCGGCGAAGATCAGCGTCTTGACGGACGCGATGAGCATGTCCCGGGTGTATTTATCCATGGCAGTGGTAGGTGGGATAGACTTGTTCAGGTTGCGGCTGGTAGCAATGGCATCGTCGATGGCGTAGTATTTGGCCTTTTCGCTTGGAACGGCAGTTGGGCCGCTGACGACTCGTTGGTCTACCAGACGACCGACATAACGGTCTAGAGCACGTCCGTTACTCCACTTTTGATAGTGTCGACGGGGACTGACGTCGTAGAGATACCGAGACCAGAAGTCCTGAGGAGCCAGGGCGGCCTGTTTCCTGAAGAGCTCGAGGAATTCATCGTCATCCCTCTGCGCGTTGCACTTGATTCCCCTGTACAGTGTCAGTTGATGCTTGGTCCACAACAAAGGATGTGTAGCTTACAAGATTACCCAAGCCGAGATGTTGAATATCATCCTCGCACCCAGATCTTCCATTCTGAAGATGTCATCCTTCCGCGCATGTTCTTTGAGAACATCAGCAAAAGCCAGCGCCTCATCCACGATATTCGGAACGTGCTGCAGCAGCTTCCGCGGCTGGAAGCCCGGTGTGAATGACTTGCGCGCAATGAACCAGTCATGTCCATTCGCAGAGACCATAGACTTCTCGCCAAGGATAGGACCGGTCCACTTCTGCATAACGGCAGACTCCTTGGGAAGGTTCATCTTGTGGACGATCTGCGTCGCCAGTTCTGGATGGGCAATGACAAGCTGGGGCGGCGCGAGAGGCCACAGATCAAGGTAGAAGAAGTCACCGAGACCGTACCGCTGGCGCATCAAGTGCGCGAACAGCTGTGGGGTTGCATCGGCCGGTAGAGTGCTTGCGATTTCTCGCATGATTAAAAAGTGACCCCAGATAGCGTGATGCGGCGGCCCAGGGAGATTTTTGAACATGCTGCGTTGCTGGCGCAGTCTTACGAGGAAGTAGCTCGTGAGAGCGGCTAGGACGAGAAGTAGAGCGAGCATGGTTGTATTCGGGTGTCGAGGACCAGGAGTCGTCGCTGGTGGAGTAGATGCAGAGTTGGAGTGGTGAAGAGACGACGAGGTAAGCAAGGTATTCAGCTTCAAGCATACTGTTGAGTACGATTGTGTTTGATTTGTTGTGTTAGAAGAGAGTCTAGTCTGTTGAGCAGTTGAGCGCTTATATATTCGTTCTCAAGGGGTCAAGGCGGATTCTGCGATGGTTGTGTCGTGATGTTGACTCTATTTCTGGCTTACTTGGGGCCAAGTTCCCGTATACTAAGAGTGGCTTGCAGCCCGCGGATCATCTGAAAATAACCCCTGCAAGGCTGAAACACCAGGCTTGGCGGACCATTGCTTGGTGTTCATGGCAGTGCTTCTTTTGAGTGGGGATTCTTCACTCAACCTTAACTCGAGATTAGGGCGGTGCAGGGATCGCCCCCACTTCTTATCACACTCCATGTCTTACCATATCGTACATCCATGTGTCTTTGTATATGGTATAGATGAGCAGACTGCATCTTTGCAAGATCATTGCTCAGAAACCTTCGCGATGTCTCGTATGTGATTAATTTTGCCTTGCCTCTGCGATGTGTGTCGATGGGGGCCATGGGGCCGCAGGATCGATATCGCCTCTAGGAATCAGCAATGATCGACGTGGCATCTCGGTGGCAATGATCGAAGCACTCTGTAGTTATACTTCTTTATCGTCCTCTTCCATAACTTTGTAGATTTAGAAATTCATCCAGAGCCTCCTCAACCTCAACCGTCCCGCCCATCAGTTTGACCATTTCCAAGCTGACCATGTTCACCCTACGAGACGCAATTTACCTGATCGAGCTGGCATTCTATGCCCCCATCGTCCCTGCTATCATTTTCATTATTCTACTCCATGGCAACAAGCACCCCTACACATGGCGTCCCATCGTGATTCCCCTCGTCATTCTCTCCGGCTTGCGAATCACCGCCGCAGGGCTTGGTCTAGCTGCCATGGACCCAGCAAAATCCAATCTTCTAACAACAGCTACCCTCCTAGACACAATCGGACTCGCACCGGTCCTGTGTCTCTTGATAGGACTCCTGATTCGAGCGTAAGTCGCCTCCTCTCCTCGACACATCTTCTAACTCCGATCGCAGCAACGCCCCTGTATATAAAGGCCTCCCTCTCTGGGTCTTCATCCCGCTGCAAGTGATCACCATAGCAGCGACGGTGATGACCGCATACGGCGGCCGAGACCTGTATACAAGCCGGGAGAGTCAAACCCAAGACCTCCGCTTGATGCGCGCCGGCATCATCCTCTTCATCGCCCTCTTCACTGGAATTGTTATCCTCGCTGTAATCACGATGCTCAAGGTCCGGGTGAAGTTCTACCGTACCGAGCGCGCGGCTGTTGTTTGTGCTTTGCTCTGTGTGCCCTTCATGAGTGTCCGGTTGGCGTTTTCGGCTGGATCGTTGTTTTCTGGGGAGAGTTCCGTGTTGAACCCGATGTCGGATGATGAGACGGAAATTTGGCTGCATTTCCTTATGGTCATTGTTATGGAGTATATCGTTACGCTGTCTGCCACCGCTGTTGCTCTGACAGCGAGGAAGGTGGTGATTCTGACGGCAGGAAAGGCTGATTCACTTAGGATGAGGAGATTTGAGATATGTTGTTGATGTTGCTTTAGGAGCCGAAGGATTGTCTGGTGCTACAAGTTTATCATTCTATTGCTGATGGTTTTATGTATTTATTTTGCTTAACAACTTTTGTTCAATCGCATCATTTTGCTTGATCTACCCAATCGTAACATCATTCTCTACATAATGTTCCTCTATAGGTGTAATTTAGTCAATACTTAGAGCAAAGTAGAGGGTTCCGTAACTTCTATCGACAATAGCCTTCTACAAATTGTGACGAAAGTTACTGGACTAAGTCATGAACAGAATAATGTATCCATACATTTTACAGACATATAGGCATTTCTCTCTAGAGTCTTTTGGCAAACCTGTTTGTCACTCTTATCACAACATATATTTACATGAAGCTTTGACATAAACAATACTTAGTGCAGTAATACAAGCTGTTCATTTGATTTAATTGCATACAAAGCGCAGATAAGTTGGCATACACTTCTTTCATCAGATATAATCATACCCATTCGACCCCAGACAGAAATTTCTATGTGCTTGTAGGATAAAGACAAGATAGCCCAAACGACCTACTGCTGGAGGGCTTCGCCCGAGGCATACCACCATAAACCAGAACATTCACGAACGTATGAAGCTTCTAATTCCGCCTCGCACCTCACAGGATCTTCGCAAGATCCTATACGATGAAGGTGTAACGTTGATCTTGTCTAATATTAGACACGACACTCATGCGCCCGAGATACGAAGAAAATTGCCTCCGATAATCTTCTCCAATGCTAGCCACCACTTAGGGGCGAAGGAGAGGAGTAGAGGGTGAAGCAGCCTTGTCCACAAAGTCGCTGGGCTTTTGGCCCCATGGGGTTGACTGCGACTCGATCCTGCAATATTATAGTTATGAAGATCACCCACACGAGGCACACGGTGTTATTTTGATATCAGACGTAAGACCCTGATGGTGCATGTTTTGGCTGCAAACTGCCCAAGGCTGAAGACCCACGTGGAGATGTTTCACTATTGGGGCCAAACCCTGCATGTAGAGCCTCGTATGGTTTCCAGATAAGGGTCTGTTGGGGGGCGCAAGATGCATTAGGGGCTAAATTTATCTGATTAAGGTTATTAATTCAGCGCCTCGTGTTGGGACTGTCCTTGGCTGGAACGAGTCAAGATGGTCAAGATCACTTGGCGATCTTTATTGGATTGCCAACGGCCCCAACTATCCGATGTCAGAATCGATGTTATTCACGAACAATTCAAGTAATTCACTGAAATGTAGCAAGTAGGCTAATTCTGTTAGAATGTTGGAATGAAGACTTTTGGTGGCTATGTTCGTGTTGTTGGTTTCGCGATGGGGGCCATATCACTTTATGACTCCGTACACTGCAGCTTGCTATGGGTCAAAAGTCTATAATACGCACTCAATGCGCGTCAAAGTCGATCACTTCTCACTCACCACTCATCTCAACAACTCTAAAGCACATCTCACAATGGAAACCACAAAACTGCAAATGGACATGCACAAGTCCAACTCCTGGCTCTACTACAAGCTCAGCATCCACACCCTAGGACTTGTCCTTCGATCTGGCCTCACGATCACCAGCCCCGACCCCAAAGCAGACGCAAAGCTCCAGCTCACCTCAGGTGTGCACCATGGAGGAACCATGAAAGTCATCGTGGTACGTCTACCCAGCAACAAAACTGACACATGGCTAATACACCCCAGGCCGGACTCCCCCGCACAGGCACAATCAGCATGAAGCGCGCTCTCGAAGAACTAGGCTACGGCCCATGCTTCCACCTCGCCGAGCCTCTGTGCCAATTCGACAACCTCCGCCAAAGCGCCGCCATCGTCCACACAAAAGACACGGCCCTCCGGCGGCGCAAGCTCGCCAAACTCCTCCAAGGCTCCGAGGTCACCCTCGAGGTCCCCGGCAGCGCATGTCTACCAGACCTCCTGGAAATGTACCCCGACGCCAAAGTCATTCTGACGGAACGCACTTCTGCAGCCGTCTGGCTGCGCTCATGGCGCGGCTTCGGCATCGATCTGCGCTCCGACTGTTTCCGCTGGGTCGGGTACTGGGTTCCCGGCGTGGTGGCCGCCAACGATCTCTACCGCGGGTGGATGCGGCTTGCGTCCGAGCGGTTCGGGGTCGAGGCCGAGCCGTCCGAGGAGCTGTACCATGCGCACAGTGCGTGGGTGAAGAGCATTGTGCCGAGGGAGAGGTTGCTGGTGTTCAAGTGTCAGGATGGATGGGGGCCTCTGTGTGAGTTTTTGGGGCGGCAGAGGCCGAATCCCTTCCCGCATGGCAATGAGGCTGGCTATTTGCGGTATTATAAGCGGGTGGCGATGGTGTTGGGGATTTTCCTGTGGTTGGTTGTTCTTGCGATGGCTGTTTTGTCGTTGTTTGTGATGGCTTTGGTGGAGTAGTGCTGTTAATCTTCTGTTTTGTCTGTTTTTCAAGCCTTTATACCTTGGTGTTTTGTGGAGCATGTGTGTTAGAATTGCTTATGCTTAGCCAATTCTTTAGACCGAACAACGTCGATTGTTTATATGTTGTCACCATGGAAAAAATGACCCAACTGGCGAGTTGGAAGACTAGGCTGTAGCGTGCACTGTTCTTGGATCTCATATTGAAGTAGTACTCGTGAAGCTATGCCAGAAGGCGGCGCGTCATTACGTCAAGAGAGGACATAAGCTGCGCAGGAAATATTTACAACCAGACATCAAAGCAAAGCAGCAACAGCAGCTGCGACAACAGGCGCAGCCGTAATCAACGCCCCGGCAGGCCCAGCAGCAGCAGCACCAGGCGTCTTGGTCGCCTCAGGCGCAGTAAACTTGTCCACACCGGCCGTAACAACCAACTCAGCGTACCTGCTCGTCGCCGGCGAATACGTCGCGCTACTCGACGTCGACGACGCGATCGTAGCACCATCCACAGACCCAGACATCCCAATGCTCATCGTGCAGCTGGCGGACTCGGTGCGGGACCGAATCTTGCACTCGTATGACTCCGTGACGGTGATATCATAGCTCGTCTCCTTGTTTGATGTCGAGGCGGTGTACACAGCTGTCGCGCTGACTGTCTCTGGGCCCTGGATGATCGTCCAGGAGTTCTTGATGTTGCAATCTGTCTTGGGGGCGTCTTTTAGACAGCCCACGTTGTAGGTTGTTGCGGCGGCGTTGATTCCTGCGACGCTGGCGCCGGTGCTGGCCCGGCCGCCATACCCCCACACGGTAACGGACCAGTTGGGGCCGAAGACGCCAACTGTAGTAGTTTTGTCGTCGGCATGGGCTGCCAGGGCGTAAAGGGCTGCGGGGAGGAGGAATGAGGCACGCATTTTGATGTTGTGGAGACCTGAGAAAAAAAAATATAGACGAGAGAGAAGATCGACGGACAAGATTGCGGAAAGAGAGAAGCACAGCCCCTTTTAAAGGGGAAAAAAGAAAAAGAATAATTCCATCGTCCAGTAGAAGATCACCAATGTCAATAGTCTACAACAGGGGACGCAAGCACAACGCTAGGATAAAAGAGATGAGCCTCCTGGAGGTATCCTACCACGTCCACCAACCATTGTTTCTGAAATCGATGCTGTTGGCGCTAGACTGCATCTATCCCTGCTGATTGGCATGTGACTTGCATTCAGTAATATCCTAGCTAGTAAACTAGGCCCTCTAGCGCTAAGCTAAGTCTGTAAGTAACAGGCCATTCGAGAGCGGAGAGTGAGCTAGTCCATTATGTGATGAAACCATCCAATCATTTGGTTTATTTCTCTGCTTTGCGGGCATGTGAAGGACGCTTGTTATGTACGGCCGTTGCCCGGGTCACACATGGCAATAGCCTGATACGTCCGTCTAATTTCATATAAACTGCCCACGTAGGCGCCTAAAGGTAAGCGACGACTCGCTAGCCCTGATTGCTGTTAGGTCAAGTAGTAGGTGCGATGTGGCTGAGTCCAGCACGCAGCATTGTCACATAGAATGTTTCTGTAGCTTATGGTTTTAGTCACTTCCAGTTGGCAGCGAATCCCCTTCTGAAGAGGGCTTTGCAGAAGAAAGAACTGGAGTAGCAGCGGTCACAGACATATAGTAGCCAGTCGGATGTTAGAAGGCAAGACCATTCAAGTAGAGCTATGATGATCAATTAATGGTACATATTAACCAAGTACCTCGGTTCTAAAGCAATGATATCAAATTTGCCGGATAGGCGAATACATTGCCTAGATTGATACAGCTGGTTCCTTGCCACAATACCTAATACACTATAGATCAAAATCGATACATAACTGCCTACGCACCTCATGCAAGGCTACCAGATCAATACACCGCGTCTATATCGCCACTTGAGGGATACATTAAAATCCGCCTTTTCGCATCATATCAACCACTCCCCGAAAGGCCTGTTGACGCTGCTGTTCCCAGCTATTAAAGGCAATATTCGACAGACCCACTGGAATCTGGTCGTCTCCAGCAAGGAGCTTCTCCATCGTCTGCACAGGGGTGTTAGATGAACTCGCGAAGTCACATGTGTAAGTAGAAGACGAACCTCCTTAGTAAATTCCTTTACTGGGATACCAAAGGGCTTTCCATGGACCGTTTCTGCCATGTCGGGTTGGTGCTTTGGATCATGAAGTTCGGCTGCAGCGCAGGAAAATTAGTATCATATTATAGCATCTTTTTTGGTTCTCTTTCCCAACTCCTGGAATGGACGAATCCTCAGGCATACATACTTTGCACGATAGGTGGAAAGATCTCAATCACTTTGATGTTTGTGTTCTTTAGCTGCTCCCGCAGGCAGAGGATCCAATGATGCAGCGCAGCCTTGGAAGCGCAGTAGTTTGAGCAGCGAAGAATGGGAACTAGTGCGAGATTGGATGAGGTGCTGGTGCATTATCTCTAGTCAGGCGCGAATATCCCGAAAATCGAAGCAAATATTTGCCCACGACGTACAATATGAGTGACGTTGGAGTGTCCCTTTTGGCCATAAGAAAGGGCAGAAACTCCTTCGCCAATGCAACGTAGGAAACATAGTTGACCTAGAACCATTGTCAGTTAAAAGTAAGAAGGGAAAAATGTACCGGTCAAGGTTTAATGGCTCCCTTACTGTCATCTCATCCTGAATCTGATTCATATCAATGCTTTCTGGCTCACTAAAGACAGACCGCCGTTGGATCCCCGAGTTGACAAAGACGCAGTCTAAATCTGGATGGGATGAGGTCACACTGCTCAAACCAACGGTCAACTATATCAATATCATAGGCAAATACCGGAGAAGCTGACAGGATGACATACCTCTTCACAAAGTCTGGAATTGCATCTAGCTTGCTGATATCGAGGCTGAAAGATGCAGCCTTGTCCGCACCGTATTCCTGGACAAACAAGTCAAGGAGCTCCTGTCGTCGACCAACGGCAATCACGAAGCAGCCATGTTCGACAAGGCTTCCGGCTAAAGCACGACCGATACCTGATGATTTGAGTCAACGACTGGAACGCTGATTCTATGTTCCATGTATCAAAGTAAAGTGAGGAGATAGCCTAGCACACGCTTGGAACACTCACCAGATGTAGCTCCAACCAGGAGTACCTTCTTGTAAGGAAAAGCCATGATTGTTAGGTGGAAGGCAAAGGGATAATGCAATATCACAAACCAACTCTTGTACAACAGTGGCTGCAGCGCCTGTTATAGTGGTCTGCCATAAACCTAACGCCAGCCTATTGCTGGGTTCATGAGCGGCCAAGTTCCGTTTCCAGTCCTCTAACTTCCCTTACTGTGCGAGTGGGGCCCTCCTGGATGCGCTTCGAAACCTTTACGTGCCGCTGATGAGGTTGAAACAGGTTCAGCGACCTCTTCCCATAGTCCTCTTCGGGGCTCCCGTCGCCGACACGGGGACTACTGATTACCCAAGACAGCACTATCGGTGGGGTAGGTGGTGTGGTCGGGTAAAGATCATGACTTCCAAAATCCGCTTCCGCTGTCGGGTGAATTGATCAATCCATGGTTGCCAGTGAAGCTGCTGTTCCTGCAAACTGGGCATTCGTTGAATGTTGCAAGTGCCCACCTACTCATTTGCTACCTTCGGAGATAGAGGCGGATATGCTTCGTCTTAACCCCGTCGGGTTCTGCAGTCTGCATACTCCGTATATGAACCAGTGGAGCACATTACTACAACAACTCGGTCCCCGCAAAACCCGAAGCCCTTAGAAAACAGTATCCGTGAGTAAGGCTCACCCACTCCGCCCGTGTGGGTGAGCCTTAGTCACGGATAATGGCTAAACTTCTTTCGTCAGTGGCGAACACGGCCGGCTGTAACAGTCCTTCCGTGTACCGACATTCAAAGGTATCCATGTTTAAGCTGCTTGCTGTTGTCTTTGTTGTATGGTCACCTTACTACGGCTATTCGATTATTGTAGATAATTTTCCTCGGTAGTTCGGCGCTAAACGGGGGAATATTTAATAAGGTTTTCCAATGTTTTCCAATATCTAGCAACGCAGCACAACACAGAGAAATAAAGCGGTTTAGTATCAAGGCCAAAGGCCCCGGCCAACTACATGCTTAAACTCATGCTAGTCAGTAAATATTGAATCAGCACTCAAAGTCCATACGCTACCCAAGCCTAGTTCCACCTCAATCGAACAGAAGAGACCAGAGCACCAGTTTGTCTCCAAAAGCGATCCAATTCCTCGCCACAGAGAATCAGATCTTAACTGAATCAAAGGAAAAGTGATATCTAAGGGGTGAAAGGGCAATCCAGTGACAAGGACCCAAACGGAATCGCAGTACATCCCTACGAATCACCAGCAAAAACCGCAGAGCTCTCTTCACAATTGTCTCCAGACCAGGTCATTATCTTGCAACTGTCCCTGGGACGCGGAACACTAAAGGAGGCTCCTGGAAGATTATCAACGCACTTGCAGCCCGAGCCGAGTCCAATTGACATGTTGGCAGATGAGCCCTCACAATGGTTTCCAGACCAGGTGGTAATTTGGATGGAACAGCACCCATCTCCTTGACAAGCCGTGTCATCCAGACAGCAGGCCCAATCTCCTCCACTGCCTGTGGAGTCTCCGCAGGGCAGAATACACATGTCTTGAGCCAGCAGTAGCTCCGAACGCACATATTCGCTATGTGCTTTTCTGCATAAACATAAGTGTTAGTCTCTAGTCATGGATTCTTGGGATATATAAAGAAACAGAATACATACGCAGTCACAGTCTCTCTTATACTGTCCTGAATTCAGTCGAGGGCCGGGAAATGCCAGGGAGACAGAGGTCAGGGCCAAAATGACAGCGTGAAGTAGCTTCATTTTTGATATGGCAAGTGATAGAAAAATTTAATTGTCTTGCTTTCGTGAAGTAGTAGCTTAGATAAAGTGAATCTGTGTGGAGGATGATCTGCTAATGAACTTGATGATTATTGTCGTTGGGAAGGGACATTCCTTTCCTTAAAATATGGTGGCCAGCCAGTCTAACAACGAAGAGGCCACCACTCTAGGGTCCTTGAATAGCTAAAAATGCAATAATACCAACGCGCAGTAAACACTACAAGCAGCTAAAGTGACATTTTGCATAAATACTGAGTCGGTCACGGCACTAAGAGTTGATCCTTGGAGTTAAGCAGAGAAGCAGTGCAGAAATATATATTCCTAACTACGCCTCGATCATCCAGATATAAAATCTAAATCCCACCATAACACTAATTTTCCTCGTAAACCTAATGTTTTAGTTTACATATATACGTAGTTAGGACCGCTCGCTATATATGTATATCGAATATAAGCTTATCAGTTATAAGAAGCCCTAGGCCAAGTGCATCCAATGGGTTATCCATATCCATATGGGGTAGACATGGTCAACCAACATTCCGGCGGCTGGGATCCACGCCCACCTAGATCCACATTTTGCGGATTGGAGTGGGTTAGATAATTCAGGCGTCCATCCGGAACTGGACACGTCCTCTCTTCGCATTGTGATTCGCGGCAGTAATCAGGCCTCACTATATCAAAGATGAGGAACAGCAGTATCACACGTTGTCAACACTTACAGGAGCTAAATTTAACGAGATCCTCGCCCCCTTCACCTCGTCAGAATCCAATTGTGTCGATGCGGTCGGGTTCAGCTAAAATTCAAGACTGGCGTGGGAGCGCGGCCCCCTCGTATTTGACAACGCAGTCCCTTAGGCAGAATAGCAAAACGTAATCCACTTCAACCGAGCAAAGGTATTTATTGAGCTATTCTCCCCTCTTCTATTCATCATCTGCTTGTCTTATACAACCTGTGAATTCAATACTTGTTAATCATCAAAATGGCTTCCAATATGCCTGCCAGATGCTGCACTGTGGGAGTCAAGCACAGTGGAGAAGCAACCGGCGAATATCAGGCCATTGACGGTGGTATGTTTCCGTGTGCCCAAGTAATGAATCTAATATAGCTCACCTTCTCCAGTTGAGACGTATTTCTCATATCCCGAGGACAGGTCGACCAAGCATGGAGTTATCATCCTCACGGATGTCATTGGTCACCGATTCATCAACTCGCAGCTCATAGCTGACCAATTTGCGGCGAATGGGTATCTGGTGGCCATGCCTGATCAGTTCCACGGTGACCCGGTCAAGCTCAATAGGCCTGAGGGCTTTAACCTAATGACCTGGCTGGAAGGACACCCGACCGAAAAAGTGGACCCTGTTGTCGACTCTGTGATTAAGTATATGCGCACACACCTTGGCTGCGAGAAGATTGGGGCGGTCGGGTATTGCTTTGGGGTATGTATGCGGAAAGAGCTTGCGGCGTGATGTGTCCCTGAATCATGATTCTAACGAAGTATATTCTAGGCAAAATACGTCGTCCGATTTCTGAGGCCCGACCAGGGAAAGGTTGACGTTGGATATATCGCACATCCAGGCTTCGTTGAATTTGAAGAACTCGGCGCGATTACCGGCCCCTTGAGCATTGCAGCCGCAGGTGAGTGATAGTTCTGTTGTTGTATAGATATCAGAGAGGACGGCTAACCTAAATCACAGAGACTGATGACATCTTCCCAACATCAAAACGTCACCAGTCAGAAGGCTTTCTGCGTGATCGTGGCCAGCCATACCAGATCAATGTCTATAGTGGAACCGAACACGGGTTCGCCATCCGCGCAGACTTGACGGATAAGGCTAAGAAGTTTGCAAAGGAGCAGGCATTCCTGCAAGCAGTCCAATGGTTCGATGAATTTATCAAGGGCGGGAACTGAGATGATTTCCAGATCGGAATCAACAACTAAGAGGAGTGCGGATGTTTGGTTCCAGTGCGCCAATAGAAACGGCAGCTTGATCTCCTGCCTGCGGGCATGTGTCTATGGGCATTGACTTATTGTCTTTTTTGAGCTTTGGACGAGCTGGCTAGCGGTATAGACTGTGTCAGCCGCTGCTACGGCCTGGTTGGGTACGCTTCAGGGTCGTGGAGCGATCTTGGTCATGGTGTTGGTTCAGGTTGGCTTTCGGACTACAATGAAACGAAGCCTTTATTCTTATTGAGGCTAAATGAATAAATAGAGGTCGGCGACAATTAAGAAGGGAAGAAGGTCTTTTATACGCAGTGGCAGGACTTGGATACTCTTTGTCCATACTGGGAATGCCTTCGTTGACAAGAATAATACTTACATGTGGACAAAACTGACTAATCTGGCACCATATGCTGCATGACTCATGTGACATCGATCAGAGCACTAGCTAGCTAGCTGTAGAATGCAATGTAGCCCTACGTATCCATCTCCGTTTTGACCTACAAATGGCCTGGCCATCAGAACCTGTGTCTCTGTAACCTTTGCAATACGGCTGGATAGAGTATCACATTTCTATATGTAATGACGATATGCTTATTATTTCCCTGTCCTTTTCCAGCCTTCACTCTACTGCTCAACGGTTTGCTCCATATGATAATTCAGTCAGTACGCTCTAAGCCCTTGTCTAATCCCTGACCAAATTGCGCCTACTAATTTCACATTTCAACATACGTTGTTGCCCTTTTCCTCTTCACATCTATCCCCTGAATCGTCGTCTCCGGCATCATCACTCTTTCCAAGCTGCTGTTATGGCGTCGACCGAGCAGACAGTCAAGAATGTATCCCGTACCTTATTGGAGATGGAGGACCGTCGTCAGTCGACGAGTCAACAAAAGTCAGTGCCGACCGAACCGGACGTTGATCCTGTGGTAATCAAATCGCATACACAAGGGGAGCAGGAAAAGAGGCTGCTGCGCAAGTACTTGGCAGAACTAAATGATGCGTTTTGTGAACATCAAGAGACTTCCAAATCTGGCAGACACCGAACGGCTTAAGGAATGAATATACATAATCCAGAGTTGAAGAGCAGAATTAGAGTCCAGAAATCAACTATACAGGCACACAGGCCACAGAAAAGAGCTTAACAAGGCAGAATTTGGCAATCGAGCGGTAGCGAAGGTCGAGTGCTTCTTTAATCTGGTCTTAGTTGCGTTCCATCACGAGGTGAGGTTCACTGAGATGATGTCTGCGCTGTATTCTCTCGAACTAAACTTATAACATAGATAATGAAGCATATAAATAAAAACAGAGCAACTATACCAGCATTTGGAGCAGTAAGAGAGGGCAGAAGACTTACCATAATACTATAAGGTCAGAATATTGGCCACGCTTATGGATTAGCAGCAGTTCCTATCATCCACGGTTTCTAACTGTAAGCCCTAATATGGCCTAAGTAGATAGCTTTGGCACATTGTGTTAAGGATCATTTTACTCAGCCTGATAATCTGTCAGGGTTGTCTGGAGTTCTGTGAATTTTGGGATGGTGATAATTCATCCCTCGAACTATGGACGGAGGGAGATCGACAAGGCGTGTAAGGGGTGTAAGGCCAGTAAGGGGTATTAAAAAATGGAAATTGATGCCCAGAAAGGTAACTATGCGATAATTTTTGAGGTCCAATTATCGGAATCGGCACGAGGATGTTATTATCTCTCAAAATCCATTGAAGCTTCGCTACGGAGTTTAGTTCGGTCATCTCTCGGTACCGAGTTTTCTCCGTATGACATAATTGATCCTTTTTTTTCGACTTCTGTGCTGTAAGACTTTCAGTTGATCTATGTCAATACCGCAGATTAAGAAAGTTATAAACACATCATCACCTACAATGGGTAAACAGGCGAAGAGTATGTTTGGTAGACGCGCAGTTTAGTAAATACTAAGCGAAGCGGCAAGTGCTTGACCGGATGATGACGTCTGGACACTTCACCATTACGCGGGAGAGATCCAACTCAAATACTCCGTATACGTCAGACAGTACTATGCCAATCAGATGCCGAGGAACCCGTGTAGAAGCTGCAATTTAACGCAGAAAACTTGACTTGTATGGGATGGCTGAAACTCGGCATTCGGGATTATGTCGGCCAGTGAACGGGATGATGACAGAGGGGCAATTGCTTGAAGTTTGTATATATATACCAGAGGTCCTATTAACTCTAGTGTTAATACAGCCTTATATCACTGCTACAACTGTAGACATTTCACAGCCTCTCGCAGGCTAACTTCCACCATGTCGACCTTGCCTCCGGAGACATCTCGAGCACGGCGCAACACTAACAATCTTGAATTGGCACCAACAGAGACTTTAGAGACTCTCCATGAAGTTGGACTCAGCCCAACCGCCCCTGAGATTGGGATTAATTATCCCGAAGTCGGACGTCCTACCGACCCCATCTTCCCCGAGGAATACAACATCGAGACTCAAACGGGGTTGGTCCCAGCACGGACTCTTGAATCAATCCGTCCGACGACCAGCAGGGGCCGGCAGATCTCGCCGGCGGATGTGGAAAAGGGAGGCGAACCCGTGGATTTTGTCACGTTTACGATTAATGACCCGGATAATCCGCACAACTGGAACCCGTTATACCGCTGGTACGTCACCATCGTCGTCTCGGTACTCGTCGTGTGCGTCGCTTACGGGTCGGCATTCGTCACCGGTGGATTGGGCCTGATTGAGAACAAGTATCATGTTTCGCTCGAAGTGGCTACGCTGACCGTTTCGATCATGGTCTGTGGGTTTGCGGTTGGCCCGTTACTCTGGAGTCCACTGTCGGAGATCATCGGCCGTCGTCCTGTGTATATCATCTCGCTAGCACTGTACACGATATTCCAAATACCGTGCGCACTTTCTCCCAACATCGGTGGATTGCTGGCCTGTCGCTTTCTCAGCGGTGTCTTCTCCAGTTCCGGTCTGTCGCTGGCTGGCGGTACCATTGCGGATATCTGGAATATCGAAGAGCGCGGCATGGCCATTGCCTTCTTCGCCGCAGCGCCGTACGGCGGTCCCGTCGTGGGCCCCATCGTTTGCGGCTGGATTAACGTCGGCTCGCACCGACTGGACCTCTTCTTCTGGACCAACATGGCCTTTGCCGGTGTCGTCATGATCATCGTCGGCCTAGTGCCAGAAACCTACGCCCCCGTCATCCTGAAACGGCGCGCAAAGAAGCTCCGCAAGGAAACAGGCAATCCCAACATCATCACCGAGCAGGAAAAGGTCAAGTTGCGCTTCAAGGATATCGTGCGCACAAACCTCGTCCGTCCCATCACGATGATCCTTACCGAGCCCGTCCTCGACCTGATGTGCATGTACGTCGTGCTCATCTACGCCATGCTCTACGGCTTCTTCTTCGCCTTCCCCGTCATCTTCGGTGAATTGTACGGCTTCAACGACGGACAGATCGGCCTGATGTTCATCCCCATTCTGATCGGCACCGGGTTCGCGCTCCTCGTAACACCCCTCATGGAGAAGCAGTTTCGGCGTGTCTGCCAGTCTCGCCCCCCCACGCCCGAAGACCGACTCATCGCTGCGCTTATTGGCGCCCCGTTCATTCCGATCGCATTGTTCATTCTCGGTGCTACCTCATACAAACACATTATCTGGGTTGGGCCGGCATCCTCCGGTATCGCGTTCGGCTTTGGCATGGTGCTCTGCTACTACGCGGTTAACAACTACATCATCGATTCGTACCATAAGTTCGCGGCCTCGGCGCTCGCCGCTAAGGTGTTCTTGCGATCCGGAGGCGGCGCGGCCTTTCCGCTGTTCACAACCCAGATGTATCATACGCTCGGCCTGCAGTGGGCGTCGTGGCTGCTGGCGTTTCTGGGGGTGGGGATGGTGTTTATTCCGTATGGGTTCTATGTGTATGGAGCGAGGATACGGGCTAAGTTTGAGAAGTATTGATCACGGTATGAAGATGTAATATAGTGTAAGATAGATAGGTCATAATGGCATATATCAGTTGCGATGTAGCAACAGAGATGATCCTCAGCATGAGCCGGAAGTATCCTCCCTTTTCGGGCATCAGCTCAGCCTTGTCGAACATGGGGCGTAGCAGCATGGCATGGCGCTAAGAGACATGATGCTATTGATAGCAAGCAATGCGCCCAAATAGCGATCGATGTCTACACAGACCTGCACGTTGCGGCAGATAAGTTGCAACTATGTGAATGATTTTCCACACACATTTAGAACTCCGTTCTCAGCCTTATGGACATAAAACCTCTGACGGCAGTAGACTGAAGTAATCATATCCCTGACCAGCAGCTAACGACACTGCAATCAGCCCCGTATCCATCATGTCCACTACAACTCGCTCCCATGACGACCACACCGTGGCATGATATGCGCCGTGACCTCAAGAGAAAACAGCGGAGGTACTTATGCTGGATACTCAGCACCCTTTTCTCTCAAAGGCTCCATCCGATGGAAACAGGGCACACCTTCGGAGAGATGCAAGGTCACAATATCCTGATCATTTGTCTACCTCTTGGAATTCATGGAACAGACTCGGCCGCTGTGTCTGTCACACAAATTCACACCACGTTTCCATCCACCCGGTATGCAGTGGTAGGAGGTATTGGTGGAGGGTTCCCAGCTTCGAGCACGATATCCGACCAGGTGATGTGGTGATGGGCAAGGCCCTGGTGGGCCGCAGGTTTCAAAGAACAGAAACTCTAATCAAGCCACCAACGGTTTTGAAGGCAATTGCAGAGTACGTTATAGATCCCAAGTTCTTTCATAAGAGCCATATGTATAACGTCGTCGACAGTGCAACCACAATCATGCGAGTCCCCTCACTCCTGCGAAATGCTTAGCAGGATGGGGAACCTGGTGTATTCCATTAAGCCTTATCATCTCGACTTCTTTCAAGTCTGCTGCAAAACTAGTTGCTCCATCTCCTCGAGCACAGACTCTGCCAATTCCTCCGGTGGTGTCCCTAGTGTTTCCTCCGAATCACCTCTCTCCTTCAACAGTTCTGTAATCGTCCGCTTGATCCATCGCCGTGCCTTTGCTACCTGGAGCTCAAAGAGAGCCTTTGAACCAGCATACTCATGATTAATATAAACGACAAGACGAATATTGACGGCCAGTTCACTAAGACGCCTCCTCGTGGCCGGTGACTTTCCATTGAAGCTGGAGTCGAGGAAATTTTCAAGCGCTTTGCTCTTGTATTTCTGTTTCAGGGCGCTTCTACAGGGACGGCTGACAATGTTGAATTTGCCGTCCGCTTGTTGCAGGCGGAGGATCGTTTCCAGGTGAGAGAGATCTGACAGTCTTGGGGGGTCGTGATCGCGAAGTTCCCTATCCAGAGAGCGCGCTCTACAGCTGTCACTCGAGGAGGTGTCATTTGGCGAATCACTTGGCGAATGAGGGATATCGTCGTGGGTCTCGTTTACATCTGAGCTGGGTTTGCGGCGTTTGCCAGCACGTTTAGCTCGGCGCAGACATGCTTGAGGTGCATCGGCAATAGCCCCTGCGCTATCCTCATCTGATATCGGATACGCATAGTGCAACTTCGTGTCTTTGTCCTCGTCGAGATCATTGAAGGTCGCAGCTGCTTCATCGTCCCTGCTCCTCGGTTGGGTTAAGACGGACGGGGTCCTAATTTTGGGTACGCTTGCTGATCTTTCAATTGGCCGTAGCCTCTCAACCTGCAGAGCTGGAGACGATCGGGATTCGTCGTACCGCTCATCCTGGGTTTGACTTTGCTGCTTATGGTAGTCATATCCCGGAATCCCGACCCCCGCCCCGAACGTGTTAGCACCCGGGGTATAAACACTGCTAATGGGGATATCGAAAGAGTCATCCAAACCCAGCAGTGATAAGGGTATCGACCGTGGCGGTGGTGGAGGCAGCGAAAGAAGGCGCGTATGTGCGTTCTGCCTATCAAAGGAGGAGGAATTATTTCGAGCAGGTTCCGCGAAGCTGGTAGGACCGCCCTGCGTCGAGGAGGAAAGGGGTCCGCGGCGAGCTTCATAGCCAGCAGATTGGCTGGAACGAGTAACGTCACGAGGCCTAACAGAACCGCTTTTCCTGTGAGAAATACGTAGTGGCGTAGAGGTAGAAGTATGTCGTGGCCGGGTCAATTGGGAGAGTTCGATAGCGTCCGCTTTATGGACCGATATCGCGTGTTGCTGGGCCGTGCTACGATCAATAGCCACATAACTCGTCCACTTGCTAGGTATGGACCACGTCTGCCCAACCTGCTGTGCTTCCTGCTCCAGAACCTTTTCGAATCCTGTCGGATTGGTGGACTTGAGGGTCGGGTTAAGTGAATGCATCCAGCTTTGTCCGGTTTCATAGTCGTTCATCAATGCTTTCGCTGCAAGATGGTGAATGGCTGGTTGTTCAGCTACGGTTTGAATTGGCAGCTGCGCTGTGAGCTTCTCTCCTTTTTCAGTTGTTGCAGTAATATCAATCATTCTAGGCAGCGAGTCCAATTCCCTCTCCAGCATGTAGTAGAGAGAGAAATGCGAAAAGGTACTCAGAACAGGGATATGGTGTGGGGCCTGAACCAACTCAGGGTATTGCACTGTATATCCGGCAATCTGCCGCTCAGATGTCTTCATGGCAAAGTCATTGCCAAGATCCACATTGCACTGAAGGCGAGATGGTGTCAATGCTGCCTTCAACATTTGTATCACTCTTTCCTGCCAGGAACCCATCGAGGACTCTGGCACGATCTCTGCATAGCCGCCCCCCTGCTGCCCGATGCCCTCCACCAGGCGATGAGAAACTTGATCTCCAATTCCCAAAGAAAAGAATCTGATATTCGAATAACCGTTTGAGGCCGTTCTGCGCACTAGCTGTATCACGTTGTCCACATTCCAGACCTCACCGTCAGTCAACAAGATGACACTGGTTGGTACGTCATTCCGCTTATTGTAGTGATCCAGAACACTGTGCAGCGCGCCATAAATTTCGGTACCACCGTAGTTTGCTTGGAATGAATCGACGTGCATCGAGGCGACATCCAGGTTCTCTTGGCTGTATCTCATCGAGGAAGGCCATAACCATGTGACGCGGGAACCAAAGGAGGCGATGTTGAACGAGCATGCTTCAGGGAGACTCCGTAGGAAAATATTCATCACATTGATAAGAGAGGGGATCTTTGACTTCATCGACCCTGATCTATCCGCCATGAAGATAATTTCGCCGACAAAATCCTCCATATTAACCTTTTGGCAAAAAAGATCGCCGGGGTGCACGGTGACCGCAATTGTGGACAGGCCGGGTTGGCCAGGCGGCGACGCAGCAATAGCCTGTGACTGCGAAGATTCACGAGAGCTGCACAAGATGTGTAAGACAAAATCCTTATGAAGCTCGGCCTTTCTGTCCGATAATGTCGCACGTCCTTTGCAGTAATCGAGCATGTCCGAAAATGCACTCGCTGCGAAATTCTTGAAACTTTTGTGGGAAACCGCCCCCATCTCGACCGAGATGGGGTGTGATCGCGACTCCATCTTGCGGATGGCCGCCTGCATCGATGCTTGAACGTTGATTCGTAGCCCCTCCGTGAGAAGGGATTGATTTCCACTGTAGCCTGCAGGCGCGTCCCCGTACCGCGGTGCGATCGATGTCGGGATCGTGAGAACCAGTCCACCAGTGCTCTTATCCACCTTCAGGAGGTTGGCGTACGTGATCTCAATCTTGACTGTGGTTTGTGCAGGGATATTTCCCACGCTCGTCTCGAAAACTTCTGGCGCCATTTCTTCAACCAACACTGCGACCTTGCGTTGGGAGATAGCATGTTGAAAATCTGCCCTTGCCGCTTCTTTGGCTTTCACAGCTCCTTCGAGAAGTTTGTCGTGGCCGATCCAGCACCGAAAGGATGTAACAACCGATCCATCGTAAATGGGAAAGACATATTTCACATTTTGTGAGGTCGACGAGGAAGCGTTGCTGAATTGCTGCGTCACCTTCGTAGTGCAAAGTCTGCCATGGACGTCCACGTCGGCCGAGACGCTCAGCAATGGGAGTGGGACTTCGTGAGTAGAACCGTTTATTGAAGCGAGAGAGGCAGCTGGGGTGCTGGGCGAGACATAATTATGGTAATAGATCGAGGGTTGGGCTTTGTTGGGCAAAATGTAAGGCTGGCAAATGGTCGGGGTCAAGTCATCGACATTGGGTTGGAAGAAGAGACCAGACTGGAGCCGATCAAGCACATCCATGGCGGTCGAGCTCAAATCTGGAGAACAGAGAAGCGGGGGAAGATGATGATCGACGGGAGGAGGCTGCGCCTACTTATACCAAGTCATCTCGCCGTTCATCCCACCTTTGCCCGATTCTTGGCCGGTCAGCCTTGCACAGCCTCGTATTCGGACGGGTGGTGAAGATCACGCAAAGGATTTCAATAATTCACTCACCATAGACTGCTGCATTTGTGCTACATTCTCTTTGCATGCCTCCTCTGCTCCCTCAATACCTAGCGATCAATCGACATGGCGTTTCAAATATCGATCGGCGATGTATTAATGCTGTCAAAGCTMGCCTGGGATATCTTGCAGGCGTTCACATCCGGCAGGAAGTCGGCACCTGCGGAGTTCCAGGAAGTGCAGAATCAGCTCAGCTCGCTCACCCATGCACTAGAATCACTGAAATCACTGTCGAGGGAGTCCCTAGGTGAGGAAGATGGGGGCTCAGTTAGCAGTATCGCGCCGATCCTACAGAACTGCCGCTTCACTCTGGAACACCTCGAGGATCTCGTAAAGAAGTACATGATTATTGAGAATGACGGATCAGGTAGAGTAGAGAAAAAGCGATGGCGAGACGAAATTCGGAAGAACTGGAAGAAGGTGCGGTGGACAAGGGAAGGAGGTGATCTGACGAGGCTGCAGCAGAATCTCGGAGTCCACATCAACAGCCTCAACCTTACAATCGCAGTACTAAACAGGTGACATCCCTCTATTGATACCTGATATGGTTGCTAAACCGTTCTTAATAGCGAAATCAATCAAAACATGGGCCAGCGGGTAGAGGACGTTCACGGAATGCTGGGAGAGATCTATACCTGGTTCATCAGCAATTTGAAAAGCCAAAGGATGAGTCCCTATGAGCCTTCCTCGAAACCACAAGAGCGACCACTGGAGCTGTCTTTCTCACTGCACCTGGCAGACTCTGAACCATTTGACACTGCTGCTCTATGCGACAATGCGTCTTTTAATCCGGACTGGCTCCAAATTCCAGAACAGCCAGTCTTCAAGTGCAGTTGTCAGCTTCGACGCACTAGATACGGGGACATTCACGATGAAGAGCTGATGGAATATTACAGTGAGTCTAATCCCTTATCGTAAATCTATGAGCTCTAATAGCACTGTCAGTATCCCCAATGACCTTGATTGCGCGTTTAAATGGACTTTCGCAGTCATGGAAAATATGGCTGTCCTCTGGCAGAACATCCCGCCTTACCTGTCTTATAATCCGGAGTATAACCCCATCAAGTATGTGAGCGTCCTTATCTCATTTGGAACAGGCCGCTAACATAAGAAGAGCTCGCTATATTCGATGGTATCATATCCGATCTCGCAATCAGGATGGCTAGACAAGCATTCCATCGAGGAACTGCCTCATTAATGGTGTCCCCATCCATCAACCCATATACAGGGCTCCCTGTGGTTTCAGTTCTGAATATGCTCTGGTATGCCGATACTGAACCTTACTAGGTCTTTCTTTCTAACATTCAGTTAAAGCGATGCGAGTCGACTATACAGTAAGATTGAAAATGTGAAGTTGACAACCCACCGACACAGTTACTCGACTGGCCCTATCGAATCAGTCCAGCTAGTCCACCACCGGAATTTGACTGGCGATGGGGCGTGGGTTTTCAATGAAACGGCAGATGCTATATTGGTTGCTCGCTTAGATACGCTCCCCGTTGACTCGACAGAGGACGAAGCATTTGAATTTACCATCACTGGTGGGCTCCGGCAGCTCTGCGATCTAGCGGGCAACAGAGCTAACCTTTCCCAGTGGGCAGTCAGACGAATATTACTAATGGAGAATCCGAGTTGGTCGTCCATATATCCGAAGCGGACTGTCTTTCCAGAACAAAGTCTGGGCAAGAAAACATGGTGAAAGGTGTAGATGTGGAGATAGAGCTGACGGACATGAACTGTAAAAAGGGCCCCCGCTTATTTGGCTTTTGCTAACGTGCCTAGCTTCAAACCATCTAATTCAGCAGCTGAGGCATCTGCAAGAAGGAATACTCCTCATCAAGGTCCAGCAGATGCTACGAAATGAGAGGATTGTGTTCGAGCTGTAGGTTCCATATGACTGTTCAACTCGAACACTGCGGTGAGAACTGACTACTGCAGAAACCTTGGCACTTTGATGGCATACGACTATCACATAACAGATGCCCTCCTTATGCTTGTTGTCAATATGGAAGCAAAAGAGTATCGCATACTTATTTCGAATGCATCAAGATCCATTTGTCTCAGTATTGAATGTCTGATGTATATCCTCCCGTGAAACCCGCTTTCCTGCTGATTGTTTAATGCAGTGTCATCGGAAGCATTGCAGCAATTTTCCGGGTTAGAGCAGATATACATCCCTTGCGATGGTCCGGTTTGGGTCGCAGAAAGCAACTTGGATGTGGCGCATATATATCAACAGGGAAGCAGATCAGCCCTGACATGCGCAGATGGACATGGTACGCTGGCTACCTGGCAGTGGTCCATCCTATACTGACAAAGGTCTAGCGCAGCAGCTACTTATACTGATGTTGCAGTCGGTAGCGAGAGGTATTACCTCTAACTGCGTGTTTATAACTTGTGTGCTGATTAAGATGCAGGAGATCATGGGATTACGTACCCATTAATGCAAGGGCGTCGATACAATGAGTTAGAGGGATAGGGTCGTGTTCCATACGCTGTATTCAATAACATGCCTGCCTATTAGGGAAGCCTGGTTTATGCGTGCCTCAAACCGTCTGGTCAAATAATGTACTGTAGCCTCTAGAGCTACAGCATCTAGCATGGTGAGATTTCGGTTTCTATTGTAATAGAGTCCATCACTAGTCCAACCAACAGAGTGATGGATGATCTATCATAGCTGGACTTTTTTCCTAGTCCCTGTGCATACTATTTAGACGCAATGAATAGCAGGCCAGTAGCACAGGGAATATAGCAGCGCCGGGTCTAACGCGTACTTCGAGCAATAACTGCCCACAACTTATTGGATAACTGAAAGATATTCCTCTGCTACCAGCTACTATTCCTAAAGATCCTCTTTGCGTGTACTTAGAAGTACTTTAACGAAGAAGCAGTAACAACCAAAGTACAATGGAAAGTATCAGACGTATTGATCAAACAATAGACTTCCCAATACCTGCGCTGTATCGATTATGGAACCTAATACCAGGTTCTCCGCTTACTGCAGGGGCGTGCAAACTCTGCAATAATAATATACTTAGAAACACGCAACCAAACAAGTCTATGATGTCAAGTATCTAAAGACTCACCTAGGCAAGACGACACAGCCCGTCACATGGATATCCATCGAGAGTTCCACAGCCCGAGCCGGTCTGGGTACAGCCTCCGAACACACAATGGTAACCAGAATCACACCAGTCAGACTGAGTGGCGCACCCACACTGCTCATTATTATCCCGAGCCTGCAATGGCTTATTGTCCAGGGTGGTAAGAAGAGACTTCGCGTCTTTGAATCCGAAGGCGGAGATAGCATCGTCCTTCAAAGTGTCCATGGCATTGGGGTCTAAGTTTTGTCCTTGCTTCGCAAGCTCGGTGGCCTTATCGATGACGGCGGATTGAGCAGGATTCAAGGGCTCATGTTGCTCGCGAAATTGATCGAAATGGGTTAGCCAGGCTGCACTTGCAGTGTTGGCAGTGCCTGGGAACAGGGAGCTGGAGCCAGTGATAGAGGTAGACTGGGCAACGCCTGCGAAGCCGAGGGCGATGAAGTAAAGAGTGAGCTTCATTGTTATTCAAGGGCTTTAGGGATTTTGTTATTAAGGCAGAGGTTGTCTCTAGAGAGTTCAAATGATAGTTGATTTGCAGTGCCGACAGAACCAGAAGAGGACCTGGCTTTTATTTATGTCTTCAGTGTAATATGGATGCACCTCCTCCTTTGGTACACATATACAGCTTACATTGCTTACATCTTCATGAATGCCACGTGAGATATTTACATTCCAGAGTTGCTCGCTACCGTAGATGTTTGGTTACACCAGCAGACAGAGCAGCAATTATAGAATGATGATCATCACTCTCATAGTCAAGCTTTATAGGAGAGTGCTAATTCTGGCTATTCTTTTTCAGCCGCATCAAGTAAGGAGCGTCCGGAATGATAGGTTGACAAATCGATATGACATGGTCATAGATCCAGAATCCAGAATGTTGACACCTGACCACAGCAAGGAGGTAGTAAGCCGTGCTCCCATTCCTCTGACTAGGGACACTGAGCTAGAGTATGACGAACTCGGCTATTTTCGGCAACGATGCCAAATCTTTCGTCAAATGCCTGGTTTTCAGTTCCCATATCAAATTGGAGAACTTGAATCAGTGCACTTCAAGTAATAAGCTATGATGCAGTGCTGCCATATAGATTGCTAGCTGGGTATCGGGGCTGATAGCAACACACAAGCGAAAATCAGGGAAATATTCCCGACTTTCGACTTTAGAGAATCCAGTCCTTGAACTTTGATTCTATGGTGCAGTAAATCACTCGATAATAGCTCAAATGAAGCTAACGAACTATGCTCGCTATGAACACTACCTAATAGCCAGCACAGATGGCTCATCTTACTTTCCTGACTGCGTGTTCCATAGAAAAATACTCTTAATCAGATATAGGCTGGATGGAGCTTCTGAAGACTTATCTATGGGTGCTATGGCATTCTCCTAATTCTGTATGAGTACAATGTTCATTTATCACAGGACAGACCCATCCCACGTAGAATGTTGGTTTTCTAAAGCACCCGAGTTTAGGATGAGAGCCATGGGGACTTGAATAGCCGTCCACTTGATGCTTTCACCCTCCCTTGAATATAGCTTCATTCCACTCTACTACTAAATACCCCCTTTCCTGAAGCTTACTGTGGGTCTCATGACTTGACGATGGAGAACCTGTCTTTTGCAGAACCAGGTACAGGGAGCCTTACTTATTGTGGCTTGACACTGGAACGCTACGATGGTGTATACAACCCCTGCGGGGTCGGAAGGATGGCAGTATATTATCATCATCCCAAAATCTGTAATGCGACAGCATATTCTCTGGTTGAGATTAGCCTTGTACCACGAATCTGAACATGCATGCATGCACTACATGCACTATACAGCACTTATTATCTAAGAAATGCGCTATTGACGCAAAAAATACTCCTAAAGCTCTGCAACTAATTGCATTCTGCTATTCTGGTTGTACGCAGCAGAGAGTGATGTCTGTGCGGCTGAAACTAGGTAACTCCACATTCCTGCCCACATCCAACATTTCTTCTGACTGGAACCATGTTTAGAAATTATTTCAAAGATGTTTCCTTTGGTTCATTTACAAGGTAGGGAAGCTGTCTGGCTTACACCGACTTGGTAACATTTTATTCCTGTCCTGTGCTAGACAATGAGCTTCTATGGTTCCAGACTGTCATAGATAGAGTCCGTACTGCAGCATTGTTTATTTAAAGTGTTACTTATCAATAAATTTAGTGACGTTTGCAAAGATCTGACTCCTCACTTGAGCACCCGAAAGGCAAGGGAAATCGAATCAGAACATGGTTCTCAGGTGGGGGATTGACGCAGACCGGAATGCATATATTATAGTTGCCCATCATCCAATTATCTTCAACAGCAACCTGGCAACAGTTTGCTTGGAGATGAAAGGCCACAGTCGCTTCGATATCCACTTGAGAGAAATAAGATGTGCCTTGAACTCCCTCAGCTTCTGCGGATAGTCCAACATGTGGAGAACATTGTCGTCGTGTTCGAGGGCTTCTTCCAGGGAAATATCCCGCTTTAGAAGAGGGAGCCTTGCCATCTTGGGAACATACTAGTCTGCTGGGAGAAAGCGGGAACATCCACAGGTAAACTAATCCAGCTGGAAAGGAGCAAGTGGAAGGGCAGAAACAAAGGACGAGCCAGTGGGTCATCATGAAGGCGGTGGGCCGACGCTAATCCTAGACTGGTAAGGCCATCATTATGTCATCCATATCTCTTCTGGATTAAAGGCGCGGTTCCTCCGCGGATCGGGCCGAAGCCAAAGGTATACGAGCTTCTATTGTACAGAGTATCACTCCGTTCGTGGTTAAGAACATCAGAAGGAATATGGACCAAATATTGGAGATATAATTCCATTCAACTAGCAAGAAGCGGAAGAACAAGACCTCTAACAGAACACCAAACATGGAAGAAAGAGAAAAAACTAATTCAGCTCCTAATATGTACCTCTTAATCAGATCCCAAAAACAACCATCCAGTCTAATCAATGTTGATAGTGCAGCGGGAGAAAGAAGCACCAGCATTCTCAATCATCACTCCAACAAAGTTGTCGTTGTAGTCGGTGACAACACGGTACTTGCCGGGTTCGCCGCCTGTTCCAATGGTCAGTCTTGATCCAATAACCATAGTCTTGATGACCTACCAGTCCAAGTTCCACCCTGAATGATAGGATACTCGCGCAGGTCCTTGGTGACACCCTCAAAGACGTCGCTGTTACCGCTCTTGTTGCCAAACTTGTGAGGGTAACCGCCGACACCGTAGTCATTCCACTTCTTGCACTCCTTGAAAGCATTGGCAACATCGTCCTGAGAGAGCGTGACGCCGTCAGTGCAGGTAGCACTACCGATCTTCTTCTTCTTGCCGCGGGTGGTTAAGTCGCTGACAGTGTGGCCGGTGGATTCCTCGGTGATCTCTGTCTCGGTCTCCTGGACGCTGCGCTTCTCGGCGTTATCATTGTTGCCGTCCTTGCCCTTGTCGTGCTTGTTCTTGTCATCCTTGTCCTTTCCAGGCTCACGCTTGATCAGGTCGTCAATCTCGTTCTCTGTCTCTTGGACGCTGCGCTTGTCACTGCCACCCTTCTTGTCGCCCTTGTCCTTGTCATGCTTGTCTTTGCCAGGCTCGCGCTTGGTGTTGGTGACGCGCGTGCAGGCCGTGTATGCGCCCCCGACAGTTGCCCCGGTATGCTGCATCACACCCCGAAAGTCGCCGCGGTTGTCTTTGTAGTCTGTGACCACGCGGTACGCGCCAGGTTCGCCTGCACTCGTCAGCTTATGTCAGTGTTTTGCTGTTTGAGATGCTTACCGCCAGTGTACACTCCACCCACGACGATGGGGAATTCCCGCAGATCGGTGCCATCGGGAATATTGCCGAATACTTTTTGGTTGTTGCTCTTGTTGCCAAAGTAGGCCGGGTACTTGCCGATGGAGCCGTCGTTGAGTCTGCGGCACTCGTGCAGGGCCTCGCGGACATCATGTTCAGACAGGGTGGTGCCGTCAGGGCACTGGAAGTCGCCGAGTTTGGCGGCGCGCTTGCTGAACTCGGGGACGGGAGAGGCATGAGCCAGGGCCATCAGTCCGTAGAGGACGACGAATTTCATGTCGAACAACATTTTGAGAGGCTGGTGCTTTGGACAATGGTTTAGAAAAGGCGAGGCTTCCGAGCTGGAATGGATTGCTTTGATGCTGCTGCTGCTGCTGATGATGATGATGATGATGATGATGATGAGAGATGCGGTGATGTCTTGAGGGCTTTATATCTTTCGAATCCATAGCAAGCCAATTCAACTTCTCCAACATGATTCTAAACTCGGAACACTGATAGAACGTTCATGATCGTCAGGCTGAGTGAGGTGTCCTCAATGTTCAAGGCTGAGCTGCACTCCAGGATTTGGCCCCGGATGATCCTCCTGTGTATGCTTTGTTCTGCGTATACATTATGGCGTTGATATTCGAAACAGCCCCAGCAGATCAATTCTGGCCTTGGTAACGATGCTAAGAATGCTTGATACCTTAGCCCCTTGCGGCCAAGAGTGGGGGCCGGGAGTAAGCACTACAAGCTAGTGCGGCCCCCGCAGCCAAGACAGGCTGTGCGAGTGTTGGTGTCGCACCATTCCGCACAGCCCACCATCTCTGTACAGCCTCATCCGCTTCTGCAGATCTCAATTGTGCCTCGTCCTTCTTTTATCAATCAGTCAGTAAAAGTTTCTACGTTTCAGATTCCTCCATCAAACTATACTTTCAGTCTATTCGAGAATACCTACATTTTTTGATTACCTACAAACCCTCACTATGGGAAAAGAGAACTTCATCCGACAAATCGAAAACTCGGTCGAGTTCAGACTCCTCGACAAAGTAGTCAAGAGAGAACTCACAGCGCAAGATGCAGTCCAAGAAGTCATCAACATGACCATGACTGCATTATCCGTCCATGGCCCAAACAAGCAAGGCGGCATCGGCCTGCCAGACTACAACATCTCTCTGGCGGTGATGGAGCTCGCTCAACGCCTGGAGCCATCCAAACATACCAAACTTGTCGAGTTTGTATCTCATCTCCAGAAGCAAGTTGCCGTTGATCCATCTACGAACGAACCACTCAGAGTCCAGGGTGATACCCTCTGGACCGACATGCCGTCGTTCGGCTACACGGAGCTGGAGACGTGGTATGAGTTTGGGGGTGACTACAAAGGTGATACATCCGTCATATTCGGACAGTCAGAACGCTAACGCATGTAGACCCCCGTGATGCAACGCTGGATTCTGAGCAACGCGGTCGCTGGGCAAATCTCAACGCTTTCCTCGCGCAGCTCACTCAGACCGCGGAAATACACTATCCGTCTCCCAAGGAAGAAGTGCGATTCTCTCCCTTGGATAAATCACTGCGGGCCATCTGGACCATGGCCATGGCCTTTGAGAACGAGCGCTCTCCTGCGTCGCTGGGAGATACGGCGGCGATGGAGGCCGCCTGCCTGTGGTTCATCTTCGCTGCGGAGCGTCTGTGGGCCAATGTGGTCAATAATCGCACGTATCCTGAGGTGGCTGGGGCTGGGCCGGGGAAGAGGTATGAAGAGGAGAGCTGGACGGGCTATACGCGGGAGCGTTGGGGCATCTGGGAGGATGCGCTGAAGAAGGCTAGGGCTGCAGGCGAAAATGAGCGGATGTGGAAGCTGATTGATGATGCTTTGGCGAGTCTGAGAAGGGTGATGGTGGATCAATAGTGGATAGACTCATTTAGCTTTAATGGACATCATTTAATGCTCTGGATGGTTAGTTGTGTATAATGATATCTATTTCTATTCAGTTCGAACAAATCTAGCAGGATCAGCCTGATTTGATTATGATATTTACTCTCATCCATTCGTAACTGGCTTTGACCCTGTAGAGCTTGATCTGATTCACTTCATTTGCAAAGCAGATCCTGCATCATTCGCCTCTTGGTCAATACCACTGTAAATTATCATCTTCCCTTCTCCCCAGAACTTCCCAAGCAGTTACGAGTCAGCAAAGAATCTGTCTCTGCTAAATGTATGCTATTTTCCACATCCATATTAGCAGCATCGTTGCTCTGGCGAGTCGCAGAATATTAAGCCGTGGGATCCTAAATTATCTATAAGTGATATTCAGTTTGCATATATTAATTGTGATAACAAATGTACTAGTTCTGTTATTTCAGTTCATCTCTTGAATGGGTGACCATCTTGCTCTGAAAGAGTTATACTAGTAGTCTGATAAATATATTTTGTTGGACATTCCGTATTTCTTGAAGAAAAGCCAACACTACTTTTCATGACCACAAAAATACGGAGTATATCTGACTAAATTATCTCACAGCCTGGCCCAGTTACAGTGCTGATTGTGGATCTATGTAATTCTCTGTGAGCTTATAGTCATTGAGGTTTTGAGCCTTCCAACTATATTTTCGATAAGGCTGTCTTGATTGTGTGGGGCTGCGCTGAGCATCCCTTACTGTTTATTTCTGCCTGAGTGCCTGTTATCCTGGCCCCACAATAAAGTTCGCTCCTGCACTGCCGAGGGGGCCAAAGCCTCGTGTCTGCTGTTGTTTTTATCTCGGGCTGACCAAGGGAATGGACAAGCTCATGCCCAGCCTCTCACAGGGATGCTTAATACGAGGGGAACATTTCAGCCTCGCGCTTAGGTGGATTCTACCAACATTTAACCCTCAATCTGATTGATTGGTTGAATGCCGATCTTGTCTGTTGTCGACGTGGCGCAGCGGCTGACAGATCGACAAGTGATATACCGAATGAGGATGTTTTACATGGATGACCCCAAGGCCTGTTGGACTTATTTACCGCTCTTCCTGCCCTGGTCTTATGCCTCTTGTCTATTCTCTTCAGCCAAGATAGAACCAAAGAAGTGGCATTCCTACGGAAGTTACCTTGCACAATGACCAACGCCCTCGCCGCCGCTACCTGCGCCATCTACGCAGTCCTCGCCATCCCAGTACTCTACCTCCTGGTCCGACACGGTCGCTACGGGCTCCTGGGATGGCTCTTCCTGTTCTTCTTTTGCACTCTCCGCATCATCGGTGGCGCGCTGTCAGTCAGCGACGCCGGCATCGCCGCTAATATCATTTCCAGCGTCGGTCTTTCTCCTCTTCTCCTCGCAACAGCAGGCATTCTACACGAGGCGTAAGTACTCAGCCCACAAATACAAGATCCACTCTAACGTGAGCAGCCGACACTATCGCAACCAACCCCTCGACAAGAAAATGGAATGGGTCTCCGTCCTCGCCTACCACATGCTCGTCGTCGCAGGCGTGGCCCTAACAGCAGCTGGATCCGCACAACTCCAGGAACACAAGCAACCCATCGACAAGGCGGAGAAGATCGCCAAGGCGGGTATTTCAATTCTAGCAGTCGCGTGGGGGATTTTGGTCGCCTGGACCGGCTTCTCGTTTACTGCTCCCCGGGGACGGAATTTCTCGCTCACGAGGGCGGGGACGGTCGTAAGTACTTACACCACGCGTGTATAGGAATGCTATGCTAATGTTTTGCGAACAGCTGATCACAGCCGTCGCCTTCTCGCTCGTCTTCATCGGCATCCGCGTCTTCTACAGTCTTGCTGCGCTGTGCACGCAGAGGGCGTCGCTGAATCCCGTCACGGGGTCGCTGGCTATCCGCGTGGTTCTGGGCTTCTTGCCTGAGGTGATTGCCGCTCTAGCGTATATTTTTGCGGGGATGAAGACTCAGGGTGCGGCGCTGTTGGCTCATGTCGAGGAGGAAGAGATGGTTTCGGTTCCGCCGAAACCGCGGGCGCAGCCTTGGGTTTAGCTGGCTTAGGATGCATGCGTTGTTTATGTTTGTTTTGCGCTATATACCATACCTAGATGATGAGAGTTTGCAATGATCAGAGTAATTATACGGACCTTGTGGAGGTCTTATAGAGAATGTCGTATTACTATGTATCCAATGACGATAACGATGATGGGTAATGCTATAGTGCATGACATCCATTGACAAGCGTATGTAGACTAGTATTAAGATTAGACATTAACTACATATCAATCAGCCCTACGACTTAACTACCTCAAATTGTCTTCCTCCTCGTTCCCTTCTCAATATGAGAGGCCCACGATGCCTAACATGAGCATCAGATGAAACACCCTATACCAACAGCTTGTTCCTTCAACATGAGCCCAACTTACTCATTCACAAACACAACCATGTACGCAAAATCTCCACACGAGGCCTGCGGCGGAGGTGAGGAGGAAGAGGACGGCGGGGTGGTTATCTGAGAGGGAGGTTGAAGCCAGGTGTCGAAGTTGATAGACGTTTCGTGGGAATGTAGTGATATATCGCTATCATGGTGATCAGCGCACATATGAGATCAGCTCGTGTTGACCGGGCTGCACCGACCAAACTTGAGGCGGAATCATCGAAAGATGCGTTGATCAGCGGGATGCTGGCGTGCCTTGGCGGTTCGCTGGGCAAGAGTTCGTGGGTTGAAATGTTACGAGTTGTCTACTCAGACAATACTCGATAACTTCATTATATAAGGGCTAATCCCTTCGGACGATCACCACTGGCCCATAGTACTCCCTCCGCCCCTTGAGAGCATACATGACCAAGCTGAGGGCCAACACCCCCCCAAAGATCACCACGCTCCAGTTAAAATTGTCCACTGTGACTGGGGTTTCACTCGGCCACAGCGCCCAGAACAATGCGAACATGCAGTAGAGCAAGCCGACGATATTAACGGTCAAACCCCATCGGCCGAGATCCCACCGCCGCGGGGGCAGGGTATCCGGATGCCAGATCTTGCGGTAGATAATACAGCTAATGGAGATGATGTAGGTGTACATGAGAGCAGCTACGTTGAGCGAGATAATGGCATTGAAGGCGGTTAGCGAGCCGATGTTGATGAGAGAGAGGAGGCAGCTGATTATGCACGACAGGGCGATCGCATTCACGGGTATTTTGCGTTTCGGGTCGACTTTGGCGATCCAGCGGGCGAACGGCAGTCCTTTATCCCGGGCAAAGGCGAAGGTCTGCCGGGATGTGGAAGCATTGAACAGAATGTTGCTGAAGATGACGGGAATGAGGATAATTGCCGTCAGCCCATTGACCCCGGCGACCGACGTGACGTTCTTGAACACATAGATGAACGGGAATCCGGTGGCGTCGGACAGCGCGTCTTCGACTGAAGGAATGGCAAAAAGGAAGGAGATGACCACCACAATGGCCATGACGCCGTTGGTAAAATATCCCCATGCGATCGCAATCGGGACGTAGCGTCCAGCATCCTTGACTTCTTCAGACATGTGTGCCGTTGCATCGGAGCCTGCCAGAGTTAGAACATTTCGGAACGAGGCATCCACATACTCAGCGAAGCATAGATGGCAGAAATCTGCCCGATCAAGGCGCTCAGCGCCATACTGGACCAGCCTCCGCAATTTGTCCACTCCGTGAACACAGTCTTGGCAGATTGATGCGGAGCCATGGCCCACAGTACAATCACGACTACGGTCCAGGAGAGTATATGCAGGATCATCAGCAGGTTATTGAACAGAGGCATCATGTCCGCGGCGTAGACGTTGAAAAAATAGATCACTACAATCATGGCGAAAACGAACAGCGTTCCTTGCCACCGCTCGGGATTATATTCGGGATCACGAACGCTGATGAGCCCTTGGATGATTGTCMCAGTCAGAAAAGACCCCGATGCAGAGCCGGCCTGCCATGCGAGAACGGACATCCAGCCTGTGATGTAGCTCAGGAATTTCTGGTATCGCGGGGAAGCAAACTCGGACACCCAGTGGTATTGTCCGCCAGACGTCGGGGCCCTTTGCAGTCAGCAGATGCCTTGGTCACATAACCGTGCAACGAGATGAAGACATACATGGAAGCCATCTCCGACAACGATGCGATGATGAAGCCGAACCCGACAAACGTCCACATATAGGACCACACCATGCCCGCGAGTCCGCCATTTTGCAGCCCTTGCGTGTTGGATCTGAATCACTCAGTATGATCGGTCGGACGGATGAAGGCGCACTCACATGAGAATAAACTCCCACGTTGCCTGAAGTACCGACGCGAAACTCAATGCAGCCAAAGGGCGGAGATTCCTCTGTTGGTGTCAGAACATGGTCATATCTCCATCACCGACTATTCACCTTTAGTTCCTGGACCTTTCCCATGCGCTGCATATCATGGTCATCATATACCGTTCCCGTGTGTTTCGCATTTGTGTTGGTCGCGTGTTGTCCTGCTTCCACCTGGAGCGAGGCCATGGCCGGCGCCTTGGGTCCCGTCTGCATCGTGGAATTATCATGTATCGATGCCATTGTCGCATTGTCTGATTTTCGAAAGTCTAACAAAGGCCGGTCAATATGCGCAAAGGGCGAAAGGAAGAAAAAAGAGGGGAAGATGCAGGGTGAAGCAAGGGGGAGTGACGCTGACGAGAATCAAACAAAACAAGCGAGGTGGGGTTACACAGAGGCATGGGCGTGCTCGTGTCCGTTGCTCTTCAGCATTACGTGGTGGGATAATAAGCATAACCCCGATACTAACAGTCAGCATTCTCTTGATCCTCATTTACATCAATGGTCAGAAGACTGGCCCTGATCCCTGCTGTCTGGGATGATCATGCAACTAACGCATCAACAAACGTTATTCACCAACCACTGCCATTTGTTATCATGTCAGATTCCCATTCGAGCCAGCGCTCTTTCCAAATCAATAAGGCCAATCCTTGGCTCTTAAAGCCTGTGATACCCTCGCTGACTTCGCCTTCCTCTGGCCATATATCCCGGTTATCTCACCTGCTCTGCTTATATGAACGGTTTATTACCTTCTTAACAATGTCACCCTTCCTTATGACAGCTTTTATCGACTTCGACGCCAGTAATGACTGCCACGGCTCTCCCGTCGGGTGTTAGTGGCCCTCCAACGGTGAACCGGAAGGATAACCATGGAGGACTGGTAGTGGTGATCACCGGCTTCTGCTTGGTCCTGGTACTTTCGTCCCTGGCGGCTCGGACGTTTTCCTCGTACAAGAGACGGATTATCCAGAAGGACGACTACGGGTTTATGGCTGTACTGGTGGGACGCTGAAGTTTCTTTGCAAAAATACAGCCTAATTTGGAGACAGGTTGTTGCACTGGCACAGACGTCCCTGGTACTGGCGCAGGTTCACTACGGCTGGGGAGCAACCGAAGAAACACTCGCCTCCGCAACGAAGGAAAAAATGCTCAAGGTAAGTCAAAGCGACCGTGTGTTTCCTTCATACTGACGTCCGCAGATGGGATACGCCTCCGATATTCTGTTTGTTGTCACCCTCGGCCTGTCGAAAATAACGACCGCAGTCTTCTACATGACCCTGTTCAAGCAGAAACTCCGTACCGTCATCCGTGGCCTTCTCGTCGGAGGAGGCGTCTGGGCTATACTGTCGGTTATACTGTTAGCGGTCCGGTGTAGCCACCGACCATGGCTCGATATCGACGCACAATGTGGCGGTTTGGTATGGTCAAGAACGCTATCCAAAGCGACCCATGCTGACCGACACAGTTCCAAAAATGGCAGGCAATCACCGCTATGGATATTATCCTCGAGATCCTCCTCATCCTCTACTCCGCCCGAGCGATATACAGCATCAAAATCTCAACGCGACAAAAACTCGTCGTATTCGGCACCCTCAGCTGTCGAATCATGTAAGGTCCCTTCCCACTTCCGCGGTCCCGCTGACGGGAGCAGACTCATCCCCGTGGCTGCTATACATCTTTACTATGTCAAAGTCCAGCTAGATTCAGATAACCCCACCCTCTATGGAGCGTTCTCCAGCATAACCGCGGAACTCTACCTCGCCATGAGCGTCGTCTGCCTCGTCGCCTCGTTCATGAAGCCCGTGCTGGCCGTCTATGTCGATGAGTACGGCATCGCCTACACGGACGACGTATCGCCGCCGAATTCGAAGTTGCGAAGTCATACCTCGTCCGATAGCAGGTCGCGTAGGTTGCGGCGGTCGGAGACGGACTACGATCGTGGCTGGGAGGGCATGCCTGGTCGGGCCGCCCCGGCTGCTTCAGGAGGACGCATCATAAAGACGGTGCAGATTAGTGTGAGCGATGGGCCAATGGAGCTTGAGAGGCGGGGGCCGGTGGTAGTGGATGGTGTATAATGTACTGTAGAAACCTTCTTTGTTGATATTTGGGTTTGGACATCTTGATAGAGGGAATATATTGCAAATTCTCAACTAGGAAGGCGATGTCTGTTCCTAACAGAGGCAAGATACAGTCCCGCTGATATCATTCATAAGCAGCGGCTTGACACCTGCTCCAGCCGTCGTGTAAGTAAATGAAAATGTATGTGGCTGCAAGTTCAGTTCACTTCGTCAGTCGAAAATAGAGTTGATCAAAGAATTGGTCCCAAACGTTAAATTTGGATCTTTATGAGGTTTTAATAGACGAGACGCGATGGAATAATTGAATTGGATTGCCTACAGAATTACAAAATGCTCATTGTGTAGGTTTACGTACTAAGCGTGTGGCAGTTTTCAATAAGCGGATAAATATAACTTTCGGCAGCCCCGAGAGTATCAGACGGAGATTAAGGGATTGCAATGGCTGGCTAACCTCATTAATTCGAGACTAATGCATACATCAAAGCTAAACTGTGTCATATCAACACAGCGTCATAAGAACGATAGTCGTGTGCATTCATTACAATAATGCAATAGTCACATGACTGGATCTGGTCTGAATGGCTCCAGTAGTCTAGACTCGAGACTGAAATCTTTTCTCCCACACCGAGGGGTAACGAGATCGTGAAAGTGCCTGATGAGGCTGAACCATTACCATCTGATTAGCTGCAACAAATTCCCAACGTCACAGCTGAATCGAGGCTTGGCTAGGATCTGCACCTAGGCAGCCACCATCCCCACTATTGGTTAAAATTGCAGCCTGTGACGTGAAACCTTAGGCAGCACTGCCCCCCAAAAAAAGATAAATATGTGTACCTAGAATCATTTCAAATCGCCAACAACATCATCCGTCATGAACGGGACGGTCGAAAAGGTCTTGTATCTCTCCTCTCTTGCCGTTGGATCTTGGGTAGCCAAGAGACTCCTGGACGAATATGGCGAAGTCCCGCTGCAACTCCTCTGCTCCAGCATCGAGGTCCATTCCTACGATGAGGCCTACAATTACCTCCTCTACTGGCTTATGAAGCAAAAGTTCGACGGGGAGAAAAACCGCTTGCTGGCCATAACGTCCCTGACGAGCGGTCAGGGGGGTTACTTCGGTGACGACAACAACAAGGACAACGATGCGAATGAGGAGGACGAACTGGAGGTCCGAGCCGACGCAGAATACAAGGCCTCCCTGTCAAATACCCGTCCATTGCTCTGGGCTCCTTCAGCAGGGACACATTGGTTCCGGTATCGGGGTCGGTATCTCGCGCTCACGCGGGAGGTGGAGGAAAGCCGGCAAACGGTGTACACACGGACGGAGAAGCTGCGGGTCTCCTGTCTTGGACGGGACCCGACGATTTTAAAGGAGCTGATGCAGGATGCTCGCGTAGCGTTCTCGCAAAAGGAGAAGGGAAGGACAGTCATCTACCGCGGCATGAAGTCGATATTTGATGGCGAGCTGACCTGGAAACGGTCGACTTCCCGTCCCGCGCGACCACTATCGACCGTCATTCTGGATGAGGCGGTCAAGAAAACCTTCCTGGAAGACATCCAGCATTATCTGCACCCCAGTACAATGCGCTGGTACAGCGACCGTGGCATTCCCTATCGGCGGGGATATCTGTTCTATGGACCCCCGGGGACGGGGAAATCCAGTCTTGCGTTTGCCGCGGCAGGGTTCCTGGGCTTGAATGTATACATGGTCAACCTGAACTCACAGCAGCTTACCGAGGATGCCTTGACGCAGCTGTTTCTGACGCTTCCAAGACGATGTCTGGTGCTGTTAGAGGATATMGATGCCAATGAAGTGACTGGTCGCCGCAAGCCGGGGTCACGGCGCCGAAAAGGGAAAAACGGGATCTCTCTCTCCTCCTTGTTGAACATCATCGATGGAGTCGCCGCTCAGGAGGGCCGGGTGCTTATCATGACGACAAACCACCATGAACACCTCGATCCGGCGCTCATTCGCCCTGGCCGGGTAGACTACAAGCTTGAATTTCAACTCGCCAGTCGCGAACTCTGTTTGGCCATGTTTCGGAATATTTTCCAGGTCTACACCTCGGCTGAAGTGGATAGTGCACAGGTTGCTTCTTACGCTCAGGGTGACCTCCCGACGAAGGAAGGGCCTGCAGTGGTTGATCTCCCAGATCTCGCCAAAGCATTTGCTGAGAAGATTCCACCTTGCACATTTTCTCCTGCTGAGGTCCAGGGATATTTGCTACGATATCGGGACTCCCCGCAGGATGCTGTAGCCGGCGTTGAAACATGGGTTGAGACATCGCTGGCCGAGAAAGCAGCTAATGACCGTGTGCTTGATGAAAAAGAAGCCGAAGGTGGCAAGAGTGAATCGGAGGACGAGTCCGAGGAGGAGGATAATGAGGATCCAGATAAGCAGTAATCTCCTTGATGTGTTCGAGAATCATCCTCAGAGTGTGGAAGCCATTATCCTGTGCAGTTGAGAAGTCAAGGGGGACAATCACGTAGTAAATGTATTTAGTAAGTCGATAGTCTATAATAATATGTGCACAACAAAAACATCAGACAGATATCTCTGAGAAACAAAGGCACCTCGTCGTCCAAGGTAGGTGATTTCATTGCATACTTGATCCCTTCTGAATGTCACGCTACACATCATCCTCACAGTTCGTTGGAGCAAGCACGACATCATCAATAAACACCCTCCCCAGATAAGAAGATCCCTCAAAGGTACAGCTAGCCAAGATGTTCAGATACTCCTGGGCCAGACTCGGCCGGTAATGGCCGGAGATCGACGTCCACTCGCCAGAGTTAAACACTGTATCGGTAGCCACGAAACCCGTAGTCGAGTTCTTGCCCATGTAGACATAGAAAGAGCAGTAATTTGCGCTGGGGGATGCCGCTTGCACCTGCATGCTGAAGGTGTAGTCGACGCTGGGGTCGAGGTTTCTCAAGGGCTGAGAGATGGTATTGCCTCGGTTTCCAATGGCGGTTTGCAAGTCACTACTCGCGTTAGCTATGCTCTGGCAATTTGTGGAAGACATACAGGTAGAAATCTCCGTCATATGCCGTGGTTGCATTGCTGATCTTGGCCACGTTAAGGGCAGACGAGAACCACGGGAATAGATTGCCCGACTCAAAAGATGGGTTGGCGACGAGGTTGCAGGGTGTTGAGAGGGCCATTGTGATTGCTGATGATGAGTAGTAATTTTATGATTCCGTAGGCAGGACTGCCCATATTTATGCCGTGAGCTGATGTTGATCAGACTCCTGATTATTTAAGACTCGCTGAGACATCTCACGTAGGTGTCAAGCACCATCTCCACGCGGGAGAAACTGAGCCAATTACTGGATTCGGCTGTTGTTGTGGTTACATCGCGTCAGCCTTAGTCAAACTCTTCAACTGTATTTAGTATCGATTCCATCCACTCTGCTTTAATGCCATTAAGACTAAGCATACAAGCTTTTTCTCTTTTCTGTCCCAATCCGAGCAATGTCTGTACCGTTTTTAGACCCGGAAGGTCCGGCATTGTGGTCCTCCAGGATGACATGGCCGTGAAGATGCCCCTAAGGTACTGGGACAGCACCGATGATGAAGTGGCTGTAAATAATATGGTCTTTCAGCGGGAACAGGAGGTTTATCAACGTTTGAACAATGTGATGGTTTCCTCCCATAGCTTTTCACAAACGACCGCTCAACTCGTCCCCACTGAAGAATGAGAATCCAACCCCCATATCTATCACGAAATCAGCCATTGAAGTTTCTACAACTTTCGTGATTCTGACAAATGCCCATGTCCTCCGTCATATCCATAACCGCTCAATTATTGTTGCCGATATTGCTTGTCGGAATCTTGTCCTTGATTCCACTCTGGCCATCAGATTATGCGACTTTACTGAATCAACCATAATGCCTCAGAATACCCACATGGAGTCTGCTGATGACAACGGATATTCAATTTAGACGGACATCGGACAATAGGGGTGGTGACCTATGAAGTCATAACCGGGAAGCACTGCAAGTTTGATCTTCGCAAGAACCGACTTTCTCAACCTACCCGGCCGCGCAGAGAGACTCTCCCAAGCACAGAGGACATCTGCCTTGGGCCAATCATTGAGAAATGCTAGATCCGGACTGGCTTTGAGAATGCCTCTCACCCAGCTGAAGCGTTGGACGCCGTGTCTTGGAATACAAGATCTGCTCCGACGGCATTTTCATAATTGGAACGGTCAGCGCGGTTGTCTCGCCGGTGCTTTGGGCCTGGAGACCGCTATGAGAACCTGTATGCAGTGTTATTGAGCCATTTCTTTCCAGCACAAATGCGTGCCTATATCCGTCAGCCTCTGCCAACACGCTATGTTGATGCTTGGTTGTGCGCCATGCTGGTGAACGACCAAAACGACAACAACTTTATAGAAAGGACATTCCAACAGTTGAGAGGCCTGTTTTTCCTAACTGCCAAAGAATGATTCAGGAAGGACTATCCTTAATTATGCCGTGCGCTCTTGTTGTTGAGAAATCTGAGACATCCACGGCAGGCATCAAGGCAGCAGCTCCACGCGGCAAAAGCCGAGCCAATTACCGGATCGGGCGGTTGTTATGGTTACATTGGGTCGCCTTATTTAGTTCGCTTAATTTAGAGCCACTAACTACATGACTCATTTCGTTAGTTTGCGAGGGACTCTTGAAGGCTTCAAGGTTATTAATAGTGGCCTCAAATCAGGTGACTTTTGTTTTAAAAAATCGGACGCCTGAAAAATCTTGAACCTCCCATTCACCAAATCAAGCAACGTCAATATGGCTCTCGGTCTCACTCATGTCAGCACTAGCCTGTACAAAGGCCTTGCTATTGGGCTCCTTGTCTCATGGTCTCTCACCGCGCTCAGTTTTACCGCCCTTGTCGCCTTCAACACCAACAGCACGTACCTCGAGATCATCGCTTGCACCACCATGTTCACTTTCCTCATGTGCCGTCTCCTCGTCGTCTGGAATCCGTCTTCTAAAAGTTCTCAAGATGTTACCATCGCTCAGCTGATTGCGTCCGCGGACTCCGGATCCCGGCGGGGTGCTCTCGTCTTATTCTCGCTGTGCTGCACGTGGCTATATGAGCTACTCAACCAGGCGTTGCTGTTGTTCTTCATGACAGTCTTTGGGGGCGTTATTGCGACAGCAATATACAATGATGCGTTTACGGACGGTGTGCATGAGACTGAACACGAGGACAGCAGCACAACCGCTGTCTCTGTCCAGGTCAACCAGTTGAAGGAAATGGCCGGATTTGACCCGACGGAGATGTTCAAGATGATCCCGCCTCGGGTGTTGATTTACTTTGTTGGGTTGATGTGGTTGAACTTTTTGAGCTTGGGGGTTTATGTTTTGGGTCATGCAGTGGTCTCCTTGAAGAAAGTGTTGACTTCGCCTACGGCTATATCTACTGCGACCAAGGAGTCGACGGTTGATAAGGAAGTGTCTGTGGATTCAATGGAATAGATTGACAAACTAATGGAATAGATCAGCAAACTATGCCCGTGTGTAGATATCTGCCTCGATGATCCCCAGATCGCCGTCCCTTGAAGCAATCGTCACACTCTGGCCAACTGTAGCTTGAGATCCAACGTCACATAACCCAGAGAAGTTGGGGATCTCCGTTCAAAAACTACCTTGTCTTCCACGCTGATCTGGACTGGATACTTTGTGGTCCGGAATCTTCTCCTGAATAATACTACGTGGTGTAGCTGCTAGGGCTCTTAACAAATATGCTTGAATGGAATGAGGATGTCAGAGAACTTCCTTTCTTTGGAATGGTCGCCATGGGCGGGACCAAGCCAAACGGAGCACTACCATTCTCTTGTTCACGGACAACTTTGCGAGTCTGGCTCAGCACAAGGACAGATTTCGCTGTGCCTGGATGCGTGGAGTTGACAAATGCTGTAAACTTTATCATTTTCTCTGTCAGAAATGAGCTGACAAATAGCCCAATTCTAGCCTCTTGGCCATTTAACCCTAACTATCTAAGTATTGACTTTGCTTAAGAACATAAACAGGCCAAATTATCCATGAAAGAATCGACGCGTTCAATGAACCCTATATGGACCTCAGTTTTCCATATACCATCGATGCTCCATTGGAAATCATTCCTCGAGATTTTCCGTTCTGCCACCACAATAACTGCTGGTGGACAAATGAGCCTAGATTGGAATGCTGTGATACCTTGAAATCATTATCACTTGTTGCCCAAACATACATCATCTGATTAATATACTATGGAAGGGATGAATATCGCGGATTTTGCGGTGTCTCATTATCTTGCATATCTTGCCAGATCCAAACTGGTTCGAGAAGCCTCTCGTGCAGATTATGACCTGCGAGTCCTAGTTGGTCACGGTGCTGTACTGGATTCCACCACAGATCACCTTACGACAATATCGGCACACGATGTTTCAAACGGGTGTGAGACACGGTCAGGGTATGACCGATCAATCAACGTCTCGACTTATGACACGAAAGAATATCATGGTTTGTTAATGTCGGATAACGAAGAAGACGTAGGGAGACAAAAGGAATTGATTTTTGCCGAAATTTTCGCGATCGACATTGATTTTTAAGCCGACAATGCTAAGTTAATCATATGCAGGAAGTTGCGAGAGAGACTTGCAATATTAAACTTCTATGGATCCTTGAACAATCCTGAGTCAGTATGAGCGTAAGACTAAAGGTCCAAGGAATATTCTTCAAGAGTATGAAAGTTTCAAATGCTTTCGGAGATTCCGAATTCTCGGATGACGGCAGTGCCACCCAAACTAAACATCTTTTCATACAAATATCACCATATGCAAGAGATAGTTTTGGCAGATACATGTCATTTGACGAACTAGTAACCTAGATGTAGTTTGTCTATTTCCTTATTCGGATTTGTCAGATGAAGGAGCGGAACCCGCGATTAGCAATTCACAGGCTGCGGTTATGACATCATGGACCCATAATATGGACCCAGACCCAATTCTGCGCCACTCCTCCCGCTCAATTTCATTGTAAGGAATGCCGTTTGGTTATATATGATATTATCAAATACTGGAAACCTATGGCAGTAGTTTCTGGTATTATTTATGCCAAAAGATAATCCGAGACAGGGGATCCCAAAAGGCTCCGAAAAGTGAAAGCTTTCTCAGACCAAAAGAAGGCTAAACCTTACTGCCCTGCTTTTGATGGAAGGTATACATGACATTAGAAGAGGCCGATGGCTTTGATAAGGTGAGGCTGGTATCACTAGCGCAAGTCGTAATAGATTTGGTTTCAATTTGTCACCCTAAAGAACCTGCTGAGTTCCAATGCACGGAGAAACGCATTTCATGCTTCGCAATTGGCAATGCCTATGAATAAGAGGGTTCAAGAATTGTATAGGAGGGACACGTGATTTGTGCATAGTGATTCGCAAGTTCGCTCACAGGCTTCAGACTGTGAAGGACAGTGATGAGTTGTCGTATTTGTGGCTCAAAGGACTCCGTCGGAGACGTTTGCTGAGCTAAGAACTCGGCAGCCACTCGGCAGCCAAATGGATTGGATAGGGTGTGAAAGGATGAGTCTGTTTCTGTTAAACTGATGCAGGAGACTAGAACAGAGAGCGTTACCTTGAAAATACTGAGCTCATCCAGAACTCGAGTTAAATTAACAATTTCCATAGCGGCTGCCAATGCGTCTTGTTCCAAACCAGGTATGATCACTGGTTGGATGCCTTCTGATGGTAAGGATTTTGAGATATTGTAAAGGTAAAGAAGTGTCGTATGTGCCACCATGTGGGCAAAGACCCGCATAGGATCTGATGTATTTTGAGAAGGTACGGGGACCCGGGTTAATACCCCGATATTCCGAGTTAAGAGCGAATGGAGCCATTGATGCCGATCCCAAAAGCCAGTAGAGCCGTTGCCATAGACAAGCTCTACCCCTGCTTGTTGTTCATGTGATATACAGCGGCCGCAGATCGTAACAAAGATAATCAGTGCGGTGAATGGAGGCAAGTCCCGGTTAGATTGATCAGCAATCTCCTGGGAAAGGAAACCGCCAACACTAGTTGTGCAATCCTGGAACTGTTCCTCGGGCGCGGGAAGTCGAGTACAGATCTAGCATATCAAAACCGTCAACCCTCGGTCTTGCGTAGGAATCTGCTCCTTTCGTTACATACCACAAGCTCATTAAATGCCAACGGCCAGTTGTTTCGCATGCTGACTAGGCGATCCAGAACAAACGCCATCCAGAATGTCCTCCGCCGTTCTTCAGTACTGGCGTCGTTACGCGTGGTCGCAGCACTGTTCGTCAGTCGCTCTTCACTGTCAATCTTGTGGAGGCCTAGAAGTTGGACCAGTCGGCATGTACGTCCAAGGCTCATCCAACCCCGCCGGTAATGCATACGAAGAAACTCGTAGATCGCAATTAATGTCCATGCTTGAGCTTCCTTCACATCGACAGAGTCCACTCTAGAGCCTTCAAGCTCCAAGCGTTGGAGTTCTTCTCTTGCGCGCTGATAGAGCATATCATGCATATGTTGGTATTGCGGCGATATTAATGCAGCAAGTGTCCACATAGCAAGCTGTAAGCAAACCCCAGAATGTTCGCGTTTCAACTGGACGGACTGAGACAGGAACTTTCGTTTATGAATAAAAGGCGTCGAGGGGTGAACTCGCTCGAAATATAGCTGAGTGCTACTTCTGACTTAGCAGGTCCGTTGAACCCCCTGTACCAATCTTGCAGTGTGTGGCTCACAGATCTGCTTGTACTAGGTCCGACAACAAGGGTGTGCATTGACTTCGGTCTTCTACCGGAAGTCTTTCGCGCACCACAGTTGCGCGATGGTTGGGCGAGCGGACATCAGTGGAAATATATTCGTACGCTGGAGGAATACTTGCATCCGCATGGTTGTTCCGATTGGTTTGGTCGTCGCAGAACGCAGAGCTGGTTGTGTGCTCCTGAAGGCGACGTTCTAGTTCCGCTGCAGTTCGGTACGTATTTATCAGTAAGCTATCATCTCCACTCATCTGCTAATAGAATCAAACCTACCAGCCCGGATCCGAAGAGATCTGAGCAGACCTTTCTTAGGACCCCTCGCCGATCGCTGCGGATTTACGTTGCAGCTAATGCCTGCCTCCACGCATACTCCGCATCGCGGCTGCTGGCCATCGCAGCGCAGCTTCCGTCTTCGACATTCTTCGCACGCTAGCTTGCGTCGCTCCTGGCGAATGTGCCGTTCCGCAGAGGAGGCAGAAAGAGACATGATGCAATTAAATCGGAGCTTTATTCTCCTTGGAAATGTTACACGTGAATCAGTTGAGGCGCAAGTACGTGTTACGTAGTACATGTACGGCGGGCTAGCCCATTAGTCATCAAACCAACTTTTCTTATTTTGACCAGACTGGCTGACCCAATCCGCCCTTTGGTTTGGCCTATATGAGTGCGGATCCAACCCATATGGATATGGTTAACCCATTGGGTGCTTGTGCTCTAGGGCCTCCTAGTGGTTTGGCTAGAATACTAGGAAAATACGATCTAATATGAATACTAGGGGTCACCTGACTAGGTAGTATGGATATATCCATTATCTGCAGTCCAACCCGCATGGATATGAGGATGGGTTGAATAGGTGGTGGATTCTATAATCCGCATGGGTTGGATCAAAGCATTAGTGCGGATCAATCCATATCCAATCCACCGCCAGTCTAGGGATGACAGTCTGTTACGGAAGACGTAGGTGCTAGCAACTGATGAATTATAGCAAGTTTGTTGATCAAGACACATGCGGCTGCACATGATAAATAAGATCAAACAAACAAAAAAAAAAAAAAAAAAAAAAAAAAAAAAAAAAAAAGAGGAAGTGTAGGCCATGCTACTGATTTTCAGAATCACTGCACACGCGCCACAGTGGACTAGCTATCTTTCCCCAAGCCCCATTGCCACAGCCAATTCTTGATCATTTGCTCTGATATTGGCTGCATACTAGCCAAAGTTGGACTTATCTCGGTCGTGTTACCCACTTCAACATCGGCAAGTGGTGAATCAGATAAAATTAGCCCTCGATAAAAGTCCAATAACTTAAGTGCAGGCATTTGTAGAAGGTCTTCCTCTGTTGGGTCAATAACATTCTCGAGATTAGAAATCCACTCAGAGGCGGCAACCGGGGCGACATTGAGTTTGGATTGAACAAAAGGTAAGAGCGACTTCCAGGACGTTTTTTTGGGATTAACGATATGGAAACAAGCGGCCGAGGCTGAGCTGCTATGTGTACCAAGGCGACTGTGTATGATGTCCATAAGGACCTCTGCAAGTAAATCCTATAAACCGGAAGCGTCGGAAGCGTGACACATTAGCTATCTAATGACCAAAGGAATGGCACTCAGGATGAAGATATCAAACATACCACAGGAATCCAGTCTATCTCGTTCGCACTGAGACTCGCCGGTATCTTTCCAATTCTGGCTGATGTTGCGATGAGACTTGGGAACCATTCATTTCGATTCCATATCCCCTCAGCCCTTGTCGGTCCGCCAATTTGACCCACTCGTAGAATTGTCGTTGGCACGCCCGCTGTCTTCGACGCTTCGTAGCAAAGCCGTTCTGCGATGTGCTTAGACTCGGCATATCCCTGCTCCAGAACGGCATCAGGATTCTCAATTAAATCTTCTGGTGCTGATGGACGCCCCATTGTTGGATCCCACCCATATATGGTACTGATAGAAGAAACAAAGAAAAGATGTGGGCACCATTCACCACGCAGGCTGAACGCAAGTAGGTCCCGAACACTCTTGATCAAAGATTCGAAAGACTCCACTCTTCGATTGAAATCGAGTTTCCAAGCATTATGAATCGTTATGTCAACTGTGGCGAGAAGGGTGTTGTATTTCGATTCCGACAGACCGAGCTTGTCGTCTCCAAACACAGCCTTGATAAATTCCACTCGCTCGCCACCAATTTGCCATAAGCTCAGGCCTCTCTCTTCATGAACCTGTCTTTGCCGAGTCTCGGCGTCAGCTGACCTATTAAGGCAGTAGATCTTGACGATCGTGTGGTCATTGAGCAACTGATTCAGAACATAGCTTCCCAGAGACCCGGTGGAGCCTGTGAGCAGGACGACATGCTGATTCCCCCGCTTCCTCCACATTGTAAACGGCCTCTCAGGACGAAGACTGTCACGGTATTTTTGGATCATGTGGTTGATCCTTTCATACCGTAATGCTTTTGTGTCAGTCTTGTTACCCTGCAGCCGGTCTGTAACGTATTGGGATAGGCTAGCAATGGTCGGGTGAGTGTAAACATCTTGTATGTTTATGGATAGGTTCCAGTCTGGATGTTTTGAATTTATCGCGCTGCTCAACGTGTTCGCAAGAAATACGGTTTGTAAAGAGTCAAACCCAGCCTCATACAAGTCGTGGGCATTGTGGACGTTCCTGTCTTCCAGTTGATTGTAAACAGCCTGACGAATGAAGGTTAAGATGTTGGCCAAAGATCCCTCGTCAGGACATTCCAAGTCCTTCTTGTGATCGTTTCTGTATAAGGCCTTAATTAGATCTTCATAGTCCTGCTGAACTAGTCGGCGTTGGGTGGTCCCTTTGGGCGTGGTTTTGAAGGGCTTATTCTCATCCGCCAACGCAATCTTGCTTCGCGAGACGCGTCCATAGGCTGGGGCTCCAGCATTGGCCTCTCTGATCTTTGGCCAGATTTCATCCAAAAAGACGGAATCAGACGGGAACTTCCGTGAGTGCCACAACTCCCAATTTGGTTCAACCAACAGAGCAGAGTGGAATCGACCTTGACCGACAATAAGTGCCCTCGAAACAAGTGGGTGGGCCTCTATTATCTTCTCCATGTCAATTGGGTTGAATTTTTCGCCATTACTGAGAACGATGATGTCGTCTGAGCGGCCACTGTACTTCCATAAATGGTTCTTGGTGGGGTGTCGGGTGTACAGGTCTTTGGACCGGTACTCGAGCAGGCTCGGAAATGAGTGAAATATCCCATTTACCTTGCGATTGTCGCCTCGCCGAAGAACAAGCTCGTAGAAGTTGTCTGAGACCGGATCCATATGGATGTTAAAATTCGGTGCCCATTCAAAGTATGACCAATCGGCTTCATCCAGGGGCCGCATTGATAATAAAACGCCCATCTCCGTAGACCCAATGATCGAGTTGAGCTTGACTCTCCCTCGAAGCATTTCACCTATTTCGGGAGATAGAGGCGCACCACCAAAGTAAAGGTTATCCAACTGGGTTAGAGTTTCCAGGCCAAAATCTGAACTGCAGATGTTCTCAATCAAGGATGGGGGAAGGGCAGCCGAGACAACGCGCAGTTCCCGTAGCGTATCGACAACAAGGTCTCCTGATAATGGCTTACTTGGGGGTGAAGCAAACGGCAATCCAGTGAATACAGCTTGAGCGAAAAAGAAAAAGCCGACTATATGGAAAAATGGGAAAGCCGTTAAAACTGCGCCTCCCTCAAGCAAAGGATTGCAAGGCATCGATGGACGCCGACCTTTTGGAAGAGGAAAATTACTGACATTTTCAAACGTGGCAAAGTACCCGTAAGTCAGAAATATAGGCTTGGGAAGACCTAAGATTGTCAGACCATTTGCTCTGGTAGTGGTGTTTAGGATTAAATACTAACCTGTTGTTCCAGATGTGTGCATAATCAAGGCAATACGATCCTGTTCTTCACGGAATGATCTGACGTAGGGATAGGAGGACGTTTGCTTCCTCCATAAGTCATTCAAACAGGGTATTTCCACCAGCTCCATCATTGTATCAAGCCTGGCACCTCCTGGGATATGTTCTTTGAAACCCGGGCAGTGCAGCACTGCTTTGGTATTCGTTTCTTTCAACAGATGCAGGAATGCCTCGGCGGAACTCCTTGGCGAGGGAAGAAAAAGCTATTGAAAAATTCTTTAGAGGTGCTGATAACCACCAGACTGTATAACATACCCTGTAACCAGTTTTATTGCAGGCGAGAAAAACAATACCGTATTGGATGTCATTTGTGCCCAGATAGGCTAGTGTCTGGTCATCCCGATCCCCGGGGCCTAGCCTCTTCGCTATCCACCACGACATCTGGTCCGCCGCTCTGGCGATATCTTCAAAGGTGGCATCGTAAAATCCCTCCCGAGGGCTTTCACCATTGGGGAGAATACAGAATTTCTGATGTGGATGTTTTCTTGCCTTCTCATCCACGACTGAAGCTAACAGTCTCCTACCAATCTCATCTTTGTGGAAATGAACCATTTTGAGGTGATGGGTTATCATTCAATTATATTTGAGCAGACTTAATTTTTGGTGCGGATAGCAAACAATTGATTGCATCAGTGGAATCACATCAAAAGCAAGATCCGGAGTTTATATGACATGAACATTACCAATATTTCGTGTCTAGATTATGGCGTAGGATGATTAGGTCCTGTTCTGTTTGTTCGCCCCCCTTTTCCCATGGAACATCGTTTCATAATCACAGCACTGTAGACAATATATGGATGTTTCTCATTCCCTCACTTTATTTGGAATTCGCTCGGGTAATCATATCGGCCTAAGGTCCGACCCGTACTGATCACACAGATGCTTACCTTTCCCATCAAAACATTAAATGCGGCGAGAGTACTGCAGAAGATTGACAATACGTTGCAGGTTGTACTGACGACATCGCACTTCGACTGACCCCGGTCGAGGACGAAGTATATCACTATGGGTCGTAGAGGCTCCTTGTGACTGCCCTGTTGATTGGTGTTAGAGTTTACGGAATATTGCATTTGGTAATAGCATCTCAGTTGATACTCATATCAGGAAAAGAGAAGAATACACAAGGGCTGACAAATTGACAAACCAAGGCGGGGGAACTGCGGCTAGTGTTAACGATGGAAGCTCGTACGGCTTGGGCGGACGCTATTTTTAAGCTTTGTAATGGGCGGGCTAGGCTTGTTCTCCCTTGGAGCTTTGAAGATCTCGCGGCGATCTGGGCGGGGAGAAAAAAGCCGCCGAAAAGATTTGCCGACATCTTCCAGTCTACACAAAGGATTAATGGTCTAGTGACGGGCGGCGATCTAGTGCGCTTGGCCCGTGGGAGTAACCTGGGGACGACCGTGGATGAATTCTATTCGATTGGTACCCCGTTAGTTGTATACTATAGATGCAACGGAATATTTAATGTTTTGTTCTTGTATTGGTCACTGCGTCATTGGAAGGGGCAGTAGCGGTGGCAGCCCCCATAAACAGTCTGTTGTCTTACTGCCAACACCGACGACAATGCCAGTTTGTGCAGAATGAGCTTTGGAATAAGACCTGGAGACTTTATCCTCTACAGCACTATAAACCAGTTGCATCATTAAAGACGCCTAAGATGCTCGGAATTTTCGCCGAGCTTCAAGAGTAATGTTTCGGAATATCTTTTCGGAGTAGCCGTTTGCATTCACTAGAGTTCGAGGCAAGAGTTAGCCTCACCGCCACATGGCCTACAGACCATTTCCCCAATCCGTTTGCATCTGTGTTACGCTGTCATTGAGATCATTTCCAGTGAAATTACCGAGCGGTCCTTTAAGCTCGTTACACTACTAATACAATGGAAGAACAACATTATGTAAAGCTTACCTCGGATCTTGTCACAGTACATGACGCAGTGAGAGAAGCCAATCTGTGCTTGAGCCGCGCATCACGTTACATATGACACTATTGCACGGCTGCTGATCGCCTTTTATAATTAGCGTACAGCTTGATGGTTCGGATTACGTGTGCTTCAACAAGACATAAAGCGCAGGCCCTCTGCTGACATCGAGGCAGATGGATTTCTTGTACAATCCGAGGCCCCACTGAACAATTGATCCAGTCCGAAGAAAAGAGAAAGCCCCACGGAAGCTACTCGCTTGTTTGACTGTAGTATTGTCAATATGTCAGACTCCGCAAAGTTCAATGTTCTGGAGACCGCAGAATCGTTTGCCTCGCGACATTATGATTTCCTGGTTGTTGGAGGCGGAACCGCCGGCCTGGCGCTCGCTGCCCGACTCTCCGAAGGAACCTCTTTTACTATAGGCATCTTGGAAGCCGGGCAGCCCCATTTGGACGATCCGAAAATATTGATACCGGGTCTGTGTGGCACCCTTCCTGGTGACTCTGAGTACGACTGGAAATTCATGACCGTACCTCAAGTAAATCTTCCAACTCGGTTCTCAGTGATTCTTCGATAGTCCAAATGCTAATCACTCTCACAGGAGCACCTGAATGGACGTCAGATTGGGTGGCCTCGTGGTCGAGTACTTGGGGGCTCAAGTGCAATAAATTTTATGCAGGTGACTTACCCGACTGCGAAGGAGATCAACGACTGGGGGGCTCTTGGAAACGAACATTGGTCCTGGGATGATCTGCTACCCTATTACAGAAAGTTCCAAACCTTTGCACAGCCTTCGGCCGAAGTAGCAAAGTCGCTGGGGACGTCACATTATCAACTTAAAGATTATGGTGGCACGGGTCCCATCCAAGTTAGCTTCTATAGCCCGCATGATCTGCAAGATGCCTGGTTGAAAACTTTTGAAGCCCTGGGCCACAGAATGTCCCAGAGTCCTCTATCTGGCGCAGCGATTGGAGGGTTTACAAACCCTGCAACGGTGGATCCTGAGTCTCGAACACGAAGCTACTCCACAAATGCCTACTATCTCCCAAATGCAACGAGGTCGAACATGTTCCTCCTCACAGGAGCCCAAGTCCTCAAGATAAATTTTGAGGCAGCGAAAGATGGGCAGTTTATGGCCAGTGGAATTTCGTTCCTTGCCCAGGGGACAAAATATGTTGTGAAAGCACGCCGCGAAGTTATTTTATCTGCTGGAACTATCCAATCGCCTCAGATTCTAGAGTTGTCTGGGATAGGCTCTGAGGATGTGCTTTCTAAGCATGGTATCGAAGTACTGATCAACAACCCCGGTGTTGGCGAGAACCTCCAAGATCACGCTATTGCAACCCTGTCCTATGAAGTTGCAGATCCAAGTTTATCCTTGGACAGTCTTCGCGACCCAGCACTTCTTAAAACAGCCCTGGAATCTTTCCAGACTGAAAGGTCAGGTCCTTTTGCTTCAGGAGTCCAGGCCAGTGCATTTCTTCCGATTATCGACTTTGTGTCCGAGCGAGGAAAGACAGAATTAGAAACTCTCTTAGAAGATTTACCAGAAAGGCAGGGGTCTGATGGCATCAAAAGCCAACATTCGTTGTTGAATCAGGCGCTGTTAGATCCGGGGGAATCTACAGCTCAACTGATGCTGTTGTCTTTTCAAGTACATGGCGAGTCAGCGCACGACCAGCAGGCACTATTCAAACCGTCTGCAGCGGGCGCGTATATTACATTGACTGCTCATATTGCCCGCCCATATTCACGTGGTCATGTGCATATTCGGTCTCCAGATCCTTTGGATCAGCCTTGTATCGATCCTTGTTACCTCTCGCATCCACTCGACCGTGAGATTCTGGCTCGACACTTCAGATATCTCCAAATCCTAGCTAGGACTGAGCCGTTGGCTTCAAAACTGGCAAAGAATGGCCGGACAATTCCTGATTGTGTGCCAATTGACCTGGATTTGGCTTCAGCAAAGGAGATGATAAAGAAAGCCGTGACGACACAATACCATCCCGTCGGAACCTGTGCGATGATGCCACTAGGGAAGGGGGGAGTCGTCGATGCAAAATTAACGGTCCACAGCACTGTGAACCTCCGAGTTGTCGACGCTAGCGTGTTTCCGATGCAACTACGTGGCAACATCCAGTCGACTGTGTATGCAATTGCGGAGTACGCTGCTGACATGATCAAGGCAAAATGGGTTCGAAGTGGCAAGGATGGTGGTCTACACTAAGGTACATTGAACCTGCTCCTCTTATTCTCTGGCTATCAACTTCAGAAATAACTACTGAACTGTTAGCTTGTTTTCGTCAATGTAGTTCGGACATGCCTCAAACTTTGCAGCTCATAGGATACGCCACTCAAACCAAGCAGATAACAGATATACTAGCTGTGGTTGAGCAATACTTAACTATTGCTCAATTGCCCTCGTTCTTTTTCGGTCTTTTCTCTTTTAATAAGTGTTGCAAGGAAGCTCAACAGATCGAAAGAACTGTTGAAACATCTCTTCACTAGCTGTAGTATTTCTTTTAACAGTTATAAATGTCTGCCATCCTTTTTACCTCGGTGGCCCTATAAGAACTTGACTTAATAACATGACAATAAGACAAAAATAGAGGTTTCCAAAGATGTTCTTACCCGCGCTGTGCGGAATTACGGAGCACGCCTTTATATGCCTCTTCCTGCCGTTTATATGTGTGTGGATTCACGCAGATACAGCTCAGTACAACGATTTTTATCAAGTTGGATGGACAGGCTCCCAATTTCTGGATTCCTTAGGTTCTCCTGCCGCTCCAGGTTAACAAGAAGAGGGGTTTGGGGTTGATTGTTGAGTTTCTCCCCGTCGGACACTTTCCCCACATCGGAAAGTCCAGTACCTGACCGTCTGGTGAGAATGAAACAACTTTTAATGAGTTAAAATGGCCCTCGATGGTATCACATAGCTCTCCTCTGCCCGTATTCCAGAGCTTGATAGTCTTATCGCCAGAGGCAGATGCCCACTAGCTGACTATTAGGTGAGAATGTGACATAGTTCACCGTGTTAGAATGACCCTTAAGGACCTGGTACAGCTCGCCTGTTCTGGGATCCCAAATCCTAATGGTTTCGTCCAGAGCGCCAGATGCTAGCAGTTGGCCATGTGCTGAGAAGGCCACAGACCAGACTGAGAATGGTCGTTGACGGTCTGGCGCAGCTCTCCCATTATTGTTCCCAGAGCTTAATGTCCCATCACTAGCGCGAGGAAGCCACAACACCTTTGCAAGGATTAATTTAGTTACTCTGCCATTCTTGATTGACTGTTCGTGAATACAAGTTTAGATAGCATCCAAGACGTCTGGGTCCTAGTGACCTCAATGGTTTGGTGAAATTATCTGACCATTCCCTCCCCGTTTATTGATATATTGTCTACCATGAATACATCCTTCATTCGACCCTAGCCTCTATATAAAGCTAATGTGCTAAAGGCAAGACTCGTCCACTCGACAAAACATACTCACCGAAACCGAGGCAAGTTTGAAATGTCCTGATTAAACGCTACTAACAAGGGAGCGTCAGTCAAATAACGACAGGGGCCAGTTTGCAATCAACCAACATCGAAGCACGGTACAATATACTCTAGGTAATATAGGACAGAGCGGGATCCAATACTGGCAAAAAGATCCCGAACTCGCCTGTGAATATTGTCAAGTCAAACAGAGCCTGCGCAACAGTTCTATGGATCCTGCGGAAATACAAATGAAATGATTAATATTAGTATCAAATGTGCCAATCACCCTTTTGGAGCACACGATTCTTATGTTCAATTTGCAATTTCCCTTCGTCTTCCAGACTTAGTTATGACCACCTGGGATTCCCTGCCTAATATGTATAGACCTTAGCTTCCCAGTGCAGCAATGGTTCCCGCCCTACCCACTCCCTCGGCACGTACCTCCCCTGAGTAACCTCTCTCCAGTCTTCCCTCTCCCGCTCGGGCCAGTTCTCTATGAAATACTCATTACCAGGTGTATCCTGATCAGTAAAATTAGCCACCACAACCACCGGCGCCTGGCCCTGTGCTCCCCTCTTCCACGCCATGATCTTGCCCTCACGGCTCTCATCCACATGAATGAACTCTGTATCATCAACCCCTAGAGCCGGGCATTCCTTTCTCAACCTGATAAGTCTCGCAACGTAATCGAAGACCCTGGCCCTCCAGTCCTGTGCCTTTCGCTCATAATTCACAGGGTCAACTTGTTTCTCCCCTACTGGACTATCCATCTGATCACAAAATTCTTCGCCCGCAAAAATCATCGGAATCCCGACGGCCGTCAAGAGACACGTAAATGCGAGTTTACTTCGTCGCTCAATGTCACTGATGTGATTAGCAGAAAGAAAGTTGAAAAGGCGCTCTTTCCTGAATCCTTCAGTGTCATGGGAGGTGATGTAATTTATTGCTTGTGCCCCGTCCGTGAAAGGGTGAGAATTGTCGAGCGTGCAGTTGATCATTTTACGGACCGTCCATTCGAAATTATCACCATCTTTTTGTTCTCCTAGGATGGCTGCGCGAAGACGGCCTTGGAACGGCTCGTTCCAGAGCGCATTGAGGGTGTTGCTAGTGACCAAGTCGACAGGAACACTAAGTTCTTCGCCGATGATAAGGAATTTAGAGGGGGAAGGTGTCTCATATCTTGACCTATAGAGAGACCATGCCTCATCTGTATAGGATTTGATGAAATCAGAATTAGCGATGTTGTTTACACTGTCAAGCCTGAGACCGCCGATACCGAAGTCCGACATCCATCGGTGAAGATGTCCGTGATGGAAGGCCCAGGACGGATGGACATTTCTGCGTCTGCCTGATTTTGGATCATAAGTATTGGTGTCTTGGATGTAGCGCCACAGTTGTCCACCCCAATCCTTTCGCAGCTCATCGGAGTGATATTGGTAGCTATCCGGGTTGTCTTTTTCATCCTTCGGGACAAGATGAAACTGCATGAAAGCTATGTAGATATATGGATCGTGCCCAAAAGCCATCACAACATCTGTAAAGAATCGGATGCCCTTGGAGTGAATATTCTCCACCAACTTTACTAATTCCGATGAAGTTCCAAGATCGAAGTCGGGAGCGTAGTAGTGAGCTGTAGCATATCCCCATTCACCCATTGGTTTCGCATCTGCAGGAGGGAGTAGCTCCAGTGCATTAATGCCCAGGTCAGCTACAATAGCTTTATTGGCAACAGGCAAAATATCCCTGAAACGATCACCAGGAGTCTCCAAGTCAAATAGAGCAAGCACATCTGTGAAGGTGCCAACATCAACCTGCGTATCCCCAACCTGTTTATATTTCGCCCACGAAGCTGGGAGCTCGTAGATCACCATGTGATTGTTGTCCGGTATAGCATCTTGTGGTGGGGGTGCTACCTGGCTTGGCTCATTTCCATCAATGTCGCAGGGCCATAGCTTGCCATCGCGGAACTTGATTACAGAAGCTGGCTGGACGTGCTCGCGGAACTTGATTGCAGAAGCTGGCCGGATGTGCTCGTGAGTTCCCGTGGCTCTGTAGTCGACCGTATATGCAATTGGATCGGTTACTCGGAAGGTACCCAGACCCTTTGGTGATGAATCTTGTATCTCGAACCAGTAGTGATAGACAGAGCCATTCCTTAATGGTGGGTTTATGCTACTTAGGTCGAGTTCCCAGAGATCCTGTTGGTCTGACCTGCTCAGCTGCCCGGTGAAAAATTCATCGATAGTAGCAGGAGGACCGAGATCAAAAATGCCAAGCACCAGTGAAGGGGGGTTTGAAGTTGGTCCAGCAGGTATCCAGAGGACAAATTTCTCTTTGCGGCGCTCGAGGAGATCGAATGCCATTTTAGGGTATTGTTGGTGGAAGAAACAGTAGATCGTGTCAGGTAACCCTGGAGGACTATCAAATGAGCCAACATGGAAGAATGGTCTGAACGAGGGAAAATGCTGCATAAAGATAAAGAAATGAGGTCTTGTATTAGTTGGGAGATTGGCCAGAGGGACAAGGCTGCGATTGATCTGCGTCATTCCGACGCGAGCTCCTGCGGGAAGCCCGCAGCCACAAAGCACACTAATCCATGGATACAAGACCCCATAGAAAAAGAAGTTAAAGATGATCTCCAAATAACTTTCATACAAACCTAAAGCGGCAAATGTATTAATGTCCAAGTCCGCAGGACAGAAGGGCTAGACCATTCTTGAGCTGAAAGCGGCACAATAAGCTCATACAGTCACGTCATGGAGTGGTCTACGTCAATGAGGACGGAACATTCTTAAGCTGAAAACATGCGAGACATGACTGGAGAATGTTAGAATGTCATGTTCATAAGCTGAAGCCTTGCAGGTGAGATTTTGTATTTACCAACGAGAAGTAGTTGACAGTTCAACATGCCTATCATCTAATCTTGCTGGGTCCACTACCCTTTCGCCACATGATGCATTAACCCAATGCTAACTTCATGGTGGCGCCATCAATGATACATCGAAGGATCTTTGTGGGGTACCATAATGTTCCTATTATATGGGTCGCTAATAACAGCGCGAGGATTACACCAGCTATATTACTTTGGCGCTATATCGACAGCTACAGGGAAATGTCTTCTTTCTCGTCCAGCCATAGTGTGAATGCAGCACAAAACGCAATTGGCACCAATCAATGTTACTGACCTATGCTGTCCAACTCCCGTAGTTACAAACTACCTTGGCTCCGAATTACGATGCTTGGAGGATAGCTGCTCCAGTTTGCACCTTTGTTGTCTTTAATCTCAGGCTCTAAGTTTTAAATATCGATAAGTAAATAAATACTTCTATCTCTTCAATGAAACAATGGCAATAACAGACAAAGCAGATCACATCGGTGGGATGTAGATTCAGCCCGCACACACGATATGGGTTTCTGTGAATCAAATTGATGGTTCCCTACCGCATAAGGCCTTTTCGGAACTATATAATAAGCCTGTCATCGCATTAAGTCATCTCTACAGATCATACGATGCTGCATGTTTTGATAAAAAGTGCACCCTACCGCCCACTGGTCTCTTGGTGCACGACCTTCCTTTCTGTCTGTGAAGGAAAGCCAAGAAATAAGGTCCTTCGTAGTAGAGGCGGACGGGTATTTGCGCATGGGATGAAGCATACGGCTTGATACCAGACTTGCATTATCTGGGTTCACAATATCTGTGTTAATGGCTTAGTTTCCACCAATCTTACCATCTTCTAAAGAGTATGGCGCAATAACAGAAACCCCAATGCGATAATCAACATTATAGTCCACCACTGCAGCGCTACTTCCATGTGCTTTGTCTCTTATTGAGAATGTTGACTACAAGGGAAGGATCTCCCATCTATACACTTGGGTGTCAAAATTGGTGACATTAAGGAAGATGACTCAGATGAGGCATACACTAGGACTAATCCTTCAGAATACTGATAAGATATGCTTTGGGATCTTCCAGGACTGGTTTGCCCTCCTAGAAATAGCTCTACCACCTACCATTTAAATCTGGGCTACCATCATGAAGCAGGAAAAGCTAGCCTGATATTACTAGCTATATAAGATATATACTTTAGTTTAGTAGAATTTCTAATAATTATTCTTAAGGGTGCTTAGTAGTTCACCTCTACTAGGATCTCAGATTTTAATAATCTGATTATAAGAGGCAGATACCAGTACCTAACTATCTAGTAAGAATAAAATAGCTTTTATTGAGTTAGAATAGCCTTTAATAATATTATATAGCTCTCCTCTGCCTGTATTCCAGAGCTTAATGGTCTTATTACTAGAGGCAGATGCCCAGTAGCTAATTATCAGGTAAGAATATAATATCGTTTACTATATTAGAATAACCCTTAAGGATCTAATATAGCTTATCTATTCTAGAATCCTAAATCTTAATGGTTTTATCTACGACTACAGCACTAGATGCTAGCAGCTGGCTATTTATTAAGAAGGCTATAGACCAGACTGAATTAGAATAGTTGTTAAGGGGCTGGCGCAGCTCTCATATTATAGGATCCTAGAACTTAATATCCCATCACTAGCGCGAGGAGTTCACCAACTTTTTTGATCCATTGGCCTTTGGTGGACGGGTCACGGGTCCGAGAAGCAGATGATACACAGAGCTATAGTTGAAAGGAAGGAAGGGGTTGGGAAGGAGCTTTATACACCGTCTCAGTTCTAGTTTTACTATGGGAATATGATTCCGCAGGTTTACTCTCAGGGGGAAAGAGTGTGTCTGGGAGCTTTACTCCAGTTTTTACCGCACCTTGAATAGGAGAGAACAGGGTAATTAAGGAAAAGAAAGTAATAAAGGTGACTAGCATGAGGACTGTGTATGTAACGCTCTTCTTCTTAACAGCTTCTAAGCTCTATGCCCTGGTGCCCTGCCCAGAGCTAGAATTTATTCTTAATCCACCCAGAAATGGATTCTTAGAGCTACCAGCAGCTACCGACTTCATGTTAAGGATTACATCACCTGATAGATTACAACTATATAGTGACGGTTACTAAGACACTGTCTGAATCCAGGGAGGACCTGTGCTTCGCAGCCCATATCCTCAGGCTTGTATACTCATTACATCCTTATAGCCCTTAGCCTATGTGATATAGCTATCACACCGTTGCTGATTCCAAGACCATTAAGAGTTGAGAATTAAGCCTGAGAGTTATGAAGAGGCATAACGTGCTCAGCCCTCAATCATGGAGAGAGAGTTAGTTATATTACTCTCAGTAATAATAGATAACAAATCTATTAGCTCCTTGCATCATAGTCCCTTGACCCCATGCAAACCATTGCACTTCTTAAGATGCCCTCCTTGTCATGAACAATTTACATGAGAGAGATAGACTAGAGAATGTATCTGAATCTGCCAAAAACTGTAACGCACATCAGCCCTAGAACAGAGCTTCGGGCGAAATCACGAGCAAGGCCATAGGCCATTACATTGATATGGTCCAGGGCAGCAATTAACGAACGAAAGCTTGGAGACATGACCAGTTGGACATCGGAGCCGTCGGCCAGGGTAGAACTGGAAGGAACTACTGAGCGTTTGGAATGGTAATATGCTGTGCTGTTGGGTTCTTGAGGAAAAGCATAGTGTTTCTTTTGTAATCTTTGAAAGCGGGGTTCTGCACATATAATAGCCTCGGCCCATCTAGGCCAGTAACAGGACCGACCTAGTCAGCAAAGCTTTCTGTCGGGTTCCAGATATGAACCCCTAACCCTGCACTTTCCAAGAATCTTCAAAGGTTATCGTTCCTTTGGCGATATCAAGGCGTCTGGGTGATTGGAGCCTACAAAGAATTAAGACCTGCGTCCCTACACAGAATGCCTGCCATTGAGGTCAGCAATACTCTGTACTGCATCGATATTCTTGACGTGCTATGGCGTTACCTAGGCTGCCAATAGTTGTGTACAGTTAGTGAACAGTTGATTTTCGCGTCACCAAAGACTCCTTAGTATCCTGTACTAACCGCCACAAAATACAGTATGTGGTGATCAAAAATAACCAATAGCAACGCAAAATCCAGATAGATCATCAGGATACTACATGCTGGAAGTTATCCTACTAGCACTAATAAAAGGGCACGAAAGAGCGCTTGATGAGGATCAGGTACATCTTTAAACCCTCACATATAGGTCTTACGCATCTTCACTAATACAGTCAATGCTTTCATTATATTTGCCTTCCATGTTTGCTTAACACTCTTCGTCTCTTTTAGTTGTTAGAGTCTGTGATGATATTCCCACATCAGCCTCTTTTTTGAGCTCTAATTTAAAGCGTCGTACAGAATTAGCATGCAACTACCATTTGAAGATGTGGGAAGAGCTGAAAGCCACTTAATTCATTGGCTAAGAGACCGTCGTAAATCATGCAGGAGGTTCCTTCAATTTATTTGGAAAATATAGATATAGTGTCAGTGGAAAGCAATCTTAATGATATGGTAAAGTTGATATTTACACAGTGCTGCTAATACAAAAGTAGACAACGGTTGGCTTTTCAATCTCCTAGAAAATCCATATTCTTAATTTTTGAAACAAGAGATGCCAACTCTTCACTTCTTCTAATCACAGACACCTGGGTGTCTACTCCTTATCAAATATCCCAACCGACCTTCAGTTCACACTTTCAAACTGATCGTAGATGCAGCGTGGTAGCTGGAAGGTCGCTTTTTACAGCACTTCCTCTCGCTAGCGCTGACTCTTATACAGCGTGTCAGTTCTTCTTTCGAGCATATTCACTGCTTGAATTCGGCGACCTAAGTTTCTTGTTCTCCATCCAATAGCCGGTGCAGAGCATAGCGAACATTGCAGCGCAGATATACACCTGTGGTCCACCTTGCCCGAACTCAGGGTCTACCGCCAATGAGCCCGGATAAAAAAAGGCGCTAAGCTGAGTAATCCAGTACAGGCTGCCGATCCAAACTGAAGTTTGCAGATAATGGCACTTCAGCTCTGCGGAAGTAGCTGGGCGATAAAGATAGTACAAAGTCGTCAGACCAAGGACCATTCCCAGAGACATAGTCTGCCCATTATGAAATTTCGCATGAGGTGGCCACCTTGGGTTGTAGATGTGGGTTTCGTTCCAGTCCGCGATGTAGCAGCCCACTGACGTAGTGATGCCAACCAAAGTAATGAGGATAGAGCCAGTTCCGGGCATTTTCTTTATCGGATATAGGCAAGCAATTGGGGACGAGACCGAGGGAAAAAGAAGAGGAGTAGGTGGATGGATCAGTGCATGGCAAGACGAAAGGTAACTGAGATGACGCGCTTTACTTCCACGTGGACTTTTGCGACTAATAAGCATGCCCGCCCTCCTGCTTATAAACCCTCGGATGTCCCGGTAACATTACTCAACACCGAACCGCCGATACCACCGAACCGCCGCGAATCATCGAATATTAAGGACTTGTAATTGCCAACGTCATATGTAATGTATGAATATACCATATCAGTTGTTTACTACGACAATTTTGTAGTGTATGTCTACTGCAGCATGGTAGAGCACGCTAACAAGGCACTGGTATAGGCTCATTAATCTGCTTTATGAACTTGTTTCTAAGCTGCCAAACACGGTCACAACCTTCCTGTATAGACAAAAAGAACTAAACAGAGGCCATTGCCTGGATAAGCACGCTTCCTTGTCCTTTTCATCATTTTGCGCTCATTTCAGCCCGTAGAACCTTTATGCCTTGTTGATGAAGAGGATCCATATGCATTACCATCTGTGCAGCATTTTCAAAATGTTGAAATTAAGAAACTAGATCGCTAGAAAGCTTCCTTTTCTACAGTGTTCTCTGTAAGTTGCGAACTTTGCGATCAAGCTGGTGCGGTTTTGAGTTGTTTGAAAAGCAGGTGAACTAGTGGTATGGCGTACTGACTTGAAAGGTGATTTTCCCAAGAACCTGGTCTTCATCTAATGGTTCAAGGCCCTAGTCTTAGAATATGTGTTCGTGCTAAGGGGTGCTGTAGAACCAAAAGCCCCAGAGGACGATGAACACGATGAACCAGATGAAGAATCAGGTGAGTGACTTGGCTGTTTACCCACGCCAGTCCTGCAATTCCTACTTTTCTTTTTGACCAATCATCTCCTCCATCCTTCATGATTGTGAGCGACAAGCCTAAAGCAAACCTCAGCATCATGACCACCGATACGCACAGACAGGGTCTTGTTGAGCAGTAGTTTGCTAAATTTGAACAACGACTCATCCTGGACTGGAACTCTACAGAGAGTAGGCAACTGAGTTTACAATGCCAATACTAGGTGATGTATATGTGGTCAGTCTTTTTAACGACTTTGTACTTGTAGTCACTATCTCCCAGTGCTCGGATTGATCTATGCCGTCTTAATGAAGTTGAGCGCCTGTTCTAAGGACTCACTAACTTTGCAGTCCGTAGCAGGTGGCCCAGGGAGTATATCCATGTGCGTAACCATAGACTTCAATATGAGATTTTTGAATACTTCAGACCGTTTCTGCTCCTGAGCCCTATGAAGAACTACCACTACTGGAATTTAACTCTGCGTCTCAAAAGCAGAATCAATCTGACCTTCTCTGAGGCCCAATTTCTCTCTTGTTCGTGGTCGCAAAGATCCACAATTAGTAGGAATTAACAGGATAATCAAATACGTTTCAGCACCATAAAAATTATTTAAAATCGACGGCCATTTATACCACCTATGTTCTTCCTGCACCAAGAATCTCCCTCCAAAGCAGAGGTTTCTCACCTCTCTTACGTCGCCACATATTTGTAGAAACCAGCAGGTCCTGACAGCCTCTTAGTACCCAGCTCCACTTCCTCGCGAACGCCTCGGTAACCTCCCAGTTCCGTGGATCCCATGGAGCTCCCCAGACGAGTAGCGTTGCGCGGCTATCACGAGTGTCCCAGAAACATACAAGGTCATGACACAGTTCATCGTCGTCTAGCGCATTTCCAGCCATAATCATATTATCCCGCATCTGCGGGAAAGGAAAGACGTCCAACCACGGATGATGTGGAATATTCTGCTGTAAGGATGTTGGGCTTAAGCTCTGGGGAATATCTATTTCTCGCACCCCTGGACGGGACTGACTGAACACGGAAACTGCTTCATCCGCACATAGCCACTCAGCAGTCATACCCAGCGCAATGACATTTTCGTAAGCCGCGCGTAGAACATTTATTCTACTGAGAGAGATGAGATCATCTATCTTGGGCGAGCAGGAAACGTACTTTTCCACGGCGTCCCTTTCGAATTGGTTCATTAGTTCGTGGATATTTGGCGGTGCAAAGGTGCATGTAGAGTGTTGGTCCACAGTTAATCTGCAGAATATGGCAGCGATATGTGATGCAGTGTTAGCTGCAGCAGACACACTTCTCATAGATTGAACAGGATGACCACTGTCCTGGCTGGGGCCCACACTGTTTGCCTGACGCTGGTCAATATTGTTATTATTAGCGTGGCGTTGTCCTGCAGTCAGAAAGTTAACCCTCTCTCGCGCGCCATCAAGAGACCAAGGACTACCAACGATAGGATCTTTGATTTAGGCGGTTTTGTAATCGCCGACGTGTAGCCGGATCACTAACTCCAGTCCAATCATCTTCAGAAGCTAGCGCTTTCACTTGTTGTGGTAACCGCTGCAATGGAATGGTGTGATCCATTATTCATGCGTCCTGATGACTGAACCTGCAGTAAGGTAGGATAAAATGGGTGGGAGCTCGGATGCGACGGGACATTATCCCTATTTAAGCGGAGTACATGCAGGACGCTTACTAGAGTTTGTCAGAATGTGGGATTTGTCGGCCAAACTATAAATGTGACTGGCTGAAGTCCCGCGTGGTTGAGAGTTTGCGCTCCCAGACCAGAACTAAGTTGCTGCTAACTTAACCTCGTGTGTTCCGACTATATTAAAGGGGAAAAAAAAAAAAAAAAAAAAAAAAAAGGGCCAATATTTCTCCAACATCAATAGGTAGAACATATCACTTTCAATCGTTATAGTGCAAGTTCAATCCTCCCTTGACTCTTTGTACCATCAGTCCATTAGGTGATACATGGCCCGTAGAAACAGGAAAACATTCCGTCAGTGGCAACTCGAGGCACTAAAACGGTGCTCATCTAGAGTGGGTCGGAGGTGTTCATCATCTAAGTGGGACTAGCGGCTGGAGCTAATGCAAGGTGATTACAAGACCAATCACATTGCATTAAACATGTGGGACTGTTAACGTTTATTGCAGGTGCAAAGCCCGACATTGGTGTATAAACTTAACTGGGGACTGCAGGAAGGTATTGGAAATGCATCATTCCGCCAGTTTAGACTCACCCAATTTTAGGCTGCTTATTGCTGAACTGCACAACATCGTATGGAACTTGCCTGACTCTGAGTCAACATGCAAAAGGCCATCGCTGTCACCAGACTCAAATCTCCTGCCGTACTGGTGGAAAGACCGATTCCTGACCCAGGGGAAAATCAACTTCTGCTTCAGGTGACGGCTGCAAGCTGTAAGTCAATGTCCCGCCGCCGGAAATCACTTCCTTCTGATAGATTCCAGTAAATCCTCTTGATCAGAAAACGAGGGATGTAGGCTTGTTTTTTAAGGAGCCCCCTCAAGTCCTGGGTCACGAGCTTGCGGGGACTGTGGTCAGGCGCGGTGCAGGAACGAAGGCGTCACAGTTTGCAGTGGGTGAGCACGTATTTGCTCATGCGAACTTTGTCCCTGGGCAAGAGCTCAAAGATTGCGGCGGTCTTCAACAATTCGCCTTGGTCGATGTCCGATTTGCCGCCAGGGTCGCAGGCACGGGTCTGTCAGATGAAGAGGTCGCTGGCATTCCTGTCTGCGCCATGGCATCTTTCATTGCCTTGTTCCATTCGACTGGTTTAGGCCTACCGTTACCACCGGCCCTGGACAAGGTTAATGCAGCCTTTAAGGATCAGGCTATCCTTATTCTCGGCGGAGGATCAAATTGCGGCCGATTTGCTCTTCAATTCGCTCGCATGGTCGGATTCGGAAGGATAGTGACCGTTGCCTCTTCAAGGAACAACGTCGAGTTGAAAGGCATGGGCGCAACGCACGTGATTGATCGTCACGCTAGCCACGACGAGATCCTACGCCAGGTACGAGGCGTCACAGGTGACGAGCTTATCTATGCGCTCGACACGGTAAACGTAGGGCCCGCTCAGGACCTCGGCCTTGCGGCGCTGTCAAACAGCCGGAAGGGTTGCCTCATCACGCTGAATCCTGTGAATGAGGCTGAGCCGGACAAAGCGCAGATTGGAGAAAAGGCCGCGGGCTACGACAGACGGCTGACTTTCGGGTTCAGCGCCTTGTATCCGGACGTGTCGATGGTGTTCTGGGAGAATATAGTGGGTTGGCTGCAGGCTGAGAACCTTAGCCCACTCAGGTGCGAAGTTATTGAGGGGGCTGATCCCGAAAAGATTAATGCGGCATTGGATGGCTACAGGGATGGTCAGGGACAGAAGGTAGTTGTGCGTCTGTGAAGATATAACCTCAGAATGAAACGGACTCGCATCGACTGCAGAGGAAGCTCAGGTTGAAAGACGACGTACATTAGGAAAATAGTCAAAAGAAGCAAAAGAGTATTATACGCAATGCTCTTATCTACAGTCTACGCCTCACATTGAGAATAACAACCAGCTGACAAGAAGTGAGTTTCAATCAAAATATGCTTATGCATATACTCAATTAATACAGCACGACTTCTAAGAGGGCGTTGCCTTTAGTTTATCGTCGAAGCACCAGATCCTTTTCAGTGATAGAAGTTGTAGAATAGCCATCGTCGGATTGGGTAAAGGAAAACCGGCCGGCTCTTATAGCAATCAAACAAGCAAGGCTTCGTTGGAAGTGAAGGGTGGACTTCGCGTCTCAATAGATGCCCGGGATCAGACGATACGGAACGCGGTCCTTAATTGCCTGCCACTGTTCACCATACTATGCCTTTGAATTAGCTTGTCTCTGACGAACAGCCATACGCCTAGGGGCTTACCCTTTCTAGAAGATATTTGTCAAGCACTGGAACACCCCGAGCCGCAAAGTCGTAGAAGAAAAAGGAAAAGACGGCAGCGGCCCATGGCCAGCCAGCCGCGGTGAACGCATACGCGGCTCGCCAAATTGTATAAGCACCGTAGTTGATATGTCTCGCTGCTGAGAATAACCCGCCAGCGTATGGCTTTCCTTTGTTGGTGGGATCTTTCTTGAAGGATCGTCTCTGTAGTTCCGAGCCCACCTCTACAAGAATACCAGCCATGTAGAACCCGACACCGACAAGCAAAAGTGGATACTGACGAATGCCAAAGAAGCCTAGTGGACCCGGTGCTTGTGTTGTAACCGCCCAGACCGATAGGATAGTGTTCAACGAGTTGCAAGCAGTGTTGAAGAGTGCAATGACAATTGCTGACGATGGTGACATTTCTTGCTCCACGACGACCAGGATATTCAAAATCTGTTTCAGGCTGCTACCCAAAGCCATGAGTGAGATGATAGCGTAGTAAGGCTGCAGTTGGCCAGTCGATTCATGAACTATCATGTTGCGATTCACTGCTGTAGCACCGATGAGCTTGAGCAAACTGGATGCCCAGCCTCGCTGAAGAAGGGTGTATTGAAAAATAGGATCGGCCGCACGTAGCCCAACAAACGTCAATACACCAAATGGATTGACCTTTTTCGCGCGAGACACATTGTCACGGAGCTCGCCAGCCATGGTGCGCAAGTGCAAGGTTCCTTTCTGTTAAAGACGCGACTGTTAAGGGAAAAGCCTTAAATAGGGATAAATAGTGGGATAGCCTTTATGTCCCTTTTTTCACTTTTTCCTGCATAGCACTGGGCTTCAACAAACTTATATCTTTTCTCCAAACTTAGTCCCTTGTTAAATCAGTTCATCTTCTTACCCTTCAGACCAAGTGGCTCCAAGTAGTGGCGAAATACCGGTAAACGTGGCATCGGTTGTCGGAGGGCCGTGGACTGAAGCTTACTGATCAACMATTTCTCCATTATTAATAACTGGAGGGTACGAGCTGGGGCCTGGTCTTCTGTTTGGCAATCATGGCACTCAAATGAGGAAGCTACAGCTGAGGGATATACATCAGCCACTCCAGTATTAGCGGACAAAAGGATTCTGCTATTATAGCCTAAAAAGGCTAGTGTACCAGATCCGCACCCGTACTACGCCAATCAGGCTCTTAGTGCGCAGAATTATCTTGACGACATTGTGATCGGCGAGCAGAGTGCAAAACCGACATTTTGGTCTCATAGAATTCATGTGGACGGACAAGATATCCCGGCCGGGCCGATCGGACGCCGTGACGCGCCGCTTAGTCACCTACCTGCGGCCCACTTAACTCCTATGAATGAAGTGCCTAATGTGATAGTATGTTTACCTGCTATTACATACAGTCATATCTCGTTTACAGTGTTCCATCGGTTTGGCTTAGTATTAATCTTTTCGGGTCGCCAGGCGTCAGTGGCCCAAGAAATGGGTGGGATGGTATCGAGAAGGACCCATCTCTCCCACAGGCCCAATATTATTGCGACAACGGCGTTAACGGAAATGTCAAATAGCTCGAGAATTAGGATTATTGTACGGAGAACGTAATATCTGAATAGGGTGGTAACCCATTATTAGCCCCGGATGTAGAGCTCGACAATAATATACGGCTTACCAGCTTCTTAAATATTCATCTCTTCTCTCTGACCAGTATCTATTTTCTCTGCCTGTGATCAGTTTCAGGTACACCATACATCTACAAGAGCACTACCTGTCGGAGCTTCGCTTCAAGTGGACGTATCATGAAAGTTCTCCTTACCGGCGGCAGCGGCTTCATTGGGAAGCACTGTCTTGCTTACCTACTCCAACATGGGTTTGTACGCCTGAAACTGGCGTGGGCATTAACTGACAAACTGGCAGTCATACCGTCGTGACCACGGTACGCAGCAATGCGAAGGGGAGAGAATGCCTGGAAAGCTATCCCGAGTTCTCCAACAACCTCTCGTACGCTATCGTGGAGGACATGGCGCGTTCGGGAGCCTTCGACAAGGCTGTTCAGTCAGAACCTCCATTCGAAGCTGTAGTGCATACGGCTAGCCCCTTTCATTATGATGCAGCAGACCGAAAGCGGGACATGATTGATCCTGCCATCATGGGAACCACGGAAATACTTCGGTCTATTAAGCGATGCGCTCCCTCCGTCAAACGAGTCGTCATTACCTCCTCCTTCGCTGCCGTCGTGAACTTTCAGGAAGCGATACCTGTGTATACTTCTGAGCATTGGAACCCAATCACAATGGAACAGGCCTTGACGAACGGTCAGCTAGCATACGTGGGGAGCAAGAAATTTGCCGAGAAAGCTGCCTGGGACTTTGTCGAGAATGAAAATCCGGTCTTCACTCTTTCCACCATCAATCCCGTTATGGTGTTTGGACCTGTGACTTATCGTCTAGACTCTCTTGGGAATGTCAACACCTCCAACGCCGTCTTTAGGGATATGATACTGGGCAATATGAGATCAGGCATTACCCTCAGTTCGTTCCAGTGGGTAGATGTGAGAGATGTTGCGCTCGCTCACGTCCGCGCAATCGAAGTCCCAGAAGCAGCTGGTCAACGGTTTCTTGCTGCCGCGGGGCCATATAGCAACTACGAAATCGCTAAAATAATCAAGGAAAATTTCCCAGAGCTGGCAGACAGACTTCCGGAGCACATTCCTGTTCCTGATGGGCCCAAGAGCTTCGTGATTGACAACATGCCTATGAAGCAGATTCTAGGAATACCGTTCAGACCCTTGAAGGACAGCGTGGTGGATACTGTGAAGACTTTACTGGAAGTGAAGGCCTAAATTCATGTTCCAATGCGTTGGCCATAGTTGCTATACTCTACTACTGTCTAGATTGATTAAAAGTCAACCAGCATTCCGCCCCGCGAATGGTCACAGTGCAAAGAGGCTAGATGGAAGCAGATAATGATTGATCATTAGCGATATTGTCGCCAGTATGCCAATAAATCGGTATCCACGGGGTTGAATTTTTGGTAGTTACAAAAGCAAGCAGTAAAAAGTTGGCGTTTTTAACATACTGGATTCTTCCAACCATGGTTGCGCGTTACGGAACACAATGAGCCAAGCGTCGTAGAACGTCTTTGAACGTCCACAGGAGTAGTGACCAGGCTGTTAGGGTGCGATTTCCTATGATAACAGGTCTAGTAACCAACACAGTCAGGGGCAGTGCTGAGTAGATTTAGGAATAGACGTCATGCATGCAACTTGCTTACTTTGTTTCTCTTATTGGTCAGTAGAGGTTAAAGGGAGGGAACACACGTTTTATGGAACCTTTCTAATTGGTCCAGACTTGCATCCAGCTTGCCTTCAAAAGGCCCTGCGGGGCGTTCCGGTCTTGGTTGGCTCGTTGGGAAAGGTAAGTGGGTACCAACGCTTTTAGACCCTTACTCAAAGTCGGGATCCATTGCAACTTTCAATTAGAGTTCTGGAAATCTAGAACCACTAATACATGCTCATTGGCTGGAAGCAATTGGTTAAGAGAGCTCTCTATTGATCTACAAGGTTGCGATCAAACGAGGCGAAACTCCAGAGAAAACTGTATGTATTACGGTCTTTAGATTACAGGCCGGCCGCTTTGATCAAACTTTCGCCAATCATACCAGCGCTCGGAGGGTTCTGACCGGTAACCAACTTGCCATTCCATCCGCTCGTGATGACTTTGCCGCCAAAAGGGCTATCAGCCTTCTCATAGATTCCGCCATTCTCGCGTAGCTTGGTCTCCAAGAGGAATGGCATATCTTTAGTGAAATGCATGATATCCTCTTCTGCGTTTGAGAGGCCCGTGACCTCCTGGCCAGCAACCAGGTACGTTCCGTCGGATAATTTCACGTTGACTAAAGCGGCTGGACCATGGCACACCGCTGATACCACTTTGCCACTTTCATAAAACTCGCGGACAAGAGCATGAGATATCTCATTGTTTGCAAGATCAAACATTGCTGCCAGCCGTCGGATCTGTCAGCCCCCGCTTGTTAAGCCATAGTTGTATTCAAAAGAAAACTTACGACCGTGGCCACCGACGTAGAAGATCCCTGAAAACTCGGGCGCCTTGCCTATTAGGGACTGGAGCTTGACAGTGCTTTTCCAGATGTGAGACTTCTCTTTGAGAAAAGCTACACATTCAGGATCCTCTCTGGTCGCTTCGATTGAGTACGGGTCAAGAGGCGCCTCGCCGCCCTCTGGTGAGGCAACTATAATATCGAACACCGATGCAAGCGCATTATAGGGATGAACAAGTTCAGGGAGATACCACCCAGTGGGAGTGCCCCGGCTTGGGAGAATGCTCTGCGAAGAGAGAACGAAGATGAACTTTGGTCTTGGTGACATGTTGTAGGTCGAGGCAGAGAGATTTGCTGCTACCGGGGAGGTATTGCCGGTTAGAATCAAGTGGAGACGGAGGAAATCGAAAGCGATGAACGCACATTTATATTTGAGGCGTTCCCATACAACCCGAAATAACTCTTTAGCAGTCAGCTCTAATTGATGACAAATGACTCTGTGGGTCAAGTACACCGCTGAAAGTTGACAAGAAGCCATCGGATCCCACGGACATAAGAGTCACGGACGGACCCCGAGAGAAGATAAATAGGACGTCGTCTCAGCGACTTTGTTCTTTGCGCTAGATAGTAACCTAGAACTTTATCAACTCTCAGAGACGTCTCCTCTCCTGCATATCCAACAAAGTGTTGACTATGGCTTGCACAATCACTGTTGTCTTTCCCAATGATGTCGATGCTAAGTACGATGTCGACTACTATATCAAGAACCACATGACCCTCATTGAGAAGCATTGGTCCAAGTACGGTCTCAAGGGTTGGTCTGCCACCAAGTATATTCCATCCTTGGACGGTGCCGCCCCTCTGTATGCCTTTGGTAGCCAGGTCTACTGGGAAAGTGAAGAAGGCATGAAGAAAGCATTCGAAAGTGCTGAGGCCGCGGAGATCATGGGGGATGTTCCTCACTTCAGCAACAAGCCTCCAATTTTCTTGATCGGCCAGACCATCCGCCCTGCATTCAATTTCTAACCTGTGAGTAGTCAACAAGGTCGTGTCTCAAACCTTACCTGAGGCTAATCAAGTTGCTGCCTAAGTGTCAACCGCTTATTCCGCACTCAACACCTCGTTACAGGATTATGGTCAGACTTCTGGGGTGGGATGTGCTAGCAAGTAGCCGGCAAGCACCAGCACACGGTGCCCATCTTGCTTGTAACTAGGTGTATATAAAGTTGTCTGGTGGTGCGTGGTCGATCAGGGTATGAAGCGGACTTTACTGGGTGTATCTATGCAGAGGTCGTACGTAGCGACCTCTGACTAATCGAGTTTACTCCATCTAAACCGCGCCTCGAACCGCGTCGGGTCCAGTATTAAGGGCACAGAAGTATCTATAGTGTGAGAACTCCCTTGAACCATATCTATGTAATGTAACTTTTCTCGTACCGTAAATCCCCTAGACTGTGCATTCTAACTACGCATTCACATGTTGCACATATGTAACGAAGATGGAGATCATCCTGCTTGGATTTTTGCTGTTGGTAAACCTAGACCACAGACGGATATATTCATTAGTCGTCCAGAATGATAACCGAATCTTGTACGGTACTGGGAATTCTGACCTCCTTTACCCTGAATTGATAGATCATGGTGTCCCAGGAGAGACGGCCGCCCTTACTTTATTTTAAAGCTCAGCCCATCCCTCGATGTAATTATTGCCCTTGCAACCTATAGTATTGATATCTCAACAGAGTGCCTCGAAAAATTGCCACATTCGATTCGAAGACAGCCTTTATGTATGACCTTCGAGACCTGATTCACCGACAAGCCAGACCTGAGCAACGTTGGAATAAAGATTGTTATCGACTGCGCTTTATTTCATTGGATCGATCATGTTGACTGGCCTCAGATCGCTGGAAGCCTCAATGCCAGAGACGCGCAGGGCAACACGTACCAAAAGAAGGAATAAGCTCAGATCATGCCAGATACCTTTATATAAACAGTTATACTAGAGGCCATATTTGACTAGTGTTATAATTAAACTGCTTAGCCCTAGGCACTAGAAGTAGCTGACATGCGCTCGTCCTTGGTTTGTGATGGTGTGCTGAAACTGTGGCCTGCGCTTCAGTGGGAAACTGCATTAGCAGCAAACTGTCATTGCATATTGTGGTTCTATGGTAGTAAATTAATTACCAAAACCTATTCGACCACATAATAGTTGGCGCGGTTAAGGCTAAGAAGGTCGAATACTGTTTGCATCCCACTTGTACATTAGTTATCTAACCTTAGTGAAGACAGTGAGTACGTATTTGACTTTGGGTGATCGGATGCAACCGGCACAGTTTTCTTTCCTTACTCTGTTTGCAGACACGGGAAACAGAGCGTTGACCCTGAGTGGCATACATATCTTTAATCGGTCTTCATAATATTCACCAGGTCGCTTAGACAGTGGTGATATAGCCACTTTGTGATTGTGACGTACTGGAGTCATAATAGTCGTCTTTGGTCTGTTCCGTCTGACTCTTAATGATATTCATCTATAAACTGTGCAGTATGCTCGAGGATTTTCCGTTAAGAGCCATATACCGTGACATTATGCTTTCTGTTTTCATCCACTAATATCGTGTTAGAAAAACCTTGGGTCAATTTCCACCAAAATGGCACCCGTAGACCTGTCGAACATCCCAGCCGTCAATGAAAAGAGCTTCGGCAATGAAGACGGCAGACAGAAACAATCCAAGCTCCGAGTCTTTGAGTACAGTGATGAGCAGCATGCTGAAGACTTAGATGGTTTGAAGATTGGCGAGCACTGGTACAAATACCGTTTGCTGGAAGGTCGAGTTATGCCCCCGTATGTCACACCAAACCGATACTCGCTTTCTCGACGGATCGACACCAAGCCCTCAGATATCTGCTTCGTCTCCTTCCCCAAGTCTGGCTCAACGTGGCTCTCCTATATTCTGGTCCTCATGACCGAAAATCAGGGCACCACTCTACGCGACTCGCTCCACTGGGTCGAAAGCAGCTGGACATATCCCCGAAGCGAAGAAGATCTTCGAGGAGCGAGCGACCCCCGCATTTTCAAGTCCCATGCCCTACAATATGGCGCTGGGTGGGGACCCAGCAAGAACCCTTGTCGATATATTTATATCGCGCGAAATCCCAAGGATGTAATCACTTCATACTTCCACTTTGAGAAAGAAAAAAGCTGGTCGGGATATTATGGGGGTGATTGGAACCACTGGTTCGAGCAGTTTGTTAAGGGACGGGTCCAACGAGGGGATTGGTTCGATCATGTGTTAAGCTGGTGGGAGCACCGTGACAGCGACAATATTCTCTTCCTGAAATATGAGGACTTGAAGAAGGACACGGCCTCAATTCTGAACCTTATTGCTGAATTTTTGGATATCAACTTAAACCCGACCAAAACGAATGAAATTCTGGAGAAGGTCCAGTTCCAGGCCATGAAATCGGATGATGTATTGGGAGATGTTAAAGAGTTTGACAAGTTTTTTCGGAAGGGTAAGGTTGGGTCATGGAGAGAGCAGCTCACAGTTTCTCAGAATGAGTTCTTCGACAATCTCTGCCAAGAGAGGCTTGGTAGCACTGGGTTGTCGTTTGATGAACTGTGATGGGCACCTTCGCATTTGTGCCGTGGTCGGAGTTGGTGCACGTTGGCACAGTATCTTGGCTATAGTGCTGATCTCTCATGCAGCCTGAAAATTGACTTTATAATACACATCTTCTCCTGGCTTTAATGCACAGAGGGCTGCATCTGGGAATTCAAGAATGTAACGGAGTCTTTATTCACGGGGTAGCCACCTTTTTTATGACTGTGGCCCTGGATGGCTTCAAGCTCTGCCGGAAATCTGATTATATTGCCCATTTCACTATATTGCAAAGCAGCACGCAGCGAGCCAGAAGCAGCAAATATCATATTAGGACGCCGCTGCTAGATGACAGCGTCACTCCTAAGTAACCGAAATCGGCAAGATTGGTAATGTCTTGAGCTCACGGACGCAGATCTGCCGGGACCCTGCGTGGGTGACATTTTAGAGAAACCACAACACTAAACTGGTTAAACCTCACATCAACAGAGGAAGGAATTCGATCTAGCAAAAGCAGAAGTCGAGCAATAGATGAAATTCAGGGAGGGGGGGAAGGAAAAGAAAAGAAATGAAAAGAAATGAAAAGAAATGAAAAGAAATGAAAAGAAATGAAAAGAAATGAAAAGAAATGAAAAGAAATGAAAAGAAATGAAAAAGAGAAAAACCAATTGACAGCGAGGTGCTACCAATTAGAGGACATGGTCTGGCTCAAAGACGCGCACAAACTGTGGGGTATTTTGGCTCTATGGATACCTGGTGGAGAGATCTGAAACGGCATAATTGTTCTTAAGAATGGGCTGATTGTAGGATAGAAAACATTAAAACTGAGTGTATATACACTAGCAGGACATACCACATCTTCCTGGTTTCTGCAAGGATTTTTCTTCTATTACCGCTCGACGATGATGAGAAATGGTATGCACTGCAACATCAGTTCGCGCCGGCCAAGCCTGTCTCCTTCGAAGCTCTGAGAAAAGAACAATATGGCATGAATGATTCCCTGGTGTTGATACGTAAGTTAGAATCTGCCAAGAGGTCCAAGACGTGGGGTTCATCCGATTAAAACAGCTAGCATATGCTGACTTCACACACCCTTGAACGAAATGCAGACCTTCCATCAGCACAATTGAACTGCATGTGATTCTCATTAATAAAGTCCTATAGCCGCAAATGGCAGTACTGTATTTATTTCCATGAGAGTCAATAGTGCTAATAGACTTACACGCGACAAATGCTACAAAGAGCCAATTGATCCAATAAGCTTTGTAGAAAACTGGGCTCATTATTATTGTGTTACTGGGTTCAGACTGTAGTGCTTTAACAACTGTACTGTTAGTATACTCCATATGTTACTCGGAAAATGAAACCCTGGCTGCCTATTCAAATAAGCGCTAAGTGCCCTCGGCTGTTCGAAAGATCAAACCAACAGATTTACTCTAGGGGAAAGCAGTGATTGGCAGACATTGGTAAGTTGTTCTGAGACAATAAGACAGGCTGTGGGGCCTTTCGATGCTACCTCAGGGACAATTTTGGAGCGATCTACCTGAACTTCAGTGTTCGACAAGCTAGGCTTCCTTTCTTATGTTGTGAATGAAGCAGACTATAAATACCCCTAGTCTGTCTTCTAACAACACTTTCTTCACAGTTAAACACAACATTTCTTCAACTATCCTGTTATTTCTTTACCAGTTGCTGTTGCTTCACTCTTCTCACATTTGATCATCATCAACATGCGCCTTCCTTCTATTCTATCTATGCTTCTCCCCCTCGCCGCCACTGTGTCTGCACGGGTTACTATTGGCGAGGGTTGCAGTGGAAGTGGATATGACTGTACTGTAGACTCTAATGCAGTTGCAGTTTGCAATGGCAGTCAGTGGGTACTAGCCGCTCAGTGTGGAAAGGCATGCTGTGTGTGGCCTGGTACTCCCGCACCTTATTGCTCTTGTTAAGAGAAAGTTCAGGTAGGCGTCTCCGGTTGAGAGACCAAGCATACTGCCCTTGCAAAAAGTATTTACAAAACTTTTATAGTCGATCTGGGCTTACGATCTAAATTGGCTGGTTTTGGTTTGTGTCCTGGAACGGCTAGTGCATTCAATCTTCAAACTATATGAAGAAGACATGGCATATGAAAGCAACACTTGGATGGAAAGGAAAACAACTTGTGCTTATACGGGCTATGTATCTAAGGAGTTACTACAAGCATTGTCTTTAGCTGATGATGTCACCCGTGCACTATATGCAGAAATGATCTGACAAGAATATGTCACTTTGAGCAAGTTCATGCAGCAAGTAGCATCCTTTTAGCACATAATCAGCAAATACGCAAGTAGTTAGTTCCAGCCTGAGGTTAATAAATATCAAACATTTACGACGGCCTAGTAGTTCATATGTTAATAAACAGGGACATGTTGCCGGATTGGCTAAGAACAGGCAGTCGGTCTATGGCGATACAATAAAACTTACACTTTGACTACAGTAAACATCTGTCTCCGCGCGTTAAGTTGCCCCTGCCAAGGACGAACCATTTCAGACAGCCTTCCAGTCAACTGGGTGGTTCCCCAACAGAGATCTCGTCATGCCAGCTTTTGACCAGGTCCATGTCAATCCAGAACCCAAAGCTAGGGAGCCTTTATAATTCAGCTTCCATAAAGGAGAAGTGGTACACGGACAATTCTATTAGATCAGAAAATGAGAAATATAGGCGCTGTAGAAGGCTTGGCCCAAGCGAACACGTCTTCGATCACTTTCAGCAGCAGGAAGATCCAGTGCAGTACGTCACACACCGTTCGGCTATAGCCAGAAGTTAATACTAAGTCTGCAGCTGTCCCCATGCAGAGCAATTCTAGTGCAATATATATGGATGGTGCCGTCCATTATCCTCTGAGAAAATACTGTACCTGGTTAATGTGAATTATGGAGCTGTCTAGTAATTTGCTAGACATTGCTTGGACTAGACTCAAGGATATACAAGTACACATCATGATTAACTTTATTTATTATTAAGAGTCATAAGAGAGAGTAAAATACAACCTCATCCACAGGAGTCTCCACTAGCTGAAGTCCATTATAGAGCCAGGGAAGAATACGAAATAGACTCACCCTCATCCTGCATTCTGTGGATTATAGCTAATTGAGTAGTTATAATTCAAGGGTAATATCTATAGATTATAGTGGCGCTTTTTTTAGATTATAGCACCCAAGAACCTTTTTTGCAATACCTGTACTAACAGGGCCATTTCGTCTCTACTCCAACGACTGGGTCTCCGTATAGCTCTCCTTGGGTATTGAATAGTGGGTAATCAGGATGAAATGTTAAAGTGCGGAAGGAATGTCTCAGAATTAATTAGTGATAATCTCTGCATGATTAATAAAAGCCCAACAATTTATCTTTCATACTCTGCTCCTGATTAATGTGGTAGTATTCGAAATAGGCCGCTCTTGCTGCGTTCGACCGTGGATGATGTCAATGCAATGTGCTTGCTCAATCAAGCCCCTTTGGAATAATGAGGCACTGACTGAAGTTGAACTTCTATCTTCGATCATTTTCGGCAGCAGGAACCGAAGCACATATCAGCCGCTGCATCCGCATTAACAAAACTGGTCTCGTCCCTCGAATGGAGAACGTACCGTTGAAACTCTGCGCTGCCGTCCGCGGAGGACGTTCTCTATACGGTCTCCTACACGAATCAGCTTCCTTCCATGGTGCTAGTCAGTGATAGACTTACTGTGCTACCAGCGTAATCTCGGAGCTGGAATCATCCACACGGAGCGACGTTGGTGTTTCGTGTATATCTTCCTTTTTGCGTCTTAGGAAGAGCAGAATCGAGTGAGCTTTGGAGACTTGGGACATGCTTCCATAGGTACTTTAAATAATTTACTGGGATATACGGTAGATGTTAGCTCAAGACGGTGATGGGCTTGACATATTTATATAGATCGTGCTCAATAACGAGGCTGCCGTAGTCCAGGAACAACGTCATAACTATAACTAGGTTTAAATAATTCTATCGGCATCCGTTATAACCCCTTCCTGCTGATCAACCCAATTATATTACACATGGACTAATGGTCCGCATGCTGCGTTCGAGGACTTCGGCGAATTTACACTAGATGCCGACGGCCGACGGCCGATGCATATCCCGATTAGGGCAGGAATTGGCCGAGACAATTTCCACTCAAGCCAGCGAACCAAAGAATAAGCGAATTACATGGCTAAATTTAAGATGTAAAAAAAGGATATCATTTACTATCATCCTCAGTAATCACATGCTGCACATGCTGCGGGAGCACAAACGTCTGCGCCAGACCCGCCCAATGCATCGCGTCCAACCTCGTTAACCCCAGCTTCATCATCGGGAAGCTCTGGCTCTGACACCTCAGCACGCGCAGCCACGAGTCGACTAGGTGTTTGCCCTTGACTGCACGGTCGGCGTTGGGCGCTTGCACCAGCAGCAGCATGGTGAAGTTGGAGACTGTCGCGAAGCCGATGCGGGACCCTAACATGTTGATTAGTAGACGTGAATATAGGTAAAGGTGGTGGAAGGAGACCTACACGAGTACCAGAAACCTGTGAAGTCACTCGCTGTCAGTCGTCTCGTGAAGCTGATTACGATGGAGGCGCATCGTTCCGCCGCATTGAGTGTTGCTTCTCCTGTGCCGTGGTCGTCTGACAACTCCACGGCCGGGAAGGACTCGATTTCTGGGAGGTCGGCAAAGTCGAGAATAGAGTCGTCTTCTGCTACTAGGGCAGAGTCGGCAGAGGCTGTCGGCAACTCGTCCAAGTCGAAGATGAGCGGCGGACTGGAGGAGCGGGCCATGGGCCGTAGCATGGCGCGGTAGATGAAAATGACGAGGATGAGGTAGGCGAAGTGGATGGAGGTCGGGTACGGGGCTAGTCCACTTACTGATTTGCTCCAGTTGGGAAGTCGGAAGCTCTCCGGCAGGGACGAGTACCAGCCGTTAAGCTTCTCGAGCAATGGGCGGCCGGTGTCGTGCGATGCGTTGAATTTCTCGGATAGGAACTGCGAGGCGCGCAGTGTGCTACATCGCCCCATGTCAGTCATGCGACAAAGCAGCAGGGCCAGAGGCACACGGGAACACAAGCCCACAAGGCCGGGGATACAAGGATGCAGATCTGCAGGAAGAACTTACTAGAACGATACGTAGATGTCCTCGGCGATCCTGGACAAATCTACCAAATACCGGAACGGTACTTCCATCTCTGGCGAATTCGACTGGTGGATAGCCGGCGAGGACGAGGAGGCCCCGCGTGATTGGAATGTGAAATCCGCCGAATCGAGCTCACTCACGTCCCACTCTTCATGGTGGATGTACGCCGGTCGACCCAGCAGCAAAGACCTCCACTTATCTTCGGCATAAACGGCCCACCAGAGCCGCCGGCGCAGACGCTTTTCCCACGCGGGAATTCCCCACATCCGACATTCGATGTGCAGACCCAGCGAAGAGGCCAGGCCCACGATGGTGCCGACGAAGGACCAGACGAATGGCGAATCGGCCACGCTGCTGCGTCTCTCGTCAGCGGGCTTGTGCACGTACAGTAGAGCGGCCTGCAGGACGGCTAGGTGCGGGGTGTGGATCTCTTCGGCCAGGAGCTCGTAGACCATGCGCCAAAGGCGGTCGACAGGCGGTGCGTTGTAGGTGTTGAGTACGCAGAGGTAGTCATCGTGAGCGGCGAAAGGGAGGGCCGAGGCGTAGATCGCCGCCAGCAGATGCACGGGGGTGCGATCCAGGGCCCATGGTTCCGGGATTTGGCACGAGGGGGTCAATCCCAGCTGCGAGCGTGAGATGACGGGCCACGCAGGAAAGATATACTTGACGAACCTAGGAAGTCAGCATGCTTCTACTCCAGAACGCAAAATACAGAACAACATACAGCGAGACTAATTTTCGACCGTAGTCATGCGGCACCAAGCGATTGAGTTCGTCACGCGAGGCAGCACTGCCATCCATTTTGGTCTCCTGCTTGGCCGACGTCGCCAGATCATCCGCCGAGATCATAAAATGCACAGGAATCCTTTCGGCCGTAGGAACCCCACCTGCATTGCGAAAATGGACCTTGTAGAAGCACTTGACGCCTGAATCATCAAAAGAACAATGCCGGAGCAGCCACGGATCGGACTCTGCAGAGGCGCCGAACAGTTGGGCGGAAAATCCCTCGAGCTGATCGAGGCTCTGCACGAATTGCGTAGCCGACCGACCTACAGTAACCGGGTGGCTGGAGACTACCGGCGACAGTCCATCTGGAGGAGCCTGTACGTCGAACGACTGTTGCGGCTGGACTACGACATTGCTCACAGAGGCGGCACGAGAGGGAGCAGCCGGTAAGGGTCCATCCCAGGAAGAGAACAGCGAGGCATCCGCACCTGCAGGCACTGTAATGTTTGATGTGCGGTCGCTTTGGGAATTGGCCTGCGATACTTGCCTGATGCGCTTTGGAGGCGGATTGTCAAAGGTGCATTGAAGATCGGCCGAGCGGCATCGCAAACACGGAATACCTCCCTCGGTCTGGCAGCCCAGTTTTCTCTCGCGGCATTGATCACAGGGTCGTTGCCGTTTCGAACGATACCGTCTGGCAGACATTTTTGCCTCCTGTGCATTCGTTGTCTTTCTCATGAGGAAAAGCTGCTGACAAGAGGGGACAATGAATGACGTTCATGGGGTATGGATGCCTCAGGCATGAGATTTCAGCCGTCGGCGAACCGGCGAAGCTCAGCCAGTCAGGCAGCGTCATATCATCCACCGCGTTGGCCGACGACAGAAAAATTGAAATCTTGACAAACGATACTATTTTTGCTTGATGAAATCCATTAGTGGTCTTGAAATCGGGCAATGGCTATGAAAGCTAGAGGTTTACTAGATTCGCAAACTATAAAGCCATCATGTATGTCCCTTTGGCTGTTTTCTATACCTGGCAAGACAAACCAGCCGATAGCCACACGAATAAATGCGGAAGTTCGACCTCGAAAATAATAGCGCTAATGATGATAAATTCCCCGAAGGCGGCCTGTCCGCCTCTCTTGTCGTCCTGGGCAGTTTCAGCGCCATCATGGGCGGCCTAGGGCTCATGAACAGCATCGGCATCTACCAAGCCTGGATCGCTTCTCACCAGCTGCACTCCCTATCAGCCGGGCGGATCGGCTGGATCTTCGGGGTCTACAACTTCCTCGTCTTCTTTGGCGGGATCCAGATTGGTCCCGTCTTTGACGCACGCGGTCCCAGACTCCTCATGCTGCTCGGCTCTGCGCTGCTGGTAGCCATGTTCGTCCTCCTCGGCTTCTGCCGCGAATACTGGCATTTCTTCCTAGTACTAGGCGTGCTAGGCGGCTTGGGGACGTCGTTCATTTTCATAGTCCCCGTCGCGAGCATCGGCCATTTCTTCGCTACGCGGCGCGGCACCGCAACTGGMCTCGCCATGTCCGGGGGCAGCCTCGGAGGCGTCATGTTCCCCCTGGTGCTCGACCATCTCTCGCCGCGGGTGGGATTCGCCTGGGCTACGCGGATCGTCGGCCTGATCACTCTCTGTCTTCTCGTTCCCGGTTGTATCCTGATCAGAGCTCGTCTGCCCCGCAAGGCGCCCGGCGGTGGCAGGAAACAGCTTCTGCCGGACTTGGCCATCCTGTGGTCCCTGCCACTGGCATTGACGACGCTTGGCGTGTTCTTCATCGAGTGGGGGTTCTTCATTCCGCTGGAGTACATTGCTTCGTATGCACTGGCTTCTGGGCTCCCGCCGCGCCTTGCCTCGCTCATGGTGGTCTTTCTCAACGCGGGCTCGTTCCCCGGCCGCTGGTTGCCGGGGATTTTAGCGGATCGGGTCGGACGGTTTAACACGCTGATCCTGACGAACGTGTTGTGTTTGGTGTCTGTGCTGGCCATCTGGTTACCCGCAAAGGGGAATGTCGTCGCGATCGTGGTCTTTGCCGTGGTGTTTGGATTTGGCAGCGGGAGTAACATCAGTCTTGTGCCCGTGTGTGTGGGCGAATTGTGTCCGACGGAGCAGTATGGGCGGTACTACACGACGGTTTACACGATTGTGAGTCTGGGAGCGCTGACGGGGGTCCCTATTGCCGGGGAGATTCTGCACAGGTGCCAAGGGGAGTACTGGGGGTTGATTGTGTTCTCGGGATGTGCGTATGCAGCGGGATTGGGGTGTTTTATTGTGGTGCACTGGATGCCAAGACGTTGATTTGAGACTACAAATGGGGATAAAATAGAATATTATGGATATAAAAGTATATGCAAGAAAATTTAGACGATCATATCATCATGCCAGTTTGGCGTCGCGAGAGTGATGTCTATCCCATCAGCAACTTTATACATATACAGATCACTCTGCCAGAGAGAAAAATGAAAGAAAGGGAAACAGAGGGGGCAAAATTAGGCTTACGCAAAGTCCTCATCAAACTTCTCCTCAGTCTCCTTCTGACAATCGAACCCGAAAATCTCCCGCTGCACATCCGCATCCGCCCAATTTCCCATTAGGACTTATATTTCGGTTCTACTCTAAGGCTTGCTAAATGAGGGGTCCTGCTGCGGCTTGATTGACAAACTGCAGCTAAGGGGAGTTTCCCGGCAGGTTCCCAAGGAGGTTGAGCCTACACCTTACGCCGTGATCAACTGCAGATGGCAACTACGAAGAACGCCTCTGAAATGATCGCTGAGATGTTATAAGCGCAAACCCGTATTTTTGGTCCTTATATAACATAAATCCCGACATTGTAACAGCAGCCCTCCTGAAAAGAAACACGTAATAGGAGAGGCCAAAGTCACTGTGCCGCAAACGCAGCCGCATAGACATTCATGTCCTTCACAAACCCGCCTAACCTTCTCGGCCTCCAGCCAAGAAGCTGCTCAGCCCGCGCAGAAGAGCCCCGGAACGTCGTACTCATAGCTTTAGCGAACTTGTCCCCGCCAGCACCCTTCAGCGTCACCGTCCCTTTGAAACCCCAACATATAGCCATGGATTCGAAGATCTCGCGCATGCTCTCCTGGCTTGTAACCAGGTCAAAAACAGGGTATACACCCGTTCCGGAGACACAAGGGAGCTTCGCAATAGCACACTGAAAGCCTCTCGCCACGTCGTCGACATGTACCAGACCCGGTCTTGCATCCGCGTCCAAAGGGATCTCAATCGGCGTCTTCTCTCCACCCCTCGCTGCGTTGAGAAGGGGCGTCACGAAAGACGACCAGATCGTTAGTTCCCTGCCGTAAATCAAGGCGGGCCGGAGAATCATCACGTCCAGCACTTCGGTCGCGTTTAGTATCTGCTTTTCGAGATCAAGTCGCCAGGCAACTAGCTCCGGGGCAGGGGAGGGTGCCAGATCTACGACGGAGAGGTCGTTAACGGCTCTGGAAGATGAGCCGTGCACCCAGGTCCCGGAGCAGTAGATGAAGCCAAGCTTTGGTCCTTTCACGCCGTGACGCCCGTATTCCTTCTGCCGTTCCTGACCGATGAGCATCACATTGCGGAGGAAACTGTAAGAATCCTGGTTTGCGCCTGAGACGTCGACTACGATGTCAATGTTCTCGGAGCGGATAACGGAGAGATACGGCTCTGGATCTTCGACCGGGTTGCTGCAGAGAACCGGTATTATCTCCTGTCCGGCGAGCTGGACTGCTTTCTCGCGTGAACGCGCCACGCCGTAGACTGTGTGTTGGCCAGACTGGACGAGCCTGTTGGCTACGTGCTTGCCTAGATATCCGGTTGCTCCTAGGATGAGGACTTTCGACATGTTGGAATTGGAGAAGAAATGGAATGAAAAGGATTTATGCTGATTGATTGACCTGCCCTATACAGAACACAGAGAGATGGATAGTATGTGATTTTGTCGAAGCTAGGATTTATATAATGCTTATATTCGGACTTAGTAAGACTAAAAACCGTGAAGGTTTATGCTCCCGGCTTTATCCTCCTCCGCGGTTTTAAATCCGGCTGCAGGTAAGCACCTGACATCAGGCCTGGTCAATAGCTCTCAAGTTCCGCTGGATCTAAACCATAGTCCATAATGATGGTTTGAACCTAGCTTTGGACATCTCTCTCTTGTCGTAGTGAGTGTCAGTCCGAAGACACTACTGTACCTAGTAGTTACTCACTCCCGGTCCCTACCGGACCCGCCCGAGAACTACGGATAGAAAGCATGGAAGATGGAGAGCCCAGTTTATTCCACAATAGTGTTGGACCAGAATACATAATCCCTGTATTCAGAACTTCAGGGACTAACGAGCACCTGCCGCTAGGGTCCTACATTTATCATGAAGGCCCTATTAGCGTCTCGCCCGGACTAACGTGCCTTGTCGTCGAACCACCGCAACGAAGAGGTTAATGCGGATATACCTCACTAAGCCCTGCTGAGCCTGAAGTGATGCCCAGGTAGGGCATAAGAGGAGCTGCTCGATCGCATTTGAGTTTACGATTTCGGATTTCGGATCTACTTATATACCATCCTCTCCAAGGTTACTGTATGTTTTTAATGCTTTATTCTGCTTTTCTATATGCGGTTGTCATTGTTCATCCTATTCACTTAAAATGTATCTGCCTGGGACAGAGCCTTGTCTGTGTAGCGTCCGTGGAGACAGAAAAAGAGTCCATCCGCAGTGACGATCTTAGTGAAACTTGGGAATGATAACATAATGAATGGTAGAGTTACATGCAAACAAATCAGTTCGAATATGTAGTCCTGAAGGGCTACTATAACTGTGTTGATTGGTTCATCGCATTACCGGCTGGTATATGTACATAGGCCTTGCCATCCATCAATAGGGTATATCTCTTCATTAAAGTGACACATAAAATGGAAGGAAAGAAAATAGAAGGTAACAAGAAGGTAAAAAGGAGGGTAAAAAAGAGGGTTAAGAAGTCAAAAAGTAAAGAAGAAAATCAGACATTCATCCCATGCATCGTTTTGCCCGAGTCTATCGACACCGTCCGGGTCTTGACGAACTTGGGCCACGTATTGGTGAGAACGAGGTACTTGATGCTCTCCTGCGCATCGTCAAAGACATTCGGCCCGAACGACTCGGGAACATCACCCCAGTATTGCACGCGATCATGAATGGCGCTCACGGAGCTCTGCAGCTCCTTTTGCGAGTTATTCGAATAGGTCGGCGACGCGGGTGGCTTGAAGGTATCAAAAGGAGTGGCGGGATCGACCTCGCGCTCGTCACCGTACAGGATTCGAGCGGGCTGCTCAAAAACGTCTTGAAGCTTTCGGAGATCCTGAGACGAGATGTTGATGGGAAACTCGGCGTGCGTGACGCTGATGAACTCGGCGTAGATGCGCAACGCGCGGTTGAATCGCTCGCGGATCAAGTCCTCAGTGTTGCTGTCCCGAGGGGCGGTGTTATCCCGGATGGCCTTGGGGAAGGAGTCTTTCCATTCGGCGACACTGGTCAAAAAAGCAATATTCTCGCCGGAAAAGTCGCTGAGGGCGGAGAATCGCTGGAGAGGTGCTGGGTCTCGCTCGAGGGCATACTCGAGAGCGCCCATGGTCAGGATACTGTCACGAGAGTGGTTGGTCTGGACGGAGCCGTTGGTGGACTTGCCGCCGGTCATGATGGATTCGACCAGAGTGGCCGTCTCGGCAAGGGATTTGCTGGCCGAGCTGTTTTTCTTGTTCTTTTCCTCCCACTGCGCGATGGCGTCGAGGGTCTCCTTGCGGAGCGCCTGGTGGCGCATTACCTCCCAGCAGGGAAGGAAGACGGTGAAGATCTCCATGACCAGGATCGAAAGACATACCCTACAGTCCATTAGAAAATATAGGGGAGAGGAAGATCGAGTCGCTCAAGCACTTACCACTGTGGAGGCAGCCAGACTTGGTTCACTTTGTCAAACGCAGGGACGTAGAGGGAAATAAGCCACAGGGGGGCGCCGGGGAGACTGAACGCGACGTGAATTAGACGGAGAATACATCGTTTTGGTGGCGTACTCACTTGGCTATAGCACAGCCGATGGTCTGAACTCGCCAGCCATGGGTATCGCGGATATTGCGAGACTTCCAGAGAACAATAGGAGCAAAGATCCAGGCCCAAAACAGTTGCCAAAAGATACTCGGCCACCTGGATGCTGTTAGCTCCTCCGCTCACATCAGACGATTCTAGTGCTTCGTACCACTCCCAGCCCCGACCCATCGCCGATAACTGGGCCATTTTGGGACCGGTAACCTCTGTGCCTGGAATTCCCCAAGTGGGATGCCACTTGCGCGAAATCAACCACATGATGATAGTGAGCAGGATCTGGGCAATCATCCCCATTCCAACGAGAACAAGGATCCTGGTATTGTAATCGAGACGCTTGAAGCGGCCGATCAGGCCGCTCTTCTTTTGGTTCGGACCGAAATCGATGAGTCGACGATCGTTGTAGACATATTTCTCCTGGAGCTTTGCGACGTAAAGGAAACGACTGTTGGACGCGTGAAAGAGAGCGATTCCGCATGGTAGAAAAGTGCCCATGATCCAGAACTGAGCATCTCCCGGCATGATGGGGCCGATCATGGTGCCGAACTGGACAGGGGCGTAATACAAATGAAGGAGAACGATAGCAGAGAGCGACAGGCCGAGGCCTCGGATGCGCAGAATAGGAGTGTCCCGACGAGCGATGAGATAGGCAATGCCACTGGCGACGAGGACTGTCCAGACGCCTGCCCAGGTGGCCCACCAGATGCTTACCGGACTGTATACAGGCTCCGGCTTCGAGTCGGGCGTGACTCCTAGTTCCGACCCCATATTGACCGGTTTGATTGAAACAAAGGATTAAGGAAAATGAGCGAGTGACTGAGTGAGCGACATGGTGGAAAGAAAGGAGAAAGAAGAGCTGGGACGGCTGTTAATATTAGTCTGAACAACCGGTAGCGGGCCCATGCAGGCTCATGAAACCCATTGTTAAACAAACTTTGCCGGTTTACCTGGTACTAATACAAAGCTGGATCGATCGGCGTTGACGAGGGCATATATCGGGGGGGAGATGGCGAAATATCAAGATTAGATACTGAACATACGACTCCAGTGCCACAGCGTAGCAACGAGGCTGCGAAAGGCGGCCACGTTCTTGGCCTCATGGCCGGGTGTGCCTGAATATCGATCTATTGCCTTGGTGGGAGTCGCCCAGGACGATCAGCGAACTACTTCGTGCCATTGGTTCTGCAGCGTTGGATCGTGGGGGGGTCGAGATGTGCTAGTTCATGCGTCGCCCCACTAATCACGGACTAGTCTCATTGTTATTTGGAATTCTGATCGTTCGTTTCTGCCCACGGTCCAGTTTCACAATCTATGCTCCACTTTTATCTACCTACTTCCTACGGCGTACTCCGTAGACATGAGAGACTCGCGGGAAAACCGGGAAGCATCCTTGGTAGCGTTGAAGCTAGTAGAGAGCTAGATGTAGATAGGAAGCTCTCGCGGGGCCCACTTATCCTGCAGATCTTGGAGACTTGGAGAGACCGAGAAGTGAGAAAGCTTTGCTTTGATGCATTCCTGCCCATGATTTCCCTTCCATTTGGCCAGCATTCCCCTGATCTTCAAGGAAGATTGCCTGATGCATTGGAGATTGCCTGCAAGATCGTATGTTCAAACCCCGACGAGAAGCGCTCATTTGATATCCAACAGGTGGATCGTATGCTTGTCGCCGCTTGGATGCAGCTCGCCTTCTCATGCAGGTCATATGGACAAGGATGATGTTATCGCGCGATATCTGCCCCAACTGTACCTATTATCGTCTCTGCGGCCTGCCACCCTAGTCCTGATTGTCACTTCTCTGATCCAACTTTTCAGATTCTTGGCCACGAATTCTATGAATCCTTTGAAGGATTGCTTTGAATGCATCTCTGACAGGCCGCATATTGACTCCAGTGCCACTGTGCGTATAACATGTTGCTCTATTTGTCTATCCACCAGATACTGATCAGTGGACTAACAGACTTCCCAAGAACCGGCGCGAAGACGTTGGCGCCCACAGACCGCAGGATGGCAGTGCCCATGCCGTTTTCCCGCTTTGGACACGAAAGGAAAAACTCGGGTTGATCACTATATTCAAGGGTCTAGAGTGGACATTATTCGTTGAGGACCATATCCCATTAGGTGCGCCGGTATATTTCAGGAACACCCAAATCTGAAGGTGGTTAATATGGCAGCACCAAGATGAGCAGAGCTGATCTAGTGGTGTTCTTAAGCATTGTGAATTATTTTTGTCTGTGCCACCTTCTAGTCTTGAATGATACCTAGTTTTATGCCTGTAACAGCCCGTCTCTGCAAGGTCCCTCGTGATGGCGAACTGAGCCCCTGCAGGAGTGTAACTCCGAGCCTGTTATTGAACTACTGTAACTGTCTTATCTGACCACTATAGTCACACTGACTACCTAGACTTCCATTACTATCCTCTTGCGGTTGTTAAATGTTGTTATCATAGTATTCCTAAATCTAAAGTCGCTAGAGGTCAGCGTTTGTGGCTAAGTACCTTACTTGGTTGGGCACCCGGCCTATCCACCATGTATAGAAAAAATAAAGCTTTATAGGAGATACATGGTAATTACTATTCCTCCGATTTAGATGTAAACATTTGATATGTATGAAGTTGAATGAGTGGTAGTTGTTAATCATTTTTCCCTATAGTCACGAATATATTTTATCACACTTAACGCTGACATATTTAACGCAGCCTGAATACTCACAACCACAAGACGGTCGGATTGATTATTGTAATTTAAATCAGTATGATATTGACCACCCGCTGAGATCAAAAGTTCTAGGAATATGTCTTAAGTAGCGTTCAAATCGTCCTGACACCCCACAGTACGACTCAACGATTCAGCCGGTTTTGAAGATGCAAGTCATCGACCCGCTGAGTCTCCTACTCCACTGCATTAGAGCATTAGCGTCAATCTCACTCCATCTGGCCGTTTTTGAGCGGTGTGGGTGAAGCGGTTATGCATCATGGATGGCTTGCATCTCGTAGTGTCGTTTTGATTGGAGAATTCCCTCCCATCCCGGCTGCGACCACATCACCAGCCATTAATTGAAGGCAAAGCTCAAGACGTAGATATCCAGAAGACTAACTCCTTATGATGGCCCCCTCAGCAACGATGGCCCCGGTGGACGCTGATTTAGGATGGAACGAGAGAGATGGACTGCGAATTGCCGTCCTCGGTTGGGCGGGACATCCTTTGCATTCGGCAAATAGCGGAAATCGAGATTGTCTCACTCTGCGAGCCAGGAGAACTCAGCAGAGCGTTGCTCAGCGGGATCTTTGGCGTGTCTTGTATGCCGAATGCTTTTTTGGGAGCGTGCTGAAACTGCCACCTCTGCCTGGGCGCATTCCATTCCCTTTTTGGGCTTGTGGATCATGTCCACCCCTCAAGGGTCGTCGCGGCAGGTGGTGATTTTGTACTAGTGAGCAGGTCATGTCGCGGAATATGACTATAGGGCCGGTTGATGAGATTTGTGAACTTCTTGCTGTTTTTGTGAGCAGTCCGCAGAGAATGCTGGACTCTCTCCGTGGGTAACATGTTATATGTGGCCGTTGGTCTTGGGCTACGTCTAGCTTATTTTTAAATAAGAAACTTGCACTACTAGATATAGACAGATTAATACAAGAGCCTTACTATGATTGATATACACCTAGCAAACTTTCACTACATGTATGCTGCGAGGATATTAGACTTCAAAAATTCTTACGTGAATGGATGGAGCAAAACAGTAGTAATAGTCTCTGTAATATGTATCTATTAGTTCTCTACATGCCAGTAGCACTTAAAATGGTGCCGGCTATTGATAAGCCACACCAGAAAGAACTACCGTCATCTGCTCATATATGGAAAAGACAATGCCGCCACTGAGCAATAGCCTTCCCAGCCGCATTGTACTGCCCTTCCAGAACCCCCGGACTCCATGCTCGTAGTACACGCTCTGAACTGCTTCGACGAGGCCTGCGCCCTGGACGCCCTGCGCGCGGGTCTTGACCGTGTCAAAAGGCTGCGTGGCGTAGACTGTGACGACCCCGGCAACGGCACCCATTGCAAAGGTCGTGAAGACACCCTGGGCCAATCCCTGTGCCTTGGCCACCTCCTTGAGGATATTGTAAGTCCCCATCCGCACTGCAGAGGTGGCTGATTGTTTGAGTGTCGTGGGGATCAGACCGCGGTATAGTTCCGTGAATCCATGGGCTCGAACGAGCACCTGCACCGCGTGCATGCTGGACCGGAATTGTTTCGTGTGCTTTGCATCGTCGACTCTTGCACCTGGATCAGCAAGGTTCCTCAGGTCTGTTAGGGCGAGGGGTTAAGAATGGCTACGCACAATGCGGTTTTGATTCTCTCCGTCGGAGTGACTGCAATTACACTCTCTGTTGCGCCTGCGACGACACCGGCGAGGATGCCCCGTGCTGGCGAGAGTGACCCCCGCTCATCGGATAACGAACTTTTGATGGTGTCGTAGGAAAGGAATCTAACTGCCGCTTTGGCGGTGGTGCCCTGCAAACCGTTAGAGCTAGTGGCAGTGGCAGATGAACGCTGGAATTGACCATGATGAGCGTGGAGCAACCGGTATACAAAGCACCGATGCCTTCATGTTGAGCAACCTTGAAGATCAGCTGCAGCGGATTCGAAGAAGTGACGGCCGTGCGGCTCTGCAGGAGTTGGACTCGAGTTTTGGCATATTCAAATGGATACTGAATGTGTCAGTCATTATACGCTGGAATCAGGTCACGGTGCTGTAGATAATAACTTACTGTGACTGCCGCCTCTGCGCMCCCGGCCACTCCGCCGGCAATCAAGGAGACCCACTGCGGGGGATGATGCTGAGAAGAATTAGCATTTCTGCCTCCTTAGTAATACTGTAGTCGGATAAACCCACCTTTTGTGGCTGGTCTCGTACGGGCTGAGTCATTGCTTGAGCGATATTGTCCAATCCTGTGGCTGGGTTGCATTCCCTCTTATAACCTTATCTTACAGCGGGCAGTAGTGGCGGCTCAGACGGAAGGAAACTTGCCGCGGAAAACAACAGTCCGTTGATTTTGACCAGATTTCATCCCCTCATCTTCACCCTCCAGAACTCCAGCAAAATTGTAAGCCATGGAAAGAAGTCGTCCGTCCCGTTCCCGAAGAGCAGCCAAGGCCTGCATGTTCTGCCGGCGCAGAAAGGTGACTGAGCTCGCGAATTCCGGCCGGACTGATTGCGACATGCCGCTAACGTCATTCTCCAGCTGCGCTGCGACGAGAAACCGACCTGCTCCAACTGCCAGGGATATGGAAAAGAATGTGTCTACATGACTGGTTCTCCGCGGCCAAGGTACGCATCAGTACACCCGTTCAACATAACAGGAGAAAAATGGAACTAAACCTGCAAGACCGTCCAATGCCCGGATTGCTCGGCTGCTGGCCGAAAATGAGAAGCTTCGAGAACGGCTAGGAGAGAGCGGTGCCGGCCTGGTGCAGGATCCTCCGCGACAGGACGCAGTTCAGCCCAGCGCAGGGGTCCAGGAACAGTCCGACGTCGACAAACGAGGCCATCCCCAGTCGGTGGTCTCGGGCATGTTTGTTTCGGCGAACGGGGATTCCAGCTATCATGGTCTGACCAGTACGTTGTTTGATGATGCCCGGATCAGCCGGCAAAGCCAGATGCAGCTGGCTGATTACTCTGGCCCGGTGGAGCCCATTCGCAAACAACTCATGGGGGAAGCGGCTTATCAGAGTATGTCCTGGCCACACATCAGCCAAGGAGTTAATTACTCATAAGTCATAGGACAACTAGAGGAATTGAACTTTCGACAAGGAAAGCTGGACTTTGATGGCGTCGACCCGGAGCTGGGGATGCATCTGCTGTCCCTACACTGGAATCGGCAGCACCACTCCTTTCTGATTACCTATCGCCCAGCATTCATGCGCGACATGGCCACCAATGGTCCCTACTTTTCCAAATTACTGCTTAACGCCATCTACTTTGGAGCATCAAAGTTCAGCAACCGCCCAGAGGTCCGGAAAGATCCCGACGATGCGCGGACGGCGGGGTGGACGTTTCGGATGAGGGTCAAGGAACTGCTGGGCAGTGCTTTGGATCGGAGTGAGATCACCACGATTCAAGCCCTGCTGGTCATGACGAGCTCTCTTTTTGCATTGGGGGACGAGCGTAGTGCCGCGTGGCTGTATGCCGGGACTGCCTTTCGAATGATCATCGACCTCGGGATGCATGTGGATGCGACGCTGCTTCCCAACATGCGCCGGCTCTCTGGCGAGGATCTCGAGATCCGTCGGCGCGTCTTCTGGGGCGCCTTTGTGGTCGACAAGATTCAGTCCTTGTATCAGGGGCGCCCAGCCAGCCTCCAGCACTTTGACACCAAGGTCCAGCTGTCTTTCCTTGACCATTTCGAGGAGCTCGAGCCCTGGCAGCCGTTTGCATATTCCGATGTGCAGTCGTACCCGGGGTCTCCGGCCTACAGCGTGTCGACATTCACCCAGCTCTGCAAACTGTCGCTGATCCTGAACGAGATTCTCAACAAGGTCTACTCGGAAAGGAGCTCCAACCGCTCGCCCCAGGATCTTATCGCGAATCTCAACGCACTGGACTTGCAACTCAAGAACTGGCATGCCGCCCTCCCAGACCACTTACGATTCGACAACGAGACCACGGGCGCAGTCCCGCCGCCTCATGTCCTCTCGCTGCTGGCACTGTACAACGTCCTGGTCATCCTTCTCCACCGACCTTTTGTCTCCGAAGGGCATCTTCACACCGCAGACGCGTCGGTTGCCTTGAGTTCGTTCACCACCTGTACGGCCGCGGCATCCGGTATTCTGCATTTACTCCAAGCCTATGACCACACCTTTTCTATTCGACGAGCGCCGTATCTGATCTCGTACGCCACGTACGTAGCGGCGACGATCTTTGTGCGAGTGGCCGCGCAACGAGAAGGTGCCAGCCGAGCCCATTCGAGTCTCCGCACCTGTCTGGACATCTTCCAGAAAAACGAAGAGACCAATTGGGCGGTGCGACGAGCTCACAACGTCATCCTGCACCTGATGGAGCGCATGGGCGTTCACTTGGACCCTCACCCCGCCGGGCCCCCCGAGGCTGAGCGAAGCATGGTCGAGCAGACTCAGAACCTGGGAGACCATCCATGCGGCAGACCCCTTGGACGGGAAGGTGCTGGTAGTCGAGAGCCTCCGCCAGATATCGAGGTGTCTGAACTGGACATTGATATGATCATTCAAAGTTTTATTCGCACGCAGCCCAGACCCGCCGAGGAGCAGCCCTTTTATGAACCCGTGGAGCCCCTTTTCGGCTCTGCTGTGGCTCACCCGCCTCACCCGCCTCACCAGGGTGCTTCGACTCTATCTATGCCTTCCACTGCTCCGGATTCAATGTCTTATGTGCCATTCGATGATATGCTGTTTGGGTTTAACGGGTCTCCGCAGGACAATCTGTTTGGCGATTGATTCTTAGATTTCATGATTTTTATCTTAGCTTGAGGAATATATGTAGGATAGTCACAGGTGTTGTAAAGTAGTATTAGTTGTGACGGTTAGCGGGGCGCCAGAAATGGCTCTCATTAAACTGCTGCGCTGCCGTCCGCCACTGCTTGCCCTATTTGGGTATGTTATTGCCCTTCGCAGTATAATGTTTACTTCTTTGGGGATAGTGATGCCTCTTGCCACTTTTGTCCATTTCTCCTGCTGCCTCAACGCATCCACTCCTTCTATATAAGCCTGACATCTCTCCCTTGAACGACCACGCACTTCCTCTTCCCCCTTTTCCCTTACTATATCAGTTGCTGGTGCTTTGGCCTCTTTTCCCTGGATGCCGTGTTATCCGATGATTGCCCTTTTCCTGGTATAGCGTCCAACTCCATTCTTTTCGCCCCTGCGGCTACGGAGTCGCCGACAGGTCATTGGAATGATAGAGACCCGGTACCATTGCTTCATTGAAATTGTGAGTTATCTGTCACTAGCAGGGGTATATGTCAGCTGACCAACAAAGTGCATAAGCCTTCCATGTGACCAGAAGAGCGGGGTTGATAAAAGAAACTTGGTAAAAGTTTCCCATCAGGTCCAACTGTATTGCAGGTCGTCTACCAATCTATCAGGTTGACAAATGAACCAGACTCCCATTCTGTTTTGATTACAATGGCTATCACTCAGGCCCCCTCACGATCACTATTATGGATAGCAGTGATTGTGGCTCTTCTTCTGTCCACAACAACCAGCTTGAGTGTCTGCCAAACATGTAGACCTAAGGAACTACGGAATGGTCCTGGTATTTTCTGGCTATCAAATACATCAGACAAGGCTAAGAGATGACATGCCAGGCGTTGGAATCGATCTCACCATGGCATATGGGTAAGTATATTTCCTTGCATTTGCAGTGCTTCAGGGTGCTAAAATGTTGCCACGGCCAGTACTGCTGCAATCCATTTCAAGAACGGCACCACTCGGGACCTTATTAAAGTCGATGGCACACAGGAGTATCTGTCAGCAATGAGGACGATTGCAGATGATGCACAAAATGTCCGAAACGGCATGAACTCATCAATGTGGGAATCACCCCCTTACTATTGCTGGAGATCTGCTGATAGTAATGTTAAGGAAGAAAATCTGGGTTCCTATTACTACAGAGCGTCGGAGAGTCAATTGGCGGTCGCCTTGGGAATGGTACCGCTTTATTGCAGGCAAACTAGCCCAGCTTATAAACCCACCTTCAGTACCAATCGCGGAGTTACCTGATGACTGGGTCTATACTATAGCTGCAATGCTGTCTACAATAAAGTTGGCTGCCCTGGACACCCTCGTCCCTCCGTTGCAATATAACTATGTGCTTCTGACATGGCCTGACTTTGAGGCTGATACCGGCCATATCTATAAAGGTCGCTTTGAACTTGCATGTCGCCTAGCAGGTCTAGAAGATTTAGGCCGGAGCAACATAGCTTCATACTACGCTTTGAGAAATAGAGGGACTCATGGGTCAGATCATCCTGCCATGCTTGTAATCAGCTATAACGCCGCCAGTCTTGGGATCACCCTCAACACTCTCCTTGATGAAGATGAAGCCTTCCCATGGCCTTTGCGCCTTGTTGAGGATAGCGACCACGCAGCGGAACATGCATTACTCCAAAAAGACCCTGCAAAATACTGGCATGAAGTTCGGGACCTACTGCGAATGGTAATTGGGAATGAGACTGTTGATTACCATCTTCTAGGCTCCCATGCACGTGATCATGGCTTGTTCCAGGCTGTCAAGGATGTCTTGGAGGGTCAACCAGACGCCAATCTATCTATTCTAGACAGGTATGATCCAGCTATTCCCCATGAGAATCAGGATAAGGACGAACCGCTGTTCACTCTAGCAAGGAAAGCAAGCAGGGCTGCTAGACATGGCATGGAGACTGGTTTCCATGTATGCATTGAGCTACCATCTTGTATTGTATCGGATGAGGAGGACGAGCATTCTGAGTTGTAAAGCATCGGGAACGGAATGAGTCATCATGTTGCCAGCACCCGTCCTATTTTACTACTTATGAACTACCGTAACAATGATCCTATGACTTTGTGAATTCATACCGCAAGCATCCAATATCGAACGATCTGTCTCGCCATTATTGCCCTGAAGCATCCTCGATTATCCATGTGAAATTAACTGTGGGAAAGCTAGTGTGTAGCGAGTTCTGAGATTTAATTATCTTCCTGAGATACCTTTTCTGAACTGCTGAGCCACGGAATACAGCAAGTTCCACAAACTATGCGACAGGGGCATGAATACTCATTCAGGGTCGGGCATAGACGCCAGCCATTTATCCGCCATCCTATCTAGGTCCTGGCCAACCGCAATCTGCCCCGTCTGCTTGTCAATGAACCTCAGATTCTCTTTGGACATGGCCAGGCACAAACTTCCCCCGCGTCTTGCCATGCCAGCAGACCGTCTTCACAGATGACATGAACTTCCTCCACATTAGGATACAATTTTCGTAGCTCGTGGGATCGAAAGTGCAAAAGGATTCATCCTTCTCCCGCTCAAAGGTAAGCCGGTGAATCAGCAGTCGTTCAGCGAGACTAATTGTGTCAAACCAAGAATGCCCAATTGAGATCATGTCAATCTCAAAGTTGACCCAGACGTACCGCGGCTCAACCCCTGCAGAAAAAAATTAAAGGCCTTCTGGTACAGCCCCTGATTTCGGGATTCATAGCAGATCCGAAGGAGCCCTCTTGTAGGGGCTGCAGGCAGCTATAATTAGTATAGGAAATATGGACTCTACACATGACACTATTACTAGGATGGCACTGCCAAGCGCCCTTTGGACACAAGGTGAGTGAACTAGCTAAGCCAGAAATATCTCTATGGCGGGTATAATTGAACAAAGAGTGCAACAAGGTGAAGGTGGTTTGAAAAACCCCCCATATCATTAAACAAATCTTCGACTAAAGGTCAGTTAGACCCTAAGAAATTTGCCACACAAATTCCCAGAAAGCTGCAAATGACACAACACTCAGTGGCTTCTTGCCATATGAATTCTGTAGATGAGTTATTTTTTGCAGGGATCAAGGTTGGTGGCCAAGAAGAGTGTTTGTCAGCACAGAGTTCGTTTCAATGAATACGAGTTTCTTGACATCAAATTGTCGAATCGCATATGCTTCTGCAGAGTTGGGAATCCGGAAGGGCAGACCCTGATCACTATTTAAGCAGACAATGAGCGTTTTGATGTATGCCTATCCTTAGCTCTCGCACCATCCATATTCCTCCCCTCTTCCCTTCCCAAACGATTTTCCCAACTTGACTATTGCCCAAGATGCCTCTCATACCGATTTCTCTCTGGAGTCACTCTATCGGTGCTAATTCATGGAAAGTGGCCATGATTTTGGAGGAACTTAATATCCCTTACACCCACAAGTTTATTGATTTTCCTGAGATGAAGCAAGAACCGTACGTGTCCATTAACCCCAATGGTCGCGTCCCTGCAATTGAGGATTCAAATACCGGCATCACTCTATGGGAATCCGGTGCAATTATCGAGTACCTGGTCGCTACGTACGATAAGCAGAACACCATTAGTTTCACGGCTGGCTCAAAAGAGGACTACCAAACCAAGCAGTGGTTGTACTTTCAGGTATCTGGCCAAGGACCATATTTCGGCCAGGCAGCTTGGTTTCTGCGGTACCATTCCGAGAACGTCCCTAGTGCTATAGAGCGCTATATCAACGAAATTAAACGTGTCTTGCGGGTTCTGGACGGGGCGCTGAAGAATAAGGACTACCTTGTCGGAGACCAATACACATATGCCGACGCCGTCTTTGTGCCGTGGTTCACTATCATGACTTCCTTCACCGACGAAATGAACCTCGATGGAAAGTTTCCTAGCGTACACGCCTGGTTAACTCGCCTGAAGACCGCTCCAGCGATTGCAAAGGTCCTTGACGACTGGAGTGTAGCCTCCGGACAAAAAATGATGTGAATTATTAAAATCATTGAGGGACCGGAATTAAGTGGCTCAAAGAACACATCGTCTATTGGATGTTAAAGGCTGTCGCAGAAGAAGAATACTGTCAAGAGTGGAGCAGTAACTTACTGCATCCTCCCATTGATTTCCAATGTGCTCCATGCTTCTTTGCCATTTACATGCAACTTCTTTGCCTTTTGTATGTAATTCTTTACGCGATAACTTGGACCAGTTCACTCTGATTATCCCACAGGGCATTGCCGCCTTCGAGGAGTATTGAACATCACCCCTTAATTTAGCGCTCCGTGATTCTCTCTTCAATCAGACAACCATTCAATTTAATTGGTCACACTTGGTCTAACAACCTTGTCAATACATACTAGTAGTACTAGTTTATTTGCGGTAAGACAAATCCATATAGTAATTCAATTCCTGGCCGAGCAATAAGAAAACGTATATTGTGACCAAATTTTGTGACATACACACATGTCCACCGTCTTTATATTCGTTGCACAATCAAGTTGGCTATGCAAACGTTGAGAAGGGGGTGTCACTGGAATCCATGACTTCAGGAAGAAAAGGAAGTTTTCTATGATATAAATCTGATAATTGCTCAATCTAGATGTCAAAAATCCACATTGCCTATCTAGGGTAGCTGTGTACGAGAATACCGAACAAGCTGGGGCGCTTGGACCGTAGTTTCTCACCACCCCTTAGATTTTTAGACTTTAGATAGCAATGGCTGGGGCTCATACCGGATCTAACCTACGACTAGCAATCTGGCCTGGCCTGTGCAAGGGAGGCAGGAAAAGAAGGGCATAACTAATATAGCTAGTTTCACTACCTTTAACCGGCCAAGCCTTTGAAAATTTGCAAATATATTACTTGGTGTGTTAGGAGACAAACTCATGTATTTAAATATAGCTAATAGCTCACCTCCCGAACGCCATTACCCGGTACCACAGCACTAGACCAAGACAGAGCTTGGAGGAGAAGGCGGCGAGTTATGCGCTTCCTGAAGCGAGTGCGTCTGTTATTTGAGTTTCTGATATTGTGCGTTGATTGTAGTTGGATGTTACTTGGAGAGCTCATGATGAAGTAGGGCTAGACCAAGTCTGACGGCCAATGGTAATCTGATGTAATGGGAAGGATGTATCTCTCTCCTCGCTGTAACCAAAGTCTGATCCAGAATCACTTCTAATATCGATTCTTAATTCGTCGGCTGCAGGACTGATCCGGTAACAGTAGGCACAAGGCTATCACCTTGCGCCTCCAGGTCTGTATCCCGTCTAACCTTAGATTCCGGCAAATCGGTAGGCATATAGCGAGGTCCATCCCGTTTCTTCGTCGCGCTATTTTTTATCTTGCCTATTATATGTCTCATAATCAGCGTCATCCAGATCCAGGCCGCTTCGATGTACTCGATTCTAAAAGCGGTCCAGATGAGTGCGGCCGATATGAGGCTAGAAATGGGGACTGTAGGATAATTGGCAGTAAGCTGCTGGTTTTCTAAGAAAGACGATGTCAAGGTACTTACAGACGATATAGGAGACGTAACCTAGGACAAGCTTGCCTTCGGCATTTGTGCGAAATTGGCTGATGTCGAGAGTGAAGAACGAAGTCATGAACGACAAAGGGAGCTGCAACGAGTCAACTTCAGCCGCCAATAGGAGAAGCTACACTTACGAAGACGAGAGTAGTTAGGGTAAAAATAAGGACAGTGCGTCCTTGCTTTGTTGTTTCTCTAGTCATCTTGAGCGACTCCTGCGCGTCCATCACACTGTTCTGCTTCAGTTTAAGGTCTATCAGGAAATTAATCTGCGAGCGCGATCAGCGGAGCCTCAGAAGAGACCCGATTGAGATGATTATGTACCGACTGGTTGGCCCTCCGTGCACGCTCAAGCATGGCATTGATCTCGTCGATGCTGGCGTTGACCTTGGCCAACGGCAGGCTGAATTCATCTGGGTCGTTGCGGGCTCCCCATATCACCGTTGCGCGTTGGCCTGGGTAGGCTTCTTCTATTACCACGATTTTGTCTGGATCCGCAGTTGCGTCGCTGCTACTGCTCGAATCGCTTTCCGAGTCTGCTGTTTCCAAGGCTAAAATAAACTTGCCGATGCCGTCCATGACCTTGAGCATGTTGCGCTGGTCATTAAACAGCATGATCATGACATTCAGATCGTCGAGAGTCGCTTTGGCCCTGGAGAGTAGGATGATCTCGCGCTGTATATTTTGCCACGTTTTCCTTCTCGAGTTTGGTAAAGTTGCCAAATAGGACACTCTCCTCTTGAATCTTACACGTATGTAGTCAGCTCCCACATCCATCGCAATGCAGCGGGTGAGACATACTATATCGCTAATTTCCGTCTCATAGAGTTCAGAAACTGGAGCGTCAATTTGGTGTTTTCGAAGCTCAGGGTACTTGCCCGGTCAAGGTAGATCCTGGAGCACATAGCGGCGATCAGCCCTGCCAGATCGTAAGCGGTTTGAACAGAGCAGGCTCATGGAGAAGTCGCAGCTTCACGCAGCGCAGCACATTCGTCAACCCCTGTTGGTCTGGATGTGCTGGATCGAGAACTGGGAAACAGCTGACGACAGTGTCAGGCTTGCCCCGTTCGCCCTTCAGCACCCAGAGCCACAGCTGATCGACCATAGTAAGGATTTTTGGTCGCAGATCGTTTTTCATTTGATAGTAACCGAGTACCTGATTCTCGCCTCTCATTGTAGTGTCTGTAGCAGTATGATAGTGGTACTGATCTAGAGTGCGTCGGATATGCAAAGGATGCTCGTCAGTTAGATACGCTTTTAAACGCTTTTGGTCCCGGGTAAGCCTCTCATTCATGTTGTGCTTTTGAGACAAGGAGTTGGCAATTGCTTCGCGATTTGAGTGCATTTCTTCGAAATCCAAATGGAGGAAGGGCATCTGTCACCATGTGAGTATCTGCCCTTGTCGTCCTCGGAAGAAGTCGTACGAACAACAATAGATCTTTGTGATAGCCCGTCCCTTCCCCGTCCAGAGCCCCTGTCGGCTAAGTTAGCTATGGAGGCAATAGGCATGATAAGAAAATCGCGTACAGAGCGCGGCGCTTGGAAACGCCTGACATTGTGACCGCATAAAGCGAGCATGGTGGGCGCCAGTGGCACCATGATGTTGTCGATTAACCCAACGCTCGGGCTTGAGCACTCTATAAGCAGAGGCTGAGTTATTGTACAGCCGGGCCATCAAAAGCTGTCTCTGGTTAGCTCAATACGCGATGCAGGGAATCAATCCATCGCATCTGAAAACAGTTAGCTCGTCATATACAATAGGATGTATTCGACATACGTTATTAACCGGAAGATGCAGCCATCGAAATGAGGTGGAAGAAGTACCTGGAGTAGTAGAACCCAAGGAGTTTTCAGGAGCTCATCCACAGCAGCTTCTACAGCGCAAGGTGTCAGAACACCACAAACAGAGACAAAGTCGATAACAGTGGCCTTAAATTCATGGTCAATGCTGGAGTCGAGGTGCTCATCCGCTGTTCCCGCGAGTCTCCCAACCTTGTCTACGGCCGCAACCATGTGGAAGAGGGTTGGGTGGTGGTTAGCCAGGTCCATCGGAGCCTCCCCCTTGACGTTCCTCAAATGGACACTGGCCCCGGCGTTGAGAAGCACTTTGACTGCAGCTTCATGCCCAGATCGGATGGCCAGCCCAAGGGGAGTGTCTCGAGCTTTGCTAGTTTGATGGTTGCGTGCCGCTCCAGCCTTAAGCAGAGTATCCACCACCTCTGCGTGCCCTTGCTCCGCAGCGATGCAGAGAGGCGTGCGATCGTCGTAGTCCGGATCTCTGCAGTAGATTTGGACTTTCTTGTCAATTAAAACCTTTGTGAAGATACACCATCCCTTTTGCGCAGCTTTGTGCAGATAAAACTGTGTCAAACGCAGCCTGCTGGGCTGTCTGTATGGCTCAGGGAGTTGAAGTTCTTCCTCCATTAAGATGCGCAAGGTACTCTCCTGCTCATTTTTAGCTGCGCAGACGAGGGGCCTGCTGTCGAAATCGCCATTGTCGCCGATGGGAGTGGCGACTATCAGACCCTTTCTTTTTCGCGTTACTTATCAAGGTGATAACAGCATCGACGTGCCCGTTCCCAGCTGCCCATGAAAGTGGTATTCGCCCCTGGCAATCCGGCCGGTTAATATTGACCATTGGTTGAGCCAGTAGCAGATTTATGGTATTAGCATGACCGCTTGCAGCAGCCCAAGATAGCGGCGTCCTTCCCCCGATGTTCAGTTCGTTGACCTGTACTCCCGGCTCATCAAAAAGCAGCTTTGTGACCATCGCTTGTCCGCCGCCAGCGGCCCAGGAAAGAGCCGATCTTCCATTATGATCGCGTTGTGCCATTCCCTTTTCTCTAAGCAGCACTTTTACGCAGTCCTCCCATCCGTTCGCCGCGGCCCATGACAGAGGTGTCCAGGGAGTGCTCTCTGATTGGCGGGCAGAATATTTTGCGTTACTTTCTCCTCATCTCCGTAGCCTCCGTGGTGTACATAGGCTATGTCGAAAATTACAGGGAATGGAGAGTCCTGTTCGGCTTGTCGGCGCCGTAGCAGGGTAGCCACACCATACCTCTCCGAGTCTTTCAATTCTAACATAGTCTGTTGGACTCCGGTCTTATCAAAGCCGGTACCATCCAGGACGTTCCCGTCCACAACTCCCGCAGAAGACCGACGGAAGAAACCAACTTTCCACTCAGCATCGACCGCCACGCCGTCAGTAGTCGGACTCAGATCACACGAAGCGGTCACCTGTGCGGTCTGGATGTTGCGATCAAATCGAAGCTCGAAGAGCGCAAGATGCGATGCAGCAAGTGCGTGTCGTTTGCCATCCCCGCGCTATCAGGGAAGCCGAAAACACCTTCCAGCGCAACTGTGGGTGGCGGAATCCAGCGTGGGTCATCGACATCCATCCTGGCACGCACCGGTTTATATGCGCCTGCCTCTTTCGCTGCTCTCATCTCCTCCTCTTCCGGCTCCGGTTCCGCCGTTCCCTCCGGCAGAGGCCACATGAGCATGCGGCTGCAAATTGGATTAAGTGCTCAGGTGGACGTTGGGTGACAGGACAGCCCCGCACTATTTTGGCAGGGGTCAGGCCCACCAGCGAATAACAAACTTGTGATGCGCCTGGAATCCGCAGCATGGATTGTTGCTGTATCCATATTTTTCTCTTTCATGTCGGGACGAGTGGGGGTATAAGGAGGCGCATCAAATGGGAAAAAGGTACCGCTTCTATCAGAGCTATGTAGACAAGAAAGGGTGTCCTACCATAAAGACGCATCCACGACCGCCCCTGGTGATTAGTCCTTTGCTTGAGCTGGCCGTCGATGACGACCCCAAGCGGGCCGAGCAAAGCAGAGCAGCCGGACACTTCGGGGAAGTTTCTGAAACTTATTTACAGGTTATGCTGCCGGCTCTGTGTAAGCTCACCAACCTTATCTCTATTCTCGTGCAGAAAATACAATAAGGGACACAGACGCAGCTAGGAGCTGCCTAAATATCATTGCTGTTGCCTAGTCACTTGCTGTTCCAGCCCACGCTCCTACGCACAACCAGATTACCACCACGCCGAGCCAACTCCAAGCAATGTATAGCGGAAATTCAGAAGCAATGCGATCAAGCTGCCAGCCCATTGTCAACTCGATCCCTCTTAGCTTATCCGTTTGGGCGTACGGGCGGTCGATGCGGAATGGTAATGCGGTCTTCTCGCCTGAAAAGAATTCTCCTTCGAGGCGGTTGCAGAAGAACCTCTGACCCGTTTGCACAGTTGTGGTTGTCCATGCGACTGTTGCAACTTTCGCTTGCGGAGTTTCGACTGTTGGCCGCTGGTTTGGACCTCGAGGGGTTGCTGGACGCACGAATGTGGGCTTCGGGGTTGTTATCGGCAGATACTTGTGCGTGTGACTGGTTGTGTAGCGGGTTATCTGACCGAAAGTTTCCTTCCTGTGCTTCAGGATATGCGTTGGAGTTTCTATTCTCGGCAAGCGTGTCGCGGAGAAGTGGTGGAGGGTCGGGATATCGACAAATAGTCTCCGAGATGACGGCATCGCCGTCCGCGTGAATATGCTGGCGTTCATCTTCTGTCTCCCAGGGCCCATTATTGGTGAGGATCACCGGGTCGATCGGAATGCCATTTTGTTCGTCTGCCAGTCTTGCCAGCTCTCGTCTGAGCTGGACACACTGGGTGATGATATATATCTCAGGGCGTCTCTGGTAAAAAGGGCGCATTAATTGAGGCATCAATGGCATCGTGAACTTTGCGTGACGTAGCTAAATCCGGATCCGATGATGGACAAGCTCCGTTTACCGGAGACTGTTCCAGCCGCTCTGCGTGCTGGGTGTCGGATGATGTAGCGGGCGTCGTGGCAGGCGTCGTGGCAGGCGTTGTGGCAGAGTGCAGCCTAGATGACTTCTGGGACGGAGACTGTGGGGCTGGAAAGTGCCAGATGGCGTCACGGCACTTGCATGATTGCAAACCTCGGCTGGGGGCCGCGCCGGGAGCTGATGCTTGGGCAATGGCAATGTTTGGGGGAGGGCTGACTGAGGAAATTTGATGACAGGGGACTCATTGGAAGGAGAGTGTAGGCGTGAGCGCTTGGAGGAGGACCTTGTGCGGAAAGGGGGAGTCCATGTCTTGAAGTTATCAGCGTGAAATACAGGCCACATATTGGGGTAAGGGGAGACTGGGATAGCTGGTGGAAGGTGGCTGTGTGAATATTAGGCATGAGAGGGGAATGAGGCTGGAGTAAAAGGAAATATGCAAGTGTTGAAGAAAAGCAAGCTCCTATACTGCTGTCCATGGGGGTTCGTTAAATCTTCTGCGGTAAAGCTCCCTGTGGACCCTGTTCTATAACTTATCTTGCTCTTAATATTAAGTATACACCGCTAAGTGACCTTAGTATGGGTGCAGGATGTAGAGAGTAATATGTATAGAGCTAGGTGTGACATGACTAGACTGCCACAGACCATGTAGACTAGTAGAATGCTGCGGGCATACCCAGTACATTCTCAAACCACTGATCATCTCCAAGATCCATCGACTGCATCCAAATCATTTGATCTAGATCTGGGATATGGTGATTGTGACTGGTTGTGTCAGGGTTGGCACTCTGGCACGGCCTGGTTTCCACATCATGGATCTGAGAAGCTATGTTCCACCGAGATTCAGCCCACAGGCGACATCTGGTTAAAAGCTTGGATAAAAATTTAAGCAAATGGTCGTTGCACTGAAGTTCCGGCTCCTTGCTGCTCAGATCGAGCTTCTGCAGCATACAGTCCATCGTCGAGATAAGGTGAACTGTGTTCCGCACCGCTTGGCAGTCCCATTCGGGGTCTTTAAGTGTGGATAGATATTTCAACAGTGTCACTGTCAGAATCATCTGGGACCAGAAATGAAAGGGCTGGCCGACTAGTTTCGAGCAAGGGATCCGGTAGAAATTGTCCAGCCACGCCTTGATGTTCTCAACGGACTGCCACAAACACTCCAGGCGTTCGAATCCCTGTAGCCCAGATAGATTGAGAGGAGGCGAGTCTTGACTGACGGAATAGGCGAGCTGATTTATGTATAATTCAACGTATTGGGCGTGTGTATTGAGAATGTCTGCATCCCCCGGTGGAAGGTATCAGCCATCCAGCAGCGGGGATCGTCTGCCAGTTCAGTTGCATGGGAAACTACTTACCTAGCTGGGGGAGATCCGCGGGAAATAAAGATCGTAGCTCATGCAGCTCCCTTCGTAAAGTCTTAAGATACAATAGGCGAGGAGCTGAAACCGCCGCCGGGGTTGTTCCAGTGCGAGCCTCGTCCTGTTGTCGGACGTCATCCGCTCTTTGCTTTAACAACTGCAAGCGGACTTGAGAGATAAATAACCTATCTGCGGGGCATGCCTCGCTTATTGTGAGGACGCGAAGCGCCTCTTCCATCTGAGGTGTCCATCGTAGAGCATCTTGGCGGCCAAGGTGTGACGCAATACTAGATAGTCATACATTTAGTAAGATTGACAGAGTATCAGGAAGTCACGCGCACTTAGAGCTCAAAATAAAACACGCCAGTACTGCCCGCTGCCTTTCCAATAAGTCATAGGGCGTTTCATCGGTGTTGCTCTGATTATTGTCGTCCGCCCGCCCCTGGGTAATAGCCATCATGATTTGTACATCTGGCGAGGATGGTTTGAACAATCGCAGATCATAGACAAGTGAAATGGCGAGCATCATGAAGCGAGAGACAAGGTCTGCTCGGCCCAGAAAAGGATCTGTACTCCATGCTAGATATGTTATTAATCCAAGCAGMAGGTCGATATTTGACTGGACTTTAAGCAAAGCGGATGTGAACAGGAGATGCTTCAGCTCCTCAACTTGAGTCAGTCTTTCCTGCGTCGAGAATGTGGTCACAGTGTGGATAGCTTGGAACAAGAAAGGCCTGTTCTGGCGCAGATACCGGCTGTTCATATCTGGGGTCAGGTCGATGAAAGGAAAAGCCGGCAGCATTCGGGAACGGAAGAAACTAAGCCGTTCATCTGCTTGAGTTGGCGAGGGAGCCGGGGTAGAGAGAGAATAATGATGAGACGGAAATATCGGATTTGTATTCGGCGACAATGCGGCAATCGCGTCCATCGCAAACGGCGGTCCGTCACCGACGCCCAGAGTAGTGCTGGCGGGGGTTACTAGAGTAGGATTCGAACCAGACGTGGATGATGAACTGCCGTCTTGAAGGACGTTGACKGAAGAAGAACCGATGAAAGAGTGCATGGCGGACAACAGGCTCTCCATTTTGTCTTCCAGCCGCGCAATCCGCCTATCAGACACTTTGGCTGTCTGACTCTGAGCATTCTGAGCATTCCGCCGGCGAACCGACTCTGATGGCTCACACCGTTTCTTGAGCCGGAGACACCTTTCACAAGTATCGCCAGTTGGAGCACGCACACACCGGCACTTGGCCTTGTAGCACTGCGTGCAAGCTTGGCCATAGGTGCAGGACTGGCCGAGGGCTGATTTCGACTTCGATCTCTCCATAGTATATGCCAGCTATGCCAGAAGGCGATGACCTGTACGGATAGTTGTTGACCCGTAAGGGATACTTGTTGCGCTGGTCAGACACAGGCAGACGGAGGGGAAATTAGGGACATCCTTGCTGCGGAGATTATCTAAATTCCGCCGTATTATGCCCGACGGATTTGGGACTCCGAAGTCCGGTTATATTATACAAGGGTTGTCCAATATTGACCATCGGATCAAGCCGCCGCCAGGACGAAGAGCGGGAGACGCGGGGCTATATTTAGTAAGAGGTAAATTAACGCTCGTTAATTCCTCTAGGAATGCATAGGTATTATTGCTCATTGATCTGACTATGTTTCGAGAAGAGGAATTTAAGGTTTAAAATCGCTCAAAGAACTGTGCCAAGATAATCAAAGAGGTAGGCCGATAGGGATCAGATTGATAATCTGCATGAATATCTTACTCTAGGGCCTGCAAATAATCCCGCCAAGCTGTGAGTGTCCCGTAGCTCGCCCAGAACTCGAAGCAAGTACTGGACGCCATCGCCGCCCCCCAGTGTGCCAGTAGCGGCATGGGTCCTGAGAAAGGTGGCCGCGTAAGCCAGAGTGTCCGGCAAGAAGCGGTGAGCCTTGAAGGGGCTGAGGTACGGCACTGCCTTGGCCAGACGCACGATCTCGGAAGCTGCTTGCGCGGCGCGCTGCTGGTAGGCTGCTGCCAGGCCCTGCTGGTCGACAGTGCGCCACGAGGCCTGCTGCATCGTGTTGCTGAGATGGACGGTCGCCCGGTACGCCAGCATGCGGGTTAAGAGAAGCATTGGGTCGCTGTCGACGGCGGGGGAAGGGACAAGCATCTGCACTCGCCTCTCCACGGCCGTGGCCAGCCACCCCTGGCGGATACAGAACTCTCTCGTCCCCGCCTCGAATTCAGTGGCGTACAACAGCTGGTGTGTCATGCAGCGACGGTGGAGCGTTGCAATGATGATGGATTCGGCGAACGGGGACAGCGTGATGGGTCCCGTCTGCGCCATGGCCTCTGGGAGAAAGCTGATGCAAGTCGGCTGGCTGTTTGGAAGTTTGCCTCGGGTCCGGGGAGACTCGTAGAGATCTATGTAGAATTAGCGAGTCCTGCCACCAACCACTGATAGGAAACTTGCCATTTCTTCCCGTAGCGTCAAGGATCACTCGTTTTGCAAGCAGAGGAGGCGATCAAAGCAAAAGGCCAGCCAAAGCGTGCGTCTACGCTCTTCGGCGTCGACAAAGCTCTCGCTAGACTAAGCGCTGGGAGAAGCCACAGGAAGCACTTGCAAGTCACCCCCGGGGGCATCCATATCCCATAGACGGGCCATCTGCACGAGGCGAAAGCCCCGACCGGCTGTGAGCATGGCCTGGTCGACACCCGTTCGTAGAAGCTCGTAGTGGCTCAGAAGCAGCCAGGCCTGGATGTGCTCCAGGGGGATCTGGCCCCTGGGCGTAGCTGGCGTCTGGCTGGGTCTCGAGCAGACTGCGCGTCTCAGCAAGAGCTGCTCACTGATATGGCTCCAGTGGGCAGACATGGCTGCCGCCAGGGTCCGCATGGCTGACTGGAGACATGCCTGGGCAGGCGTATAGCTGCCTTGGGCGACCAACGCAAAGTATCACTGGCGATGAATGATGGGACAGAACGCGTGCACCCTGTCAAAGTACAGTTAATCACTTCGGGAGGCTGTCAGCAAGCTCTAGAGCCAAGGTGGGCATGGGTGCTGGGGAGGCTCGCACAGTTCGGCCTGAATGAGGTCCGTCATCTGGACATTGGAGCTGGATTTTGGCTGTCGTAGGCGTGCTCTCGTCCAGAACATCGATGTCGAGTGGGTCCATCAATGTGGTGCCCGTCAATTCTGGTGGCATCAGGCTGCTGATGCCGTTGATATCCTGCCAGTCCAGACAATCTGGCCAACCCGGCAGTCCAGTAGCAGCAGCAGCATCCGAGTAACTTGAGATTCCCGATTTCACCGCCGACGTAACTGGCATGGCCAAAGCAGCAGCCCTCGATGTTCCTACGGATGTTGCAGAGGCCGGCGACATGTCTCGGTCGTTGAGCTCGCCGGCCTGGATGTCAAACTCGTAAAGTATCGTACGAATGTCTGCGCGGGGTTCGGAGTCCGCTTCGATCAACAGGGACGGGGCTGGTCGGTGTCCGAGTTATCGGTCGAGCTGCCATCGAAGCGTTGCTTTGCAGGACAAGGATTGATAATCAGCCTACAGGCCACATGGCGGGCAAGCATCAAGGGACTTGGAGGAAATGCAAAAATGCTGTGAAAATACATGGAATACTGTAGACGAACCTAACTGGGTCAGCATTGAGTTGAGCTGGCCTTTTATATGAACCCTGTGCTGTTATGATGCACTGCATGCCATTCTCAGTACAGAGGTCACACTTTGGTCGCACTCAGTCACACTGCGCCTTTCGTCTGCGACACTCTTCGCACGTAAAACCAGGCTGCTGCTGGCCTCTTCTCCCTGCTCGACACGCCATGAAAGAGCGCCGATGATGCTGATGGCGTGAGATGTGGGTATATCAGCGGTGACTAGGTGGGCAGAGTACATTCTTTATATGGCCTACAACGAACATCTAGCCTAGTCGATGGGAGAGATACTGAGAGCCTCCAGGATTCACCTTTTTCTTACTTGCAGACGTCTGGCAGCCGTGGATTGTGGCTGGATGAGTTGAGCTTGATAAGATGGTAAGCTGGGCATGTAAGCCCGCTACCCCAGCACCCTATTAGATGTGAAATTTGATCACACCATAGCGCGACAACCATTCTATGGTGGAGATACAAGTTGGTAAAATTATGTTTCGGAGAGAGCAGCCGGAGACGTTAGAGGTTATAAGCCCCCTGGCTGCATGAATATTGCTCACGTCGGCCGCAAAGACAGGGGTAGCAGCCACTTAGGACGCCGTGGCTACAAATGTACTCTGCGTACGCGGAAGGAAGAGAACAACACAGGAAATGGAAAACAGCGTGCCTCAACCGGAGTTCAATCCTCTGAATTCCGTGCAAAGTCCGTCCCTGGTAGACTCACCATGAAGCCCCATAGGCTTTCATTAGTATCATGTACATATAACTGAGCTCAAGTTCTGTCGCTTCTGTTTTTGTTTTGGTCTATTTCACAACTATCCATTGCTCCCTTGTTGGTGCAGCCCCATCCCAAGCCGAGCGCCAGCTTACACAATTCCCCGCTTTGTTGGTGCCTCCTCATCTATCGCAATGGCTCCAAAGAACCAAGCGGCCTGGATCCCTGCCAAAAAGGTCCGGCCGTTCAAGGTTGGCGACGCGCCCTATACGGCCCCCGGCCCGGGCCAGGTGGTGGTCAAGAACACCGCCGTGGCCATTAACCCTTTCGACTGGGTGTTGCAGTTCATCGGGCCGGCAATCGCGGGCTATATCAAGTACCCCTTCATCTTTGGCACAGACGTCGCCGGCGAAGTGGTCGAGGTCGGCCCCGATGTGCAGCGTTTCCGCGTGGGCGATCGAGTCTTCGGAAGCGCCACGGCCGTGGCCAAGGAGGTCAACCGCCCGGCCGAGGGAGCGTTCCAGCTCTACACGGTGATGCGACAGCATATGCTGGCGCCCACTCCCTCCCACATCACCGACGAAGAGGCCTGTGTCTTGGGGCTGGGCCTCGGGACTGCGGCGTGGGGCCTCTTCCACCCGGACTATCTAGGCCTCGACATGCCTCAGATCCCGCCGCCCACGGATGTCGTGGGGAAATCAGGCCTACCACGCACCGTCATCATCACCGGCGGCGCGTCAAGCGTGGGGAGCAACGCTGTGCAGCTGGCTGTGTCCGCCGGCTACCAAGTCCTGTCGACCTCGTCTCCCAAGAACTTTGACTATGTCAAGGGCCTCGGTGCCACCCATGTCTTCGACTACAGGAGCAGAACATTGGTCAAGGACCTCCTCGTCGCCCTCCGGGGCCGCGAGTTGGTCGGTGCCTACACTATTGGCGGCGGTGCCGTCGAGGCATGCACCGCCGTGATGAGGCATCATGATGTCCACCTCACCCGGAAATTCATCGCCGCGGCCGGTGCCATAATCCCTGCCGAAAAGCTCGCCACCTTTGTTGGCAAGGGCACATACTTGATAGGCATGATGGGCGGCATGATCAAGTCGAAGGGGAGGCGCCTTCGGACCGGGGTCGAAGCTAAATTCATCCTCGTCGATGGCCTAGTCGACCCCAAGAGCGTCGTGTCTCGCATCTACAAGGAGTTCCTGCCGCAGGCGCTTGAGCAGCACCAGTTTGTGCCAGCACCTCCCCCGCACGTGGTGGGGAAGGGGCTGAACAAGATCCAAGAGGCTCTGGATCTCCAGAGGAGAGGTGTCTCGGGAAAGAAGCTTGTCGTAACGCTGTAGCTGAGTGAGTTTAGAATAGGGTAGGCACAGGATATCGATTTTTGTAGTTAGCAATATACCTTAATACTCCGCTTCCTGCTAAGGGATCGCAAATTCTGTTTATTTGGTATATCTAGTTGCGCGTGCATGGACATACGAGGTGTCAATGGTAGTGAAGATGATTAAGTCATCAAAAGAGTAATATTAAAGGTTAATAGCCTATTCCAAAGATCTATCCTTAACAAAGTCAATGCCAATTTCCCAATTAAAACGACAGAGAAACAACTCTGGGGGGTAGTGCGGCAAGAATCCGATATACCGAAAACGACGACCGGCAACCGCAGCAGCCGGAGATTCATGTGAAAGAAGTGACTACATTGTTGGCACTACTCTACTTGTACCAGCTAACTCTTGATCACCGCTATCAGGAGACTCATTGGTAATGACCTGAAGATCCTTGACCTTGCGAATGTCCTTCCATCCAAGACCCGGAGAAAAGACCAAGACAGCGAGACTGACCGCGATACCGAGGTACATGACGTGGTTGATACTTTTTGCATAGGCCGCCAGCACCGCAGCTAGCTGGGAGCCAGCGACCAGGTCCCGGATGGAGCGGACTCCAGCAGCGACGATGGCTTCTGGACTGCGGCCAATCTGTGCCGCGTGCTGCTGAAGCTGGTGCCGCAGGCTGTTGCTGAAAATGGCGTTCGCCGCGATCAGAGAGACGGCAGCGCCGATGTTTTGCCAAAAAATGATAATGGCCATGGCTTGTGGGATCTGCTTGGGAGACACAAGGTTTTGGATCGCGATATAGGGGGCCGCCGTTGTGCAACCACTTGCTACACCGTAGAGGATCTGGTACCCGATCCATCTGGCAACCGAGGTCGTCGGACTGAGGGTCGACAAGAGGCCGTAGCCCACCGCGGAGATGGCGCCCCCGGCAAGAAGAAAGGGAAGATAGTAACCCAACATGGAAATTAGGGCGCCCGAGACCATGGTGAACAGGACCAACCCGAGAGTGATTGGGAGCATGTGCACCCCGCTCATCAAGGGCGAGTCATCGCGGATCGCCTGGAAATAGATGGCAATGTAGAAATCAGCCACCAGGACACTGGACAGGCTGAAGAACATGGTCATTGCGGTGGACCAGATAACTCGGTGTCTGAGCATCGCAAACGGGACCATGGCCTCGTCTCCCCGACGATGCTCCCAGACTAGAAAGACGCCAAAGGTGACGGCACCGCCCACCAGCAAGCCAATTACTACGGAACTGTTCCAAGGGTGTTGGTTGCCGCCAAACTGCAGCCCCAAGAGGAACATCACCACGGCGGGGCAGACGAGCATGAATCCGGGGAGATCCAGCGACTTGATGGCGGTGCCGAGGATCTCTAGGGGCGGACTCTTGGGTTCTGTTTCGGGGATCGTGTTGAAGAGAAGAAATCCCCCGACGATAACGCCCAAAGGGAGGTTGATGTAAAAGCACCACCGCCATGACACGTTGGTGGTAAACGCCCCTCCGATGATGGGGCCCGTCGCGAGGCCCAGCTGGCCCATGCCCATGTTGAGCCCCATAAAAAGCGCCTGTTTCTTTGTTGGGAGGACGGCGGAAATGGTTGTCACCGCGCCGTTGGCTACTCCAGCTGACCCGACGCCTGCGATGGCGCGGCCGACGATGAACATGGGCGACGACTGGGCTGCTCCGCATAGGGCGGAGCCAATCTCAAAGAGAACAAAGAAGACAAGAAAGGTCCACTGATAATCACCGTGTCAGCCACGATGCCTTGAGTCGTAGAGCAACATACCTTGGTGGAAAACTGGGTGTAAATCTTGCCGGTTAAAGGTTGGAACGCTGCACTTCCAAGCTGGTAGGCGCCGCCATACCAGCCGACGTCCACCAACGAGTCGAACTCGGAGGTGATGGCCGGAGTGGCGGTGGAAAGGACGGCAAGGTCGAGGAAGAACAGGAAATAGGCCAGGGTCACTGATGTGAGAATCAGGGTGACCGCCAGCCCCGAAGGATACTCGTACTTGGGCTCTGCATCATCGCTGGAGGCACCTTTCTCATTCTGCCTCCACTCGAACGAGTCTGTAGAAGTCGCAGCCATTGCAAGATGTGTGGTGCTCTAGTATGATACTGTGATGACTACCGGATCTAATAAGACATACTTGCTCTCATGCTGATTATAAAGGCATACTCATCTATAATCCAGGAGACCGGAGTCTGCCTCTCCGAAATCCGCACCTGCAGCAACAAATCGTAGGGATCACTTATATAATGTGAGACTGATTCCGAAATCCGTCCCAATCACCTGAATGAAATGACCCATACTATTTTGTATCATCAAGCATTTGTATTACACTTATCACCCAGCGCCAAGTCTGGGATTTCAGCCACCACTGCACTACCATCCTCCGTTGTGATGGGCATCCGATGGTCTCCATCCCACTCCACAAGTCTCGCACTAGACCGCGAACAGCAACGCAGCAGCTCCCGGTACATCTCGATGCCAGCGTCCTGTCGTCCATGGACATGGACGGTCGGCAGCTGCTGCAGCCCGGGTTCTGGCCGCATCCTGTCACCCCGGGCCATCGACCATTCCAGGAGCAGGTGACGTGGATGATGCACCAGTTGATAATCGGTGGGACCCACGGCCCTATGGAAATATTGCTGGACTGGTGTATGTATGGGTTGAGGGTGCATTACAACAGCACGAGCCTCAGGCATGTGATGTGGATGGGTGAGGATCAGTTATTATACCAGCAGATCGCGTTCACGAATGGGGTGTTTCGTGGATGGTTCGTCACGGCGGCGAGGGAGATATTAGGCCAGTCCTTCATGCAGAAATATGACCAGATGCCCCAAAGATACTTTGTGATACAGCACATTCTGAGGTCCAGTAACATTGTACACCCTCGATCTATATGGAAAGTCTCTCCCTTATACACGATAGTATACATTCCCTTCAAAGAGCCGCCGAGCGGTCCGGAAAACCGCTACATTATCAACACTAACCCCACCTGTATGGTCCATCCCCAACACAGCTTCCACGTGTATCACTCCAGCCGGATGTCGAATGCCCACCGGCAACGGACGTGCAATCTGATGACTGGCCAACGACATGCCATGCTTCGGCCGTGTGTCCCTTTTCCCGTTCTGCCTCAACTCCCACGCAATCGTGCCGTGGATGACCGTGGCTGCACCCACACACACCGCACCCGTCAACTGCAAACTCGCATGGGCCTTTCCCATGGTGAATGCCAGAATACACAGATCTGCCTCGTCATCCTCCGCCGCCGCAGAGGATAAAAGGGCGATCTTGGGAGTCCCGCGCACCGTGCCCGCCGCCTCCACATCGGCAGCCAGCCCGAACCGCACGGCGCCTTCCCGGCGGATATCCTCGATCACGGACAGGAACGCCGGGTCGTCGGGACGACGGTCGTGATCCGGTATTGGCAGTGACGCTGTGTCGACGAGAACAAACGGGTTCGCTGCGTCAACCAGGCTGACTCGCACGGTGAATATCCCCATAGTGCGCGACTGGATGGTCAACATCTCCTGCTGCGCGCCGCTTGGGAACAGCCGGCCCGTCATGCTGCCTCCGGGGCGCAGGAAGGCCAGCCTGATCGGGCTGGATGTGCCCGCCACTCCGGGGATGCGGTAATCGCCTTCTTCTTGGAAGGTCCCGTCCGGGGCGACGTGGACGGTTTCCACTATCAGTTGTCCGGTGTTGGTGTTGTACGTTCGAATGTCAATCTTGGATAGCAGAGATCAGTTCTGAACGATGTACCAACGACAACATAGCAGGGACTTGCTAACCTCTTTCTGTCCTGGTGCGGCCCTCACAATTCCCTCGTCCAGCGCAAACGGGCCCACTCCAGCGGCGATATTGCCGCAGTTCCCCGTCATGTCGATACGCGGCTGGTCAGGCGCCACCTGCACAAATGTATACTCCACGTCGACATTCGGGCGACTTGATCTCTCCACTACGGCAACCTTGGACGTCGTCGACGATGCACCGCCTACTCCGTCGATCTGCCGGCTATCGCCTTGCGAGGACCCCATGGCCGACAGCAGGATCGGCTCCCAGAGGTGGGTGGACGCTGGGAGATGATGCCGGTGGAGGAACAGGCCCTTGGACGTGCCTGACCTCATCCACACAGCGGGTAGGGTCTTTCTATTGGACTGGTGGGCATACTTTAGAGCTTTGATAGGACTGTACTCCACGGGTGATATGGCGTAGGCTGGTGACATGATTGAGCGCAGGGTACAGGTAATTCTCATCTGTGAATTGAACTCGGACTGCGTGGGACATTCTATGAATTAACATCTATGCCACACTATATATCACTGGCCACTACTTTTGTTCTAAACAGCTATACTAAACGTCATGTTGTATACTTTATTTCGTAGATGATACCGGCTCATGCCCTATTCCGCGGCAAGTTATGTTCCGTCGAACCCCATCGGATGTCGTCGGTTCCATCCCACGGAATTCTCAGTCAGACGAAGAGTTCGCCTCACCTCTTCGAACCCGCAAAGAAGCAGATGTCCTTAGGACAAATGACGCCTGCTGAATGTTCACAGGAAGTGGACATCTTGGTGGCGAAGAGTCCCGGGTGCATAGGATACGATTGGTATCTCCCTGTATCATATCTCAAACACAGAACTATTCACTCGAGAGGCACCAAGATTCCGTTTATTGCTTCTTGGCCTTTCTATTCCACCGCGAAGCACTGTATCTACACTATTCGGGTCGAAGGTAAGATGCGGATACAATGTACAATGAGAACACCCGGGGGAAAATAACATAGTCGCCATAAAACACTTCTGAGGTACATGTATTGAGTTAGATTGCTTCTCTACTGGGACCGAACATGGCGGATACAAAGACAACCGTTGCATGTTTTCATTATAGCTATCAATTCACAATAGCGGGAAATGTGGGCAAAGGGAAGAAAGGAATTAATCATGCGTGCTCCTTCTGCTCCACCACAATCTTCTCCTCTCCAGGCCTATCAAACCCAGCCACATCTCCTTGAGGAAGTCTCTTCGCCATTGCCACGATATGCCACACAGACGGCGCATCGCGGAAGACCTGATTCATAGCCTCCAGGTTGCGGCCCATCGTCTCCGGATAGAAGAAAAACACCGCGACCGGGATGCAAGCCGAAATAGCCGCAAAGACAATATAATACCGGTAGCCGATTGTATCGAGCGCCACAGGCGTGATCATGACCACGATAAAGTTCCATAACCACTTGTTCGCAGTGGATGCCGAGGCCATGGCGACGCGCAACCGCATGGGCGCCACCTCGGTGCAGTACACGAAATTGGCGCCGGAGAAGCCAATGGGATAGAAGAAGTTGAACAGCCAGATGATTGCCGCCGAGACGATGGAGAGTGATCGGTCACGGGAGCTGAAACTGGTCGTCACGGCTAACACGATCATGCACGCGCTCATACCCGTCCCGCTGAACATGAACAGCTTGCGCCGGCCGAGGCGGTCGATGGCGAAGAAGGGAATGAAATTGCACAGCGTTTTCCACGTTAATGCGCTGGCCGCTAGGATCCGCGAGAGGTCACTTCCCAGCTTGAGGTTCTGTTCAAAGATAGTCGAGATGTAAGTGGAGATCAGATTGCCGCCACACATCTGCTGGAAGAACTGGATGAGCATGCACAGGCCGAACCGGTACAGTAGGCGATCGTCGTCCTCCCCGAGGCACAACTCTCGCAGGGTAAGGCGGCTGGACTGCTCGGTAATTTCCAACGACGACTCAATGCTCGCAATCTCTGTCTGGACGGCCTCATCGTCCACTCTGAGGCCCTTGTAGGCTGCAAGGCTGTGGGCCGCCTCATCGCGGCGGGCGACCAGCACAAGCCACCGCGGCGATTCAGGTAGCAAGAAGACGGTCCCCAGGATAGTTAGCGGGAAAAGAAAGGACAATGCCAGCGGGACGCGCCATTGAGTTTCACCCGATGTCTTGCTGAAGCCAAAGTCGATCCAGTTGCACAACACAAACCCTAGAGTCATGCATATGCCGTCGACAACGACATGCTGCCCACGATGCTTTGCCGAGCTACATTCGGCCTGGAAGACTGGGACTGTGGCACTCAGCTGCCCAACCCCAATGCCGAGAATCACCCGGCCCAAGGTAAACTGAATGATGCCGTACGATGAGGTCTGCAACAGCTGGCCGATAATGGCGATGATGGAAGCCAGAAAGATGGTCTTGCGCCGGCCAAGCCGGTCACCAAAGGAAATGCACGAGAGGGCGCCCACGAGCGCCCCGAGCTGCAGAGACGCAATGACTGCCCCCTTTTTGGTCGAGTTTGCGGCCTTGAGCTTACCGCTGGTGTTGATCGTGTCGATTTCGGGGAATACATGTACCCTTGCATCTGTCAGTCTAAGGATTCCATTCGTTTTGATTCAGCTGGCGCCAATACCATGACTGCAAAGTAGCCAGCGGTCCTAATCCCGCTTGGTTGTATCCGTAAGTGATGAAGGCCGGCACAACTGTGAGAAGCAGCTGGGCCACACGAAGCGATTTTTCTCTGAGCATCTTGCTTGTTCTGGAGGACTGGTGACATAAATGAAGAGATAGGTCCTAGAATGCTCGACTTCAAGAGATCGAGCTTCATTTATGCTCGAGGTGGAGCTGGGACTTTCTGGGGACCCCGCATGTCAACAGGGCAAGATATGGGTAATGACATTCGGGATAGGCTTTACTTTCTTTGCTACCCCACGATCTGTCACTCGCTCAACCTGGAAAAGACATGGCTTGGGCCCTAAGCATGAAAGTACGTTTGCGGTATCTCAGATCCCATGGCCTGGTGTCAAGTGTCGTCGGCAATGAATCTCCTTCCCTTTTGGCAGGCAGAGTTCCAAGTAACTAGCATTAGATCGGCAGATGGGTGCAAATGTGAGAGAGCGGATGCCCTGATTAGAGTTTTTGTTCCATGGCATGTAAGTTTCCGCGGACAAAAGCAAGCCGCGGATGGTTCCAGATAAGACTAACTTCTGCATCCGGGATACCTAGAGAAACGCATTGAATATCGTCGCATGAGATTTTCAGTGTCACAGGAAACACCAGTTGGCTATTGCGTACGTATTCTGTTGTTCTATCGCTTCTCTCCCGAACATGATTCATCAGTGGTGTTCCGATATATTCAACTAGCTCTGGGGAGTATTACCCAACAAGATAAATCCAACCTAAGCAAGACCAGTTTGCAAGATGGACCGATCACAAATCTTGACAACGTAACCAGCAATTAAACAGATAATCAACATACTTCTCCATCAACGCACAGTCAAAAGGCGGATACTGTAACCCCCCTGGATAGGTGGCTAATGCCCACCTCGTGTTGGTATCGTCATACGTGGGCATATTCTCGTATAGTTCCCATCGACTCAGGCCCTTGTGCACCTTCTCCGCCAGCATAGGAAGTAACGGCTGGAGACTCGCATGCGCACTCGCCAAGAGCCGCTCAATCCACTCGCTGTAGCTGACTCGCTGCATCACCGCGCCCCGCGCCTGGCTCAGCAACTCCATCACCCCGTCCATGTCGACTGACGCTGATCGCTGGGGCAGGATATGGAAGGCATGGCCGAGAGAGGACATGCTGGAAGAGATGTGCAGCATGGCAGTGACGGCGTAGTCCACAGGGACGAACTCCTTGCGCTGGTTGGGGAGGGCGGGGTACGCCCCCAGGTCGAGACTGGCGCGGATCAACCGGCTGAAGAAATCGTCCGAGTTACAGGCTCCCGTCCGATGATCGCCTGTCACGAAGCCGGGGCGGTACACGGCGATGGGGAATCCGCGGCCTACGAGGCGTTGGAGGAGTTGGTCGGCGACCCATTGGCTCTGCGCGTAGCCGTGGTCATAGGGAAGGGCATCCAGATGCGGGAGGAGAGGCGCGTCTTCGTAGATGATCTTGGCGCCGGTCACGAACCCAGTGGGGCCGTAGCAGGAGATGCTGGAGCAGTAGTGGAGACCCTTGAGGCGACCAGTGACGGCCAGACGAGCGACGTTGAGCGTGCCGATAATGTTGGTCGGACGGTGGAGAGAGTAGGGCTGGGTGTAGTTGACGCGCGCGCCGAGGTGGAAGATGACACTGGCCCAGTTAGCAATCTCACCGAAGCGTTGCTCGCTGAGGCCAAGCCAGTGGCCCTCTAGCGAGCCGCAGAAGGGGAGAAGCTTGGGCAGGAATGTGTCGTGCCAGAGGTTGTATTTGCGTAGGGCGGATTGCAGGCGCTGTAGGCCAGTGGCGTTATCAATGGCGCGCACCAGGCAGCCTACCTGATGCACGTCGGGCATCTTCAGCAGATCCGCCAGCAAGAACGCCCCAACAAACCCCGTGGCGCCCGTCAGGAACACGCGGCCTTCGGTATCCCGGCGCCAGTCAATGACTGGCCCGAGAGGGAGCTGAAGGCTATCCGCCAGCTTGGTGTCTGCAAGCCACAGGGAGCGCTCATTGCGCACCGTCGCCATGGTTGATCCCCTGTGGCGGTCGATGACGGAGGCAAGCTGGCCAAGCGTAGAGTGATCATACAGCGTGAGAAGAGAGATCCCCGTGCGGAACTGCTGCTGGATGCGACTAATTAGCAATGAGGCCTGAAGGGAGGTGCCGCCGAGGGCGAAAAAGTCATCGTCATCTGTATAATCAGGAAGGGGGGTGGCCAGAATAGTGGCCCAGAGATGGACCAGGTGGTCGCACGTACTCATACCCCTGATCTTCCCACGAAGAGCGCAGATATGCTTCTCCCGGCGCTGGTGATACATCTCTGCCAGCTTCCTGCGGTCCAGTTTTGCGTGCGCATTCAGTGGCATTTCTGGGATAACCTCAATATGCGGCACCATGTACTCTGGCAATGTCGCACGAAGTGTCTTCATCGCGTCCGCCACGGCATCGTGCGTGGAGTTAACTTGAAGGATAACAAAGGCCACGAGCGTCGAACCTGCCCCGTCCTCCGTCGAGTCTATCCGCATAGAGAAGCCCTCGGAGAAGTGGCCCGTCTTCATCAATGCGGCATCAACCGCCGCCAGCTCGACCCGGTAACCTCGGACCTTGACCTGATGATCCCGACGACCCAGGAAGTCATGCTGTCCGTCACGATGAAGCCGCACCATATCCCCAGTGCGATACATCCGGTATAGCCCACCAGTTCCGGGGTCGACCATTCCAGCAACATAGATGAAGGTCTTGGCGTTCTTGTCAGGCTGGTTAACATATCCCGGCGACACGCCGGGACCGCCCACCAGCAACTCGCCCTCTTCGCCCTCTGGGACAGGACGACCCTCCTCGTCACACACGCAGCAGACATTGCGGCCGATGGGCTTACCAATGCCGACTTTGCCTGCCTTCACATCATCCATTGTGATCTCGTGCGTGAGACAGAAGACGCAGCATTCCGTGGGCCCGTAGGCGTTCATGAGATGTTCCGGTGGCCCAGCGGCCAGAATCGCCTCCATTGCGCGGAGATTAACCTGCTCACCGCCCATGAGGACTGCCCTAAGCGGTTGGAATGTTGTGGGACACGTTGCTGCCGCCAGGTTGACCAAGGGCGCGGTAATAGCCATGATGGTGATGCCCAGCTGGCGGATAGCGGCTGCCACGGCGGGGATATCGAGAAGGGTGGGCTTGCTGAGCACCCCGATAGTAGCCCCACGGACGAGGGCGGCCCAGATGTCGAACAGAGCCACGTCAAAGCTGGTGCTATTGCCGTGGCCCACCACATCGGATTTCTGGACAGGTTCATAGGGTGCATGATGCGCCACATGGACGATGGAGCGAGCAGCGATCTGTACGGCTTTGGGCTCGCTGGTCGTGCCGGAGGTGTGAATCAGGTGTGTACAATGGGCCATGGTCGTCGGGAGGGGAAACTGCACCGCCAGGGTAGAGGATGGCTTGCGGAGTTCAGGTTGCAGCTCAACAGGCAGTAAGGCAAAGGGAAGATTCCGCTTGCTGTTGGTCTCGTCCACGAGGACGTACCGGGTGCCTAATCGTTTCAGCTGGTTGATAATCTGCTGGTCGGGCAAGAGAGGATCAAGAGGGACACACGTCCCTCCCGCGTAGATGATGGCGATCTGTGTGACGGCGTCCCAGAGCCCATGCTGAACCACAATGCCGACTCGTTCCTCCAAATTGAACGCTTCCCGGGTTAGAGCCTGCGCCAGCTTAATGGCTCTCTCATGTAGTGCTTCGTATGTCAGACTCTCGCCGTGTTCATCGACAATTGCCACGGCGGCGGGGTCCTCGACCATCCGCTGATAGAAGAGTTGACCCAGCCCTTCGTTTCGGGCGACGGCCACATCGTACTCGGAGACTGATGGTGTTATTGAACCCATTCTCTAATGTCCAATGAGAATGGGAGAGTCCTGTCGAGAGATGAGACGCAGATCAAAGCTTCTCCATCTCTTGACTTGGAGGCAAACCTACGGTTCATGAACGGCTTCGTTTTGTCCCTTTCATGACCCACGCATGAGGGCCGAAGTGCTGCTTACCGAGGTAAAGCTGGCCTGCCTCTGTGCTTGACATAAATCACAGCTCCAATGCTAGGTTGCTTGCATCATGCTTTGCAATGTGTACGAGGGGGGATAGTTGTACAGACTTGCGGGCCCCTTGTATTGGAAAACCTCTGGTGCATTCATGGCTTTGAGCATGCGAGACATTGCCGCGGTCCAAAGCTCGCGGCTGAAGTAGAGCAAAACGAAGGCAGAGGGACGGCATAAAGTCGACTCCTCAAGATGTTGATGGTATCGCCTAAGTCTGGCGATTACCATGGCATCGTTCCTGCTCACAGCGATGACCGGCCACTGCTATCCTGGGAAGGTGCTGTATGACTCTCAACCTGTTTGTGAAATACTCGGATCATTCCTATTCAGGGATAAAAGATCAAAAAGCATGTGAGCCTTTTGCACAGAGGTATTGCATGCCAGAAGGATTAGAAGCCTTAATACCAATCCTACTGTAGTTTTGAGCTGAATGAAATCGTCCGTATGGTTCTGATAGTACCATTTTATCATCTTATATATCCGTGCCTGGTGCACTTCGACAATGGTGTCTTAAACGTGATTCCTGCTATAGGCAAGGGCTTTCAAGTCCGAATCTTGATCGTAAGAATCCCGTAGGCTCGCCGTGACGCGACAGGCCGCTCCAGTAGTAAAAGTGTAAATGTTTTATCATGTACCAGACTAAGGCAATAGTCCGTTTCGGGACGGTAGCAGTGGGATCTTCAGACAGCAACGTCAGTAGGCTGCTATCACAAGCTTATTCATTATATCTTATTTCACTCTGTTATGTCGGCGGAAATATGAATAAAAACGGCAGTGATACAGTGACAACCCCTGGGTTCTAGTGACACCTCCCTTACCCAATCGGGCAAGTGACAGGCATGCGCCCACTATGAAAGGGGGATTCCACCACACATGTGATCTGCGCTTTAGGCTTAGAAGTAGGGCATTACTACTTGATATTCAGGTGTTCTGTACTCCCAGGCGGTGTCACTGTATCACTAATCCAAGAAAAAGCCACATGTGACGGGCTGGCGGAACTATATCATGCTTCTATTATGCTTCTCTGTATGTCATGTCCACTGCATACAGCCTCGGCTGCATATAGCATAGGCCATCACCTTGAATGACTCTCGTCATGGTGCACATTCGCCATATAGGAAACTGCCAATGCAGCAAGAATCTTACGTGGCAGGATAACTCGGAGAAAGGCCGTTAACGCTACTTTCACGCATAACCTGCCTCCCTTGATAAATCTCGCTCCACGTCAACCACATCGATCTTACACTTGTGCAATATTCCGGTTCTCTGTCGATTACAATCATGACCAGCTCTACTCCCCTCATCACAGTCTTCGGAGCGACTGGCAACCAAGGCGGTGCCGTTGCCAGATCGCTCCTCAAACACCCATCCTTCAAGGTACGCGCTCTCACTCGAAACCCCAGCTCAGCTGCCAGCCAGGCCCTGGCCTCTCAGGGGGCGCAAATCCACCAAGCCAATGGTTTCAGCAGCGAGTCAATGGTGGAAGCCTTCCGTGGCTCCTGGGGCGCTTTTGTGAATATTAATTCAGATGATAAGGTATGTCAACGATTGTCGTTTCTGTGGATATGTGTTATATTGCCCCATTCTCATAAATACTTCTCACTCAGGCATTCAAACCTGATGGTCCCACTGAATTCGACATGGGCAAAACGATCGTGGACGCTGCCGCCGAAGCCGGAATCCGTCATTTCATCTTTAGTACTGGCCCAGACTGCTACAAGCTTACCGGGGGCAATATCAAAATGAATGCCGCAGACAGTGCGTAGCCCCATCCTCTGACCATGATATCGTAAGACTAAGGTCGGACAGTGAAGTACAAAGTCGAACAATACGCACGTACTATAGACCGTTTCGAAACCGTCAGCTCCATCTGCGCAGCCTGGTTTCTAGAAAACTTCCTGATAAAGGAGATCGGACCCCTCTTCGGTGGTTTTCCCCATGTGCCTGATTCCGAAGGCTATCTCACTTTTGTTGCTCCCAAATGGGGCGGGAATGAGGAGGTTCCCTTCATCAGCATTTCTGATGATTTTGGGGACATTGTGCAGGGCATGTTTCTTGATCCTGTTCGGTGGAACGGCCATGTCATCCACGGCTGCAGTGATATTTGCAGCTTTGATCATGTTGTGTCAGCTTTTGAGAAACTGAGCGGGCGGAAATGCCGCTTCCAACCGCTGCCCTCCTGGGAAGATTTTGATACTCACGGGATCCCTGAGTTGGAGGACACGAAAATGATGTTCTGGTTCACGCAGAACAATCAGGGACAGTACTTTGGGCCTGAGCCGTCAGAGAAAGAGACTGCTGGTACACTGAAGTTGGTGACTGCATTGGCACTGGGGTGGCCCAAGGAGGAACACAAGTTGATGACAGTTGAGGAATGGTTCCGAAAGCACTTTCAGTTTCAGTAGTCCTTCCTGGCGGGGCCTGGGCAGAAAGACGTTCTCCTAGCAAGCCTCCAACCAAATTCGATGTCACGCCATTGATATAGCCTACACGTACGTCGAATCATGCCCAGCCACCACACGTGGACTAGACGTAGTAGTATTTCGATAATCCCCACCATCAAAAAATCTAGCCGCACCTCTAGTTTTCTGACGATTTGTTTGTCATGATTCCTACGTGTGAGTCGTCCAATCACAAGCAAATTAACAGGCAACTGATTAAAACTCGGAAGGCAGAACGCTGGCAGCAACATTGTACTACTCCGTACATCCTTCGAAATCCAGTCAGCACAGTCTTCACTATTTAGACGAATGCGGTAACAGCACGATCTCTATAATTTCTACAATCTCATTATTTGTTGTAACATTGAAATCGATAACACGCGCAGCTTGACCTATATAATGTCAATTGACACTCCAGCTTACTCGAATGCCACACAAACGACTTTGGCATCATGGGGTTCGATATCTCAAACATGTTTCTCAGACAACGCACCCTTCCAATTCCTGCGATGTTGTCAAGGAATGCCTTCGTTAGGGGCTGCGTTGTTAGACCTAGACGTCCTAGTATAGTACTTTATTACTTGGACAGTTTTCGGGGTAATCAGGTGCATCACTCGCACTGTTTCAGTCAAGTGAGACTCAACTGCATTGGTACATCCGCTTAGACCAGTCCACGCACAAATTCTTGGCTCCCCACGCAACTGCATCATTGTGGACGATCTTGGGCGCCGCCCTGCTTGGCCTCCGCCGGCGCTCCCACCCTCACTGGCTGTTCCGTTCTCGGCGCCAAGTACGCCGAGGTCTGCCCATGCTGATCCTCCCACTTCTACATTATCTCTCTGTGATAGCACGGACATTGAGATAACAGGTATCCCGGAGGGCCAGAAAGCCATTCCCGGACATTAGAAACTAATTTCCTTGGCATCACGCCATCCTTCGGCCATGGTTCTACCGACCAAAGCCGCTTCAGCGTTCCATCCATGAGGGGCGTGGTTTTAGTCGTTGTCACTGTACCGGTGCAGCCGTGCTCCATTTGCCTTGGCACTCCCTGGCTCGCTTGAGGAGCCGCCCGGTCGCCACGCCAAAGACGTTGGTAGTCAGCCATCTACGCCATCCAGCTCTTTGTTCTGACCCCGCTGGTCTTGGCTCGGGACGCTTTCGGTCAGCCGAGAGATACTGTATCTAGACTGAGTCAGAGATAATGAATCCGCACATCGAGCAGGAGAGGGTACTAGCCTGAGGGGCCGTTTCTCGGCCAGAGGGGTTCTTGGCGATCGAAACTATAAAAGGCTACCTCCACTTCCCCCCGTCTCTTCCCCGGATCTCTCCTCGAATTCTCCGCGTTTGTTTTTCGTTGGCTGATATTCTGTGAAGTATACCCACTTCGTCCTGAACTTCTGCTGCTTGTCTGTCACTATGGGGGAGAAGACTTCCGACCCTGAGGCTCCAAGTCTCTCCCACCATGAGTCTCCTATATCTATTGAGAAGCGAGAGGAAGAGGCAGCTACTGCTCGAGAGTGGGCTCGCGATGTGGACAAAAGCACCACTACCAACACTAAACTTAAGAATCCTCTTGCCGAGTTGAGTCGAGAACAGCTCCTGAATGATGTCGAGGCTTTCGCGAAGGAAAAAGACCTTGAGCATATCCTCGATGATCTGCGAAAAGGGGCCCTTGTCTCGCAGGATCCAAGAGCGTTCGAGCAGATGGACGAGCTGACGGAGAGTGAGAAAGAACTACTTCGACGGGAGAAGACGCATCGGTGGAGTCAGCCGTTTATGATGTATTTCATGACAGGTAAGTCTCCTCGCGGTCCTCCTGTTGGATTTAAATTTAACCCAACCTGCAGTCCTCTGTGCTGGATCTGCTATCGTGCAAGGAATGGATCAGACCGCCGTCAACGGTGCGCAGGAGTAGGTACTCTCACATTCCCCATCTGAGCTATGCTAAGCAGAGCAGGTTCTACTTTGCTGAATTTAATGTCACCGACACTTGGCTCCAAGGCCTCCTCAACGGCGCTCCCTATCTCTGCTCCGCCGTCATCGGATGCTGGACCACGGCGCCGCTGAATCGCTGGTTTGGTCGCCGCGGATGCATCTTCATTTCGTGCTTTATCTCCTTTGCCGCCTCGTTCTGGATGGCGGCCGCACATACCTGGTGGAATTTGTTGCTCGGCCGTTTCCTCCTCGGCTTTGCGGTGGGCGCCAAATCCACAACCACCCCGGTGTATGGCGCCGAGTGCTCACCGGCCAATATCCGCGGTGCTCTGGTTATGATGTGGCAGATGTGGACGGCATTTGGCATCATGCTGGGGTATATTGCCTCTGTTGCGTTTATGGACGTGTCGCATCCCACGATCCCTGGCTTCAACTGGCGATTGATGCTAGGGTCGACCGCCATTCCGTAAGTAGACCATTGCATTGCATTTACATGTGCTGACGACTTTGAATCAGTCCCTTCTTCGTCTGCATGCAGGTCTATTTGTGTCCCGAGTCGCCTAGGTGGTACATGATGCGCAACCGCTACCACGACGCGTACAAGGCGCTCTGCAAATTCCGCCCGTCAACATTCCAAGCTGCGAGAGACCTCTACTATATTCATGCTGCTCTAAAGGTCGAGGAGAAGCTCCGCGAGGGCAAGCATTTGTTCCACGAGATGTTCTCCATTCCGCGCAACCGACGTGCGGCGCAGTCGTCCTTCTTCGTGATGTTCATGCAGCAGGCAAGTTAACATCTTCTCACCACATAGTCAAGCTCTAACTGTCGTAGTTCTGTGGTGTCAATGCGATCATGTACTATTCCTCGTCGATGTTCCGGGAAGCCGGTTTCGACACCCGTATGGCACTCGTCACGTCCCTCGGGTGCGGCATCACCAACTGGATTTTCGCCCTGCCAGCTGTATACACGATCGACACCTTTGGACGACGGAATTTGCTGCTGACCACCTTCCCTCTGATGTGTATATTCCTCCTCTTCACCGGCTTCTCATTCTACATACCCGATCAAACATCTCGGACAGCCTGCGTCGCGACTGGCATATACCTCTTCATGATCGTGTACTCGCCCGGTGAAGGACCGGTACCATTCACCTACTCCGCAGAAGCTTTCGTAAGTCTCCTCTTCAATCACTATCGCAGTCTACTGATAATGTCAGCCCCTCTACATCCGAGACATCGGCATGTCCTTCGCAACAGCCACAACGTGGGGTTTCAACTTCATCGTCTCGCTGACCTGGCCGTCGCTCAATAAATCGTTCACGCCCACCGGTGCCTTTGGCTGGTACGCGGCGTGGAACTTCTTCGGCTGGATCTTTTGTTATTTCTGTCTGCCGGAGACCAAGGCGCTCTCGCTTGAGGAGCTGGATCAGGTCTTTTCGGTTCCGACGACTAAGCACATCAATCACTATCGGGCGATGTTGCCGTGGTATGTCAAGAAGTATTTGCTTCGGAGAGATGTGCCACCGCAGAGGCAGCTCTACGATTATTATTAGGGGATGTTGTATGTCGATTTTGGATGCGGAGGTATATTCCTCGACAATTTGTGCTGTTGGCCTGGTTTCAGTTCTTGCCATAACTGTCCCGGTCTTTGAGTCTGTTGTTCAATACTCGATAACTGTTCTATAACCATCAGTATCCTCCATTTTACTCCTCTCCATGCTATTTCTTATAATCGGTGCAGTCGCCCCTGTTTCTCAATGGCTACGAGCACTTGGAAGATCAACAGCGGAAATCATTCTCATTGGCTGCCAAGCATCAGTGAAGCCCCGCCTTGGTTAGAAATTTCTTCCATCCAATCAGATGCTTGTATCTGCGCGGAACCATGTTTCTACTACCTCTGATTGGCCAACAATTTAAAGAATGGATCAATTATCCTCATTGGGACCTGTGAGATCTCGGCATTAGGTAACATATACCAATATCAACGGCTGTCCTGAGGAATGGAGCACACGAACTGGGCCCCCAGACTGAGGGTGTTGCCGTTGAGTCATCATKATGCTGTCGCAGTTTTGTTTCGCCGTTGGAAGTCCGGAGCTCGCAGTTGACCTGTCAGTATCAAGTGCTGGTGACACAGTGTATCTGGGACGACGAAGAACATCCCGGCCTCGACACCGGTTTCGTGATTGCATTGTATGCTCGAGATCGGAGGGTTTCCACGCTGAAAAAATCTGCTTTCCAGCTCCACTCGTCCGGGGAGCCGCTCGACCAGACCTCAACCGTCTCTGCCGTCACTCGTCAGAGTCGCAATCATGGGTTCCATGCTCGAGGGAGGATCCCGTCCTGCTGCGGATGCTGATGTGGACGCGGATCATGTACATCCCGAGGCTGTTTCCGATGGCGAGCGTGACTTTGAGAAGCAGGACTCGAAACCAGAGTATCAGGATGCATTCGGGGACGAGGAGTATGCCGAGGTGAAGTACAAGACCTTGAGTTGGTGGTGAGTTTGTCGTCATGGACTAAATAGCTGGACTATTACTGACCCGCATAGGCAATGTGGTTTCCGTGAGTATGCCTTCACAAGTTCGAGGACATAGCTGATCGAGAGCAGTCATGGTTGCCGAAACGGTGTCGCTGGGTATTCTCTCCCTGCCGGCGGTGGTGGCTGCGTTGGGCCTCGTTCCGTGAGCCTATCCATTGCCCTCCGAAGACGACTCTAAATTCTAACGAGTGTAGAGCCATCATTCTCCTTGTAGCGCTTGGTCTGATGTCAACCTACACCGGCTACACGATTGGGTAAGTTTGTCGTCGTGGACTAAATAGCTGGACTGCTACTGACCCGCATAGACAATTCAAATGGCGGTATCCGTTCATCCATTCCATGGGAGACGCCGGCGAGGTCATCCTGGGCAGATTTGGCCGGGAGCTCTTCGGAACAGGCCAATTGCTCCTCGTGGTCTTCATCATGGCTAGCCATATCCTCACTTTTACCGTCGCCATGAACTCGATTACCGATCATGGGACGTGCTCGATTGTCTTTGGAGTGGTTGGCTTGGTCATTTCGTTCGTGTTGTGTTTGCCGCGGACCTTGGCCAAGGTCTCGTTTCTATCAGTTGCTTGTGCGTATGTCTCTGACGATGTAGAATGCCACTGACAATTCGCAGCCTTCATCAGCGTCTCTTCCGCGGTTCTGATCGTCATGATTGCCGTTGGTGTCGAACGTCCATGGCACGGCGGGGTCAATGCCACCGTTGATACCAGTTTGTACAAGGCTTTTCTTGCAGTCTGCAATATTGTCTTCTCATTCTGTAGGTTTCCTCCTCTTCATCTTTGCATGGATCGTCACTGACAAAACAGCCGGCCACGTCGCCTTCTTCGGCTTCATGGCCGAACTGAAAAACCCCCGCGACTACCCCAAGTCGCTCTTCTTGCTGCAGGGCATCGACACATGCTTGTATATCGTCGCCGCTGTAGTGATCTACTGCTATGCTGGGGACGACGTCACCTCACCTGCGCTAGGCTCAGCCTCGGAGACTGTGAAGAAGGTGGCGTATGGAATCGCCTTGCCGACTGTAAGTCTTTTGTTACTCAGCCCAGGATCCAGCTGACGAGGAGTAGATTGTCATCGGAGGCGTGGTGAACGGCCACGTCGCATGCAAGTACATCTACGTGCGGATGTGGCGCCACAGCGACCGCATGCATAAGCGCGATCTTGTTGCGACCGGTTCATGGGTGTTGATTGGGCTGGCGACTTGGATCGTTGCTTGGATTATTGCCGAGGCTATCCCGGTGTTCAACAATCTATTGAGTCTGGTGGTAAGTTTCCTTGCTGGTTCGCTCTGGGTCAAGCTGAACATTTTGCAGGCGTCGCTTTTTGCAAGCTGGTTTACCTGTAAGTTTCTTTTTCCTTTTCATTTGTGTAGACATCTTGCTGACGATCGATTGCAGACGGATTCAGCGCACTTTTCTGGCTGTATCTCAATAAAGGCCGGTTCTTTTCGACTCCGATGAAGACTGCGCTTACTATCCTTAATGTTGTCATCATGGGGATCGCGTGCTGCATTGTAAGTTCTTGCTGGACATTCTACGATACAATTACTGATTATCTTCACAGTGTGGCCTGGGACTTTATGTGTCTGGCAAGGCCCTGCACGACGATCCCAGTAGTGCCAGTTTCTCATGTGCGAATAATGCCTAACGGCTGTATATAGATTTTCAGAGGCCACATTAAGGGTGGAACATGTACATGTACAGTAGAGACAGTGTATCATAATTCCGTGTTTGACCTCGTGTTGAGGTTTGGCTCTGCGGCTTCCTCTTCTACGTAATTCCTTACTGGATCTACGGGGCCTACAGTGCCAGCAGGACCAACCGGGCTGGGCTGAGGTGCTACAGTCTGGGTTTGTCCTTCCATCTTAGGCTGTATCCGGTGCTTGGCCTGCGCCAGAGACTCTCGCCTTAGCACCTGCGTCCGCTCATCCAGCCCCCGGTTCCAACGATTCATCGCTTGGTCCCGAGCCTGCGGAGGCCACTCGGCCGTCAAGGACTCCAGTTCATGGTATTTCCAATATAGGTTATCCAGACCTCACGTATCCGCTCTCCACGCATCGCCGCCGACCTAACCTTCCGCTCATCCGTCTCCGTCTCCTGCCTCTTGCACCCCTTGCTCGCCTTTGGCCGCCAGCTCCCACAACCCAGAGGCAACCTTGTGCTCCAGCGCGGAGTACTCGTGGTTGTGTGCGCCCCCAAGACGGGAAAACGTAATCGTCGCACCGTCGGTGACCGCTTTCAGACGACAGGGATACCCGACCGACTCGCGGAACGTGCGCTCGCGCTTGCGTCTTGCGCTCCGCGGGCGAGGCCCGCGACCCGCGACTCAAGGTCTGTTTTCTTCCCCAGTCGGCGCCGGTAGCATGCGATAACAGGGGATCCGTGCTGCGGGTCCACGTTGTCAGGAAAGCCCAAGGAGGCGTTGAATTCGCAGAGGGGCACCATCACAGGCGCAGTGAGGGCGAAGAATTGTGCGCGGAGCTTCTGGATATTAGAGGTAAGGTCAATGAGGGTTGAGATTAGCCGCGTCGAGGCTCTCGGGGGGTGTCATTTTGACTAGTTCGTGCTGTATTGCAGTGTTGATTTCGACGAATTCAGGGAGCTCAAGTGGGTGACGAGCGTGGCTGCCGAATCGGGTCTAGTCGTCACGTGGGGTGTCTCATATGAATGCCGTCATTTTCAGGCTACTAACGAAGCAAACATACGACTTCAACAACTCGATGCTCGAGTGAGAGCGAATCTCCAGGAATGTTGACGTCGAATCGAAGCCACGATTGCAGATTCCGGTTTCACCCTCAGACTCGACCAGGTAGTGTTCGAACATTTTGCCAATGAGGTGTCCAATGATACATGGGTTATGCTTGTTGATATCCATTCGGAGCTAGACGATATATATCAAGCAGAAATACCCCGCAAAGTATAGTCGAAGGCCGTAAAAGTGTTTGTCTGTCTTCTGACAAGCCGAACTTCCAATCCAACGAAGTTCTGAAATCCCGTCCAATGGGACAGTGGATTTTGTACACCGAGAGTGTCCTTCACTGGATGAATTGCGAGAAGACGTGGAAAATACATGATGTAATTCAACATAAAAGGTAATAACTGTGGTCAGACTCAACAGACAGTCAAGGCGTATCATATTCCATCATCAGTCAGTGTGCCCGAGTGGTTAAGGGGAGTGATTAGAAATCACTTGGCTTCGGCCGCATAGGTTCGAGTCCTATCGCTGACGTTCTTTTTTTTCCGCCCTCACTGTTCCTTAACGCACTCGCAATCATTGCAACATAAACAATTTTTCTTTTCCCCTTGCTGCTTGACACCGGTAAAACTGCTGAGAAATGCATTGCTAACAACCCTATCGATGTACCGATCGGATAATCCCCTCTGTATACTGTAGTGTCGTTAGTCATATGGACTTACACGAGACCCAAACAACATATACGCGAAAATAGAACATCCTCGATTGCCATCAGATGCGTGTTCGTTATCATTCTTGCTTTCCCGAAGTCCACTGCAACATGAATACAGTAGTCCGTCGAGGTGAATGAACAGGTGATGTATTACGCATCTTTCCTGATTATACTCCCTTATTATAGTCTGGCACCGGCGTGGTCGTTGCCCAGAGAACTTGACACCGCTGACGGAGATCGAGTTCGGCCGGACGACGCCGAAAGACTTGACCTTCAAAGAAAAAAGGATTCCTGAAGCATGAATCAAGGGGAATACCGGGGTTTAATACCGAATGAATGATAGACCCTTCCCCGTGCAACAACTGGCGTGGGAGAAGTTCATAGTCGCAGCGCTGCCACTTCCACTGCGAAATTGAGAAAATTCGAGGTCATCCAAAGATAAATATTTCTCCATTATTCTCGTCCATCGTTGTCTTAGGGAATGAATTTGTCAAGCTACATAGTACGTCCTCCCTTAATTGCTGGTTTTCCGGGACTGGACGTATACTGGACGATGAATACTTCAAAATTATATTAACGACGTTGCAAGGAAAAGCAACCCTTCAGAGTGCGAGTCTAGCCCTACTGCGAATACACATCCGACAGCCATTCCCCAACTTCATCGCCAAACTCTCTTCCGTTGTGCTCGTTCCATCTTCTCCTTCTCGCTGCACGACCAACGTACCGAGTCTCCTGCGGATCCTTCGCAGCCAATCTTCTGGCGACTTCATTGGCCTCGAACAGAGAAACCAATCTCCGCTTCGCATCGGGTCCTTTCAAACTCTCGGCCTTGCCACGGCAGAAGTCGTAGATCCTCCATTTCATCGTTGGGGCTTCGTCATCCTCCACAACAAAGGACTCGGGCTGACGATCCACAAGGCTTTCTCCATACTGATTGCTGCTGTACATGAACCTGTTTCGACGGTTCGATCCGGGAGGGTTGGATGTAACTTCGGTGACCCACGCGGCCTCAGCGAGTTCAGCAGGCGTCGAGCCCGAGGCGTTCTCGCGATGGAGGAGGTCCGGACGGCGTTCGAGCAAGATCTCCAGCGTTCGGAGGAGCTGGCACCGCACGGCGTCGTGCACGACGGTGTTGCCAGCCCCGTCCAACAGCTCGAGATGCTTCTGTCCGGTACTTTGGGCAAAGTCCAAGATCATTCGAAGAGCTTTCATCTGGTTATCGCCTTCGCGGTTGCTGCCATTGCCATAGACGGAGTAGGTATGCGCGGTGCTCAAGGCCCGCACCATCCACATTGCCAAGGGTGTCAGGGAGCCCGGCTCGTGTGACGAACGCTCGACTAGCAGGGAGGGAATTAAAGACGGATCGACCAGTTCGAGCATCTGCTGGAAGTCATCCAGTTTCTCGGCCGAGGGGGAGCTGGCACTGCAGAACAGAAGATGAAGGATATTGCTGCCCTTCTTATCGCGCATGGTCTGGTCGGCCCCCGCTTCGATGAGGATTTTGGCATAAGTAGGACGAACAAGCGAGAATGCAACCATCAAGGGGGTATATCCATCAACGGACTTGACCTCGAGACAGTGAGGGACATGCTGAACCAAGTACTTGACCAGTCGTTCTGACTCGAGTGTTGGCTTTGCGAAAATGGCGCAGTGGAGGACGAGATCGCCTGGTGGCAGTTAGCATCAAATGTAACAACATCTTCAACACACCACGAAGGGAACCTACGTCTGATATTCAACCAGTTCGTAATGGAACGCTCGACACCCAACTTTCCCATGGCGAGCCTCTGGATGCGCTTATCGTGCTTGTGTGCCTCGGTAAACTCCAAATAGTAACGGCCAGGCGCAGTTCCCAAGAACCACTCCACTGCTTCGAGGTTTCCTTCACGGGCAGCAACCAGGAGGGGAGGTTTCTCCTCTTCAGGCTCTGCGGGAAGGACGCCGCGACCGGCAGCCGCCCAGTCCGTTCGCTTCTTGCCGTGGATGGACAGTCCTTGGTAGTATTTGGGCTTCTCCTTGATTTCCACTCCGCTCTGCTCCGCCAGCTTATCAAATTGAATGCCAGCCCCCGTACGTTTGATGAGTTCTGCCAGGCAGCGGAGTCGTCCCAGCTGCATTGCCATAGTAAGATCCCACTGCTCAACCGTGAAGATGGTCTGCTCGGAACTTCCAGACTTCGCAGACAGCTCCCGGCCGAGATCCAGAAGGAAGACCAGAAGCTGAACATCATCCTTCCAGATTGCGTACTGGACAAGATTGAAAGGCCTTCGCTCATCCGGCAGGGTTGTTCCCATAAAATCTTCATCCGAACAATGGTCCTTCAACAGAGAAAGAGGCGGGACCTGGCTCTCGACCTGCGTCTTAACCTCACCAATGTTGTCGATAGTGAATTCTTCATCGAGAATCTGCCTCTCGATATCGAGCCTGTCACTGTCGTCCTCGGCCTCGTCGCCGGAATAATCATCGTCATTGCCAGTTGTGGCTCGCAATGTATACCGCACATTTTCTTGCTCGTCCTGAGGCTTGTACTGCACTTGTGCAATGGCGATAATCGCCCTCGCCACGTCCAAATGTCCACGCAGGACGGCGATGTTGAACGGGTGGAAGTTTCTCTGGTCTTTCGTAGCAATCTCCAACGGCGGTTTGTTCTTGTCTGGACCCCATGTCCCGAGGGTGAGTGATTTGATCGTCTCAAGGTCACCACGCCACGCTGCCTCAAACCTAAAAGCAGTCAGCATAAGCGAACACTGCAGCACATGGAAGGAACCGATTGAGCACTTACAGCTGGATATAACCATCCCTAGTGATGTCGTTGAGATCCGCCCTCCGGAAGTCAAAGGTCATATTGAACGGACCAGGCTTGGTGCCGAAGCATAGGCGATGCTTCCGGCCGTTATGTGAAGTATCAGAAGACATCTCAATGTCTGGAAACAACTGCTTGAACGTCTTGGCACCCCTGGCAAGTAATTCCTCCTCGAGCTTCTCAAACTCGCCGAGAGCCAGTTGGACGGCCGCCTTCTTCTCCTCGACACCCTTGCGACTCGCTGCACACTTCACGTCGTCGTCGTAGAGCTTCTGCTCTGATTCAACACGGGAGTGCGCACTGCAGAGAGCGGCCTTGGCCGTCCACAGCTGGTATGTATCTTCTTTGAAGGGGGCGAGATAGAAGCTGTCCTCGTGTTCCAAGGGGCTGGGCGGCTCCCGGGTGTGAGTTTCGGGCTTGTACGCACGCAGAGCGTTCAGCTTTCCGCGCACGCAATCCAGCAGTGATTTGCCGTGCTGGTAGTTCCTAGCGTATTCGTCATGCTGCACGTGGTGCCCTTCCTTGGTCAGTGTATTGGGATCTGCGCCTCGGGCCAGAAGCTCCAGGGCCACAGAAGGCTGATCTTTGAGGACACTCAATATAATAGGCTGGGTGACGTTGGCATCAAAGTTTCTCTTCACTTGCTCGGAGGAGTCGTTCCGTATTCCATCGATGTGCACCTGTGCCGACTTGATGAATTCATCAAAATCGATAGTGGGGCTCGCGTGTGCTTCAAGCAACTTCAAGGCTCCGATGACATTCCCCGAATTGATAGCGGTTGTCAGCGCAGTCTCAGCATTGGGGTTGAATCGCCAGCCACTAGTAGCAATGTAGTTGATCGTCCGTTCGACTGCCGGACGATCATGCTGCAGGTACGAGTCCAGCAGCTCAGTGTATTCCGGAGAAGCCGCAATGTGAGCCACGGCAGTTTTCTGATCAAGGTCTGCCTGTGCCGGTGAGGCACCCAGTTGTAGCAGCTTCGTCGTCATTGCCTTCGCCTGCTCTATTGGCAGTTGGAGAGCCAAGACCAGGGTGAGAATGGCAGCTCGCGGGCTGTTGTTGTACTCGTGCAGCAATTTGACCGGCAGAAGCACATCCGCACCAAAAGAGGATACCAGTTCCTCAACAGCAGCGACGTGGCCGTTCAAAATCGCGTGATGCAGAGGAGAGGCGTGACTGTCCCAAGCGATCACGTTGATGTCGTAGACGTCGGGATCCTGGTCGTTTGAGTCATCGGGCACTGAGTCCTGTGGACTATCCGGCGCATCCTTTTTGACTTTGACAAAAGAACCGGTGGTAAAAGACTGAACATCTGCCTCGCTCTCAGTGGAAGGATGGCTGATGAGCTCGGCAACTTCCTCACCGTCCTTGGCCTCTTTGTCGGATGAGGCTGCCTTGCGCGACTGCTCTTTGCGAGCTTCTTCCTCCTCATTTTCCTCGCTCTTCGTCAGCAAGATCCTGATGATCTCGGCATGGCCTCGAGCCGCAGCGAGATGTAAGGCCGTTCGTCCGTCGGCCAGTCGAGAGATCAAACGAGCTCCGTGGTCAACGAGACTCTGAACGATTTCGGGCGTGGAGGTCATGACCGCCAGATGCAACGGAGTGCGACCGGTAAAATCGCGACGGTTCACGTCAAAGTCGTGCGACAGCCACTGCTCCACGCCTTCCAAGTCGCTGTCGATGATCGCCTGACACAGGCCTGCTGTGTTTCCGACGTATGCCATTTCTGTCCCAGTTAGTAACTCCGACATCGTCAAGCCAAGGAACACTGACCAGTCCAATCGGTTTCGGTGATAGGGTTAAAACTGCCAATCTCCTGGCGGCCGGGGTTGTCCTGGAGGAATTTAACTCTGCCCGAGACGTAGATTTTGCTCTCCTCCTCGGCCAATTGCTTTTCCTCGGGAGTGACGGGGACCGGACAAAAGCCACAGCAATCCTCGATCACGTCTTCAAAGTTGCCGAAGAAAGCCGGATGCCGATGCAGATGGACCTCGCGGTCTTTGGGTCTGTTCCATTCGGCATTGAGCAGCAAATCCTTAGTGTAGAGCAGTTTCTCAATCTTTCGAGCGTGGAATCTTTCGCCATAAGGAATGGTCTAGATGTGATTAGCACTCAGCTTGCCGTCGAACAAGGCATTGCTCACAAACGTATGGTAGTCGGACACGTCCTCCTCATCGACCCATTCAGGCACCTCGTTGTCCCAGTCATTCTTGATGTTTCCTCGCAGCTGCTTCGAGATTCGCATGGGAACCGGTCGGCCTCGCTCTCGACGCCGCTTGTCGATGTATGCATCCCGGTCGGAAGGCTTCGGGAGCTTCTCCAGCACCAAAAGGCGGGCAAGGCCGAGAGTCCGGGTGAAGCTGCGTTCAAAAATCGTCTGTGTGAAAGTCAGTATCACTCGCAATGTTCGGTCACACGGCATACTGGATCAATCTTGGAGCGGTCCAACGACGGCCAGAACACTTCAAATCCTCGGCGAGCGTACTTGGAAAGACGGTTCTCGTACGACGGCGACCGTCTGGACAGATCCACATGGTTGATTTGGGTGACAAACGCACCAATCGCACGTGGTGCCATATACACCTGGCGACCATCGTAAGCGGCGCACGAGCAGTCGACATCAAACCCGGTCAAGATCTCGGCAATGGACTTGTAGATTCGCAGGACGATTTGAACATGGCGTGTGGGGTACTGCGACACGATCGTAATGGCATTCTTTGTGCGAATGGTGGAAGTCTCGGCCAGGATCGAGTCCTTGATGCGGGTTTCGATCTGCTTGATCTTCTCCATGGCCTGTTCCTCCGTCAACCCGTACAAAAACAGATCGACATCCGAGGCGGGAGCAAATTTCTGATGGTAGTATTCGCGCAGGCCGCGTTTCGAGTCGCGGTACTCCTCCGGAACGGGCAATAAAGACGTGGTCACTGCACTTCCCGCTGCAACTACATTGCTCCAGTCGAGATCGCTCAGAGCGCTCTCAGAGAACAGGTTGAAGTTCGTCTGGAACTCTTTGAAGGAGGATACCACGGCTGGCGACCCGTGCGCTTTTCGATCCTCGTCTTTCAGTGGCATCAAATACTTGGCCTTGAGCTCCTCCGGCTCCGAAGCCAGATCACGTGCGCGAATCCGAAGATCGGCCGAGCCATTGGCATCGAACAATGGCACAACATTGAGGAGGTTGTCTGCGACCGCGGGGTGGGATGGTTGCTGGGCGTAGATCTTGCGAAGGACTGCATCATATTCGTTGTATGGGTGTACAAGATTGGGGATTGACACTTGAGGGTGAGAGTTGACGTAGCCGATGAAGGTGGAGTGCTTCGTGGGGACGGCGGGGAGCGTGTACCGATCGGCCATGTTTGCTCGGCAAGAAATTGAGAAAGAGAAAGGATCGGTGCAATGGTTGGATGCAGTGAATTTGATTGTGAAAATGCTCAGTGAGAATAAGGAGTGATGAAGACGACTGAAGCACGCATTCTTAAGCTCTTGCAATCTCCAATTTTGTTGATCCTGCTGAGCACGCGTCGTTGAGCGCGCCAGGCAGCTTCCCGTTGTGGCGTCCTTGATGCCTGGGATGTCGCCCAAAGAGGAAATCAGCTCTGAGGCAGCAGGCGGGTGCCTCGGGTATATCCATCTGATTGGCCAAGTCCCGTCGCAGAGCTCCTCCAATCACCGAGATCCAAACCGTACCTGATGTTGCTCAGCCGCACGACCCTCCCAAACGTCGTGAAAGTTGATCTCACCTATAACCACTCCTGCAGACAGCCATCCCATTCCCTCTCCGATCTGATTTTCTCAAGAAGGGGAAAAAAAAAAAAGAAAAGAAAGAAAAAGAAACAAATAAAGTAAAAAGAATAATAATAATGGGCCTCTGTTCCAAACTAAGACTGGTGCGGAAGAAGAAAAAGACCAATGGATTGGGGAGAGGCGGCGTGTTTTCCTCTCCGACCGCAGGGCCACCAGCTTGTGTACCGACTAAAACTTCGTCGATCCTGCCAACCACCGTACAGCCTCCCAAGCAGGCCATGTTTTCTGCTCCACTGCCTCCAAATGCCACTCCCGCCTCACCGGAACCCTCTACTCAGCCAACCGCTTCTGACCCGACCCCTCTTCCCCAGAGCGGCTTCGAACCGTGGACTCGGGCTTACGAGATATTGCAGACCCAAGAGCCCGAGTTAATAGAAGACTACAAGAAGCACTTAGGCTCACTTCAACGTGATGGTACAACTGATGCAGACCTCTCAACTTCGCGGTCGGTTGAATCAATCGTGAAGCAGCTGTTAGACGATCGGGAGAAGAAGCAGTGGCGAGTCTCACTACTGGGGAAGGAGGTAAAGATACGGGAGCAGGCTGAGAGGTTGGCGAAGTTCCTCCTATGGTCCGACCCGGTAGTCAGGAACGCTCTCAGCGCTCAGCCATACGCAGCGTTGGCTTGGTCCGGTGTTTCATTAGTTCTCCCCGTAGGTCATTGAATATCCGACTACCAAGTTAATACTGACCTTACCAGCTACTCACGAGTAGCACGACCAAAAATGAAGCTATGTTGAGAGGATTCAATTCGATTGGCGATGTCCAAGTCTACTGGGATATCTGCGAAAAGACGTATCTCAAGTCCTCACATCAACAAAGATACCAAGAGCTTATGGAACCCTTAGCCAAGCTCTATTCGCACATCATTGAATACCAGGCGCTCGTCATATGCCATCTTTCTAGAGCTCAACTCTCCCGTGCGTGGCAGAACGTGGCTGGTTGGAATGATTGGGATGGGAAAGCAGCAAAGATTAATGACTTGAGCAAACAATGCAGTAGCTATATTTCTCCTCTTGAAGCAGAGGAAATCCGCTGGAATAGGGACAGTCAACTGCAAGAAATGCAGGAGTCGCGGACCATCCTCAATGAAATCCGGATGGTTCTGGAAGCGGGCAGTAGACAGACGCGGAGGAACTATGAAGACCAGAAGGAGCGAGACCTTCTTCAAGATCTCGCAGCAGACTATGAAGACTACAAAGACTTCAACCCTCCGAGGGTCGAAGGCACATGCGAGTGGTTCTTTAAGGATGACAGATTCCGCAAATGGCGGGACAGCAACACTTCTGGTCTCCTCTGGGTCTCTGCTGGCCCTGGTTGTGGAAAGTCAGTCTTGTCGCGGGCTCTGGTCGATGAGCGGCGACTGTCTACGAATGTCACAACGTCAACTATCTGTTATTTCTTTTTCAAGGACGGAGATGAACGCCGCATGTATGCCACTAATGCTTTGTGTGCAATACTGCACCAGCTTTTCACACGTGACCCTGCTAGTGGCCTAATTGGACATGCACTTCCTAGCCATAAGAACTATGGCAAAGATTTAGCCCGAAACTTTTCCGAGCTGTGGCGAATCCTCATAGCCTGCGCTGACTCACCAGATACTGGAGAAATTATTTGCGTCCTTGATGCCCTGGACGAATGCAGTATGGACAGCAGGCAGCAGTTAATTGACAGGATGAAGGAGTTCTATTGCCAGCCCTGGCATCTATCTAATCCGCTCTTGAAGCTCAAGTTCCTGATCACTAGTCGCCCATATGACTACCTGGAGGCATCTTTCAAAAGATTCTCTAACACAACTGCGTATCTGCGTTTTGACGGCGATGAAAAGTCTGCACAAATCAGCAAAGAGATTAATCTAGTCATTGATGCCAAAGTGTATGATATTGCGCGTGATTTCGAGGAGGGCGACCGGCGAAAGATTTCCGAACAACTAAAGAGCATGGAACACCGCACATACCTCTGGTTATATCTCACATTTGACATCATTGAGCAAAGTCCGAGTGAATATGGCAGGCGGTCTGATATGGAAGCACTCCTCTCTGATCTGCCATCCAAGGTATCTCAAGCATATGAAAAGATCCTGGGTCGGAGCAAGAACCAGATTCATACAGAGACTCTCCTACAGATTGTTCTGGCTGCAACACGGCCTCTGACACTTGATGAAGCTAACGCAGCCTTAACGCTAGCGTTGCAGAAGCAACCTTTTATTTCTTACACTGACCTGGAGTCGAATCTATGGCCCAAAAATGTCTTCGAGAGCACTGTGAAGAATCTATGCGGTCTCTTCATCAGCGTCTATGACTCGAAGTTGTCATTTATCCACCAGACAGCGATGGAGTTCCTCATCCATCCTGAACGAAAAGGCGAATGGCAAGGGCGGTTGAATATGTCAAAGTCGCACAGTAAGATGTCACTGGTCTGCCTAGCATATTTATCGTATCTAGATGAGCGGAGCCCAGTCATGGAAATCAAGGCACAGTTTCCGCTGGCGCAATACTCCGCACGATATTGGATGTATCACGCAAGGCCTGCCGAGACTCAGAAGGACGTCCAAGAAGGCATCTTGAACTTCTTCCAGCAAAGGGAAGCGTATGCAGTCTGGGTGAATCTTTTTAAGCATGATGAAAAATTGCGGCGATATGGAAAGATGGAAACTCCATTATACTACGCATCCTTAGGAGGTCTCCGACATACGGTACAATTACTGATAGAGAAAGGCGCCGATGTGAATACACAGGGGGGGTATTACAGCAATTCGCTCCAGGCTGCTTCTCACAAAGGCCACAAGGAGGTCGTGCAGCTGCTGCTAGAGGAAGGCGCTGATGTAAATGCGCAGGGGGGGTATTACGGCAGTGCGCTCCAGGCTGCTTCTCACCAAGGCGACAAGGAGGTTGTGCAATTGCTGCTAGAGAAAGGCGCTGATGTGAATGCGCAGGGGGGGTATTACAGCAATGCAATCCAGGCTGCTTCTCGCCAAGGCAACAAGGAGATCGTGCAGCTGCTGCTAGAGAAAGGTGCTGATATAAATGTGCAGGGGGATTATTATGGCAATGCGCTCCAGGCTGCTTCTCGCCATGGCCACAAGGAGGTCGTGTACCTGCTGCTAGAGAAAGGCGCTGATGTGAATGCACAGGGCGGCCGCTATGGCAATGCGCTCCAGGCTGCTTCTCACGAAGGCCATAAGGAGGTCGTGCGGCTGCTGCTAGAGAAAGGCGCTGATGTAAATGCGCAGGGGGGGTRTTACGGCAATGCGCTCCAGGCTGCTTCTCGCCAAGGCGATAAGGAGGTCGTGCAATTGCTACTAGAGAAAGGCGCCGATGTGAATGCGCAGGGGGGGTGTTACGGCAATGCGCTCGAGGCTGCTTCAATTCAAGGCCACAACAAGGTCGTGCAGCTGCTGCTAGAGAAAGGCGCCGATGTGAATGCGCAGGGCGGCCGCTATGGCAATGCGCTCCAGGCTGCTTCTCATGAAGGCGACAAGGAGGTCATGCGGCTGCTGCTAGAGAAAG